AGCGCTAGCATTAGGTTAGAAAATTTGTGAGTCCCAAGGACACAATTTTTTTTTAAAAGTGTGTCCTTTGAAAAAGAAGTGTGTCCCCTATTTCTAGCCTGTTTTGAGGTATAACTTTATTTTAAAAGCGTTTTTTACCAAAACACCTTTCAGTTTTTGATTTCTTGCCGCGAATTTAAAACGGAAGTAAACGTTAAGTACGGACTGAATAAATGCATGTTCGTTCATTCGACAATGAATACATTTTATTTCATGAATAACCTAATATTTGTTTCTGAATAGGAAAAACTGTGGCGTGTCATGGTTTCAAATCTAAAAATTTAAAAAAAATCTAAAATAAAAAGTCGAAAAAATTCGAGAGAATCATGATTATTTGTAAATATTCAACATGTTGAGCCTTATTTACAATTCAAATAAAGGTGAGAGATCATAATTATTTGTTTTTGTTAGGTATCCTTGTAAACACATTGTAGTATTGACCTAAAAAGATTTTGCGTCCAAAAAACGGAAATATTTTCAATTTTTGCGTCCTCCAAATTATTTTTGAGTCCTTAACATGTATGGGACACCGTTAATGCAAGCCCTGGTGTATGTGAATTGACTTGCCGATCAAAATTGATCATTCAAAATTCTTTTCCCACTACCGATTCTCAAAAAAGGCTAGATTTTTGTTCCATAATCATCAGTAGGCCAGGGACCCATCATGTTCCTATAAGTTGCACAGTAGCTTTCCATCTGAAACTTCAACCTGTTTGTTCCAGGAATAAGAACAATTTGTCTGTAACCAGATTAATCTAATGGAGAAATTATTTTTTGTATTTCATTCCAATTAATCAGCATTTTAAAGCTATTTATACTGGCTCAACTGGTCCCCGTGCCCTGTAACTATTACAAGTGTCAACCATATGGTGATTGATCAGCTAGTTAATCATATGGGTTGATAGGTTCTGTCTTGTTAAAGCAGTGCAAGAAATTAATACAAATGTTAAGTCATCTTGAACCCCTGCTTCTTAATGCGGCATTATTTTCCAGAATGATCTATTTGTCTGAGCATACAATCTACTTAGACATTGTTTTTACATTTCAAACTGGATTAATGAGTGCATTATATTTACGAGATTGCCTATTGGTTTATTGGTTCCATTATCTGACCTTTCTTATTTAAATGTATTTTTTATCTCTGATCTAGTTTCCCAGCCTCCCAATTTCCTGCATTTGGATGATGTCTTGAGCCCTGTGCACAGGGGGTATGAGCTAAAAATTTAAAGGCCCTATATAAATATTATAATCGTACTAATTGTTATCAAAAACTTGCATGGGGCCTTTAAGTATTTTAGATACTTGATCCTCTTTCAGTCTAGTGGAGGAGATGCATGTTAGTTGTAAGCAAGTAAATTGATTTGATATTACTACATTCGAATCAAAGCAACCATTAAATCAATTGACTATTAATAATAATCACTGCCAGGGTTAACCCTGAATCCCGAATTAATGCACAAAATTACAAAAAAATAAATTCTTGCTCAAATAAAGACTGCTGCCTACTTTACATTAAAGAGGTAATTTTTAAACCATATGAATTTGTCCAATGCAACTACAGTGTACTCTGATTTAAACAAATAAAGTGCAGTGCAGCCATGTCCAAGTTGATTAATTACGGAAAGGGGAGTTGGCAAACATTTCAGACACAAAAGAAAGATGAAATTAAACGTGACAAATAGCGTGAAATAGGACGTCAAGTCTGAGATAAATTTTTTTAGATATTCGAGATGATTTATATGAGTTGGCTTTTAAGTAATTTTTGTGGAAATGTGAGCTATTAATCACAAGAAAATAATGCTTTATGATAATGTCAACCTAATCTTTTGTAAAATGCAAAATCGGCAGATATGTACTTTGGTATTTGCAAGGAATTGAACAAACAGAGACTAAGCTTCAAATTGAGAGCCTAAATTATGTGGTGATATCAAAGAAACATACTGTTTATTCAAGAAATGAATAGAAATTGGATGTAGTTCCACTGATATGACAAGCAATTGAAGGGCAGCTTATGGTCTCTCCGCAGTAGCAGGATTAGCGTAGAGGTTTAAAGTGCGATCATGTAAGATTAGATACATCTTGAGTCAGGTGTCTCTATCTTAAGAACATTCTGGAAAAAGTCACCGCTCAGGTGTCCTTTTCTTAGAACAACATTTACAATTTATCTTTATCTCGCACAAAGGTCTCTTTCACTTGGTGATTTCATTTGCTTGCGGCTGAAATAAAGGAAGGATACTCTCCAGACAGCCATGATCTCAAATCAGACACAGAATAAATGACAAAATCGGCTTGGAATATATCAAACTCATTTGTCATGGAATCTCATATAATAAGCAATCCATTCTCACTATATATACAAGTATATGCTGCGTGGTACAGTATGTTTCTTACCTAGAATTATAATTTAGTATTCAGCTCATGGTTGGGAGAGAACTTGGAGTATTAAGAGACAATTCCTGATAAGACACAATATTTAGTTAGCATATGTAATTCCTGACAAAGTCAGTGCGATGTTTTGCCTGAAATATATGGCTTCAAGGTAGGTGTTGATATAAATTAAATTGTATGTATATAGCCAAGTCTATTAGGTAAATTCACAAGAATTTTCGTGATTACAATATCCATGAGCTTTCTCATGGGCTTTCAAGAGAAAGCCGATGCAATATCCAATAATCAACAATGAAATTGGGGATATATGTAATGTTTAATTTTCACGTCATTGTAGAATGTGTGTTCAAAATCAAATTATCAGTTTTTAAATAAATTCTAAAAGTAAAGAACTATAATTTATGTACTTTAGTAGCAATTCTAATGAGATGGATGTTTTATTGAGGTGTCATGTTATATTGATGTGTCATGTCGTATTGATGTGTCATGCAGGGCTTGCATTAACGGCGTCCCGTACATGTTAAGGACTCAAAAATAATTTGGAGGACGCAAAAATTGAAAATATTTCCGTTTTTTGGACGCAAATTTTTTTTTAGGTCACCGTCAATACTACAATGTGTTTACAACGATACCTAACAAAAACAAATAATTATGATCTCTCACCTTTATTTGAATCGTAAATAAGGCTCAACATGTTGAATATTTACAAATAATCATGATTCTCTCGAATTTTTTCGACTTTGTTTATTTTTAGATTTGAAACCATGACACGCAACAGTTTTTCCTATTCAGAAACAAATATTAGGTTATTCATGAAATAAAATGTATTCATTGTTGAATGAACGAACATGCATTTATTCAGTCCGTACTTAACGTTTACTTCCATTTTAAATTCGCGGCAAGAAATCAAAAACTGAAAAATAAGGGACACACTTTTTTTTCAAAGGAGACACTTTTTTAAAAAAATTGCGTCCTTTGGACTCACAAATTTTCTAACCTAATGCAAGCGCTGGTCATGTTATACTGACGTGCAAATTATACAAGAGTATACTTTCATGTTTTACATAATACTTCTTTTATGTTTGACAGGATTATGCATTCTGGTTGACAGGATTATGCATTTTTTTGACAAGAGTATACTTTCATGTTTTACATAATACATCTTTATGTTTGACAGGATTATGCATTCTGGTTGACAGGATTATGTCTTCATGTTTGACAAAAGTATACTTTCATGTTTTACATAATACATCTTTATGTTTGACAGGATTATGCATTCTGTTTGACAGGAGTATACTTTCATGTTTTACATAATACATCTTTATGTTTGACAGGATTATGCATTCTCTTTGACAGGATTATGTCTTCATGTTTGACAAAAGTATACTTTCATGTTTTACATAATACTTCTTTATGTTTGACAGGATTATGCATTCTGGTTGACAGGATTATGTCTTCATGTTTGACAAAAGTATACTTTCATGTTTTACATAATACATCTTTATGTTTGACAGGATTATGCATTCTGTTTGACAGGAGTATACTTTCATGTTTTACATAATACATCTTTATGTTTGACAGGATTATGCATTCTCTTTGACAGGATTATGTCTTCATGTTTGACAAAAGTATACTTTCATGTTTTACATAATACTTCTTTATGTTTGACAGGATTATGCATTCTGTTTGACAGGAGTATACTTTCATGTTTTACATAATACTTCTTTATGTTTGACAGGATTATCCATTCTGGTTGACAGGATTATGTGTTCTGTTTGACAAGAGTATACTTTCATATTTGATATAATACTTCTTTTATGTTTGACAGGATTATGCATTCTGTTTGACAGGATTATGCATTCTCTTTGACAGGAGTATACTTTCATGTTTTACATAATACTTCTTTATGTTTGACAGGATTATGCATTCTGGTTGACAGGATTATGCATTCTCTTTGACAAGAGTATACTTTCATGTTTTACATAATACTTCTTTTATGTTTGACAGGATTATGCATTCTGTTTGACAGGAGTATACTTTCGTGTTTTACATAATACTTCTTTTATGTTTGACAGGATTATGCATTTTGTTTGATAGGATTATGCATTCTGGTTGACAGGAGTATACATTCATGTTTTACATAATACTTCTTTTATGTTTGACAGGATTATGCATTCTGTTTGATAGGAGTGTACTTTCATATAATACTTTTTTATGTTTGACAGGATTATGCATTCTGGTTGACAGGATTATACATTCTGTTTGACAGGAGTATACTTTAAGGTTTTCATAATAAATATTTCTTATATGTTTGACAGGATTATGCATTCTGGTTGACAGGATTATACATTCTGTTTGACAGGAGTATACTTTCATGTTTTACATAATAAATATTTCTTTTATGTTTGACAGGATTATGCATTCTGGTTGACAGGATTATACATTCTGTTTGACAGGAGTATACTTTCATGTTTTACATAATAAATACTTATTTTATGTTTGACAGGATTATGCCATCATGTTTGACTACATTATACTTAATTGTTTAAAATGATTATACCCTGCATTTCCAGGTGTGAGAAGATGGGTGCTGAGGAGAGCAAGGCATACAGCCCAGTCAGCTCTAGAACATCTAGTGTCAGGAGCTGTCCTGGGATAGACTTCCCTAACCACTGTAGAAGGGAACAAAGGGCCTGGAGTCTGCTGCATCAGTGCACACTAGAGAAATGGAAGGAGGGACATGCAGGTAGGTTGCAAAAAGTGATTAGTGATAACTGAAACATTATTTATATAAGACTAGTGTGGTAAGATAACTTTATTTCCTGAGGGATATACCTCATAAATAAAAACATCCTATTATACAACTGTCAGATCATCACTAGAACCAAAACAGATGTCAAAACTGTTTTTTATATGAGTAGCCTTTTTCTTGGCTTGATATTTGCACAATGGAAGCTTTGTATAATATTCAACTGACTGTGTAAGTGACATGTTCCCACGATATTTCATGTTTAATTTCCCTTTTTTGTTCCTCAGTACGTATTGTTGGCCATTAAAATCATAGAAAGTGAAACAAACATTGCCTGGACGAACGCTGCATATACTCTTCTCTAGTAGGATCTTCTTCATCCAATATATAATCTCAATTAGCATCTCATTCACTTATCAATTAAATAAATTATGTTGAAGTTTTGAATCTGATAATGGAGCAGAATAGAGATTATTGTTCAAAGGAACACCTGTATAGTTAATTCTGAAAAGGTATGAAAGAAATACCTGTAGAGTGAATTTTACATGCACTAGTCAGTGCTCATCTCTGACTGATAGGAAACAAGAACATGAAGATTAAGTTAAAGATTAGTTAAGTCTGGCACATGTCAGTCTTCTCTGACATCTAACTTAACAATTACAGCATGAGTTATATGCTGCTTTTCATCAATTTCAAATTGAAGAAGGTTTTTCTCTTGATTGTTCCAGAAATAGAAATGTGAAAATTGAGATTATAGATACAGCTCTGGATTTTTAAAATTCCTAAAGATTTTGATATCTATATGTAACCCCCTGACACACTTTCAATTTTTATTCCAGCACCTATTTGTCTTATGCAAGATATTTTATATTAATTTTGAGATATTGCACTTTTTATTGAATACTTGAGATGTGTCTTTGATTATATTATTTTCATAAAAAGTCATCTGATCGGACTTATGTACTCCATGTAAATAAAAACGCGTACATGGTTCATCATAACACACAGACAAGTTTGTTGCAAACTCCTTAGGCAGTGCTTTAGTCTTCAACTGTGGTGGCAAAGCATTAATATCAGCTATCACTGTATTTTGTCTAAATTGAATGACGTCTTTGATAAATCCTAAGAACTTGATTGTTAGTATGGCGCATATTGCTAGGCCTCACAGACTTCGATTCACACCATTGTCAGTTCAGACATTGCTGACCACGTTGCTTCCACCCTAACTATGTTCTCACAATGCGAATATTGGTACTTTAGTCGTAAACCACCAGTTCCTCTCTTCTGAACTTATTATTCCACTCGAGGATTGAGTTCCCACAATGCGAACCACAAAGTTAAAGAACTGATATTCACATTGTGAGAATGTGGTTCAGGTGGAAGGAAAGTGGTCAGCGAGGTCGGAAATGATGACTTCATAAGTCAAAGTCTAGGAGGCCTGAATTCAGAATTTTCAAAAAACACCGTTGCGTTTAAAAAAAGAAAACATGGCTTATTATTCATTTTATTTAACAGAGAATCAAACATGTTAATGTAGAATAAACAGACTAGTTTTATCGGATTCTGATTTTCTATTTTGTCATTTTATCATGAAGAAATTAATCTGAAATTGGATATTTTGTTCAGATTACCCTTGTTGTAGTTATTAAAAAGTATGGAAAGCAATTATACTTTAATAAAGCAACACACCTAATACCTGCTGAAGGCATAATGATAATGACTATGTAATCTCTCCTTGCTACTCAGTGCAAGACAGAACTATAACACAAGTATCAGAATTGATGTTGGAGGGGTATATTTTTCATGAATGGGGATGGGTAACTATAAACAGACCTAAAACCGAGAGTGTTCCAGAGACTATCAGTAAAATTTTACTCTCTGATGATCTATAGTTATATTGCAGTTCTGATTCTGATAAGATTTTATGGCCCCATGAAGTAACTTTATTGAAGGGAAAATCCATATGGAGAGACCCAGAACAGTTGTTTCTGAAAACATGGAAAAACAGATCATTTTGAACATGCTGTTTGTGTGTGCAATCACGAATTACTAAATTCACAGATTTTTGGTTAATTTCAAAAAAGAAGCAAGTCATTTATAGTTTATAGATGTAATGACTGTCGATTGTCAGAACGATATCATATAATATATGATATCTTTTGCCAGGAGATTAATGAGAATTTTACAACATAAATCCATTGATAACATTCTTTAGTATATTTGCTCTGAATGGAAGCCATGTTGTTTCCTTGAACAGTCTTTGAAAATGTATATACATGTGCAGTGAAACCTGTAAAGTGGAACACCTCTAGAAGTGGAACACCTCTTTTCAGAGTCCCAAGACAAACTGACTTGATGTTAAATGAACTTCTATAAGTGGAACATCACACAAGTGGAACACTTTTAGAGGTACCGAAGGTGTTCCACTTAGACAGGTTTTGCTGTACATGTAAATAAATGTATGTAAAAACTGTAAGCTATGATACATTAACATGTTCATTGTTATGTTGTAGATGCTGCTGGTTTTAAAGACACAATGCTCAACTGTGATGGCAGCATTCATAAAGACTGTAGCCCTGCTTTCTGTATCAACCGCCAAGGCATCATTAACATCAACAAGACGTCATCAATCTTCAGTTTCAGACGACGTAGCAAATTCACAAAAATGGCGGAACATTTTGAGTATAATCACATCCCTGCTCAATTATCATCTGTGCAGAACTTTCACGTGAAAAGTGTGCTTGGATTCCGTGCAAACCTTGTCGTGCTTCACTTGGTGCGTAACATGGCCACACAGTTTGGCTTATTAGATATCAAAGACAATAAGTTCAAAGGTGTTTTTGGGAAGAAGTCAGTTGAGTTCAACAATGATGTCGTTACTGCTGCTCTAAGTCCAGATAATTGTTTCTGTCTCATTAAAGTGCCATATAAGACTGGTAGCATCTACAAACATCGCCTGGAATTATACAACATTGAGTCAAAACAGCATATAACTATGGTAAGCAGTTATGATCTGCCTGGGGAGCATGCCCATTTTTGTTTTGATCCCCGGTTTAGCAGCTCCAGGATTGCAGTCACAAATATCTTCCCAGATCAAGTTAATAGTCTCTCTCTGGTACAAACAGATAATTGGTCAATTTTGGCGACAAATACTCGCGTGGATGACACACGTCAAGAACTTTATCCAAACTTGACAGATCTGATGTACACCAAAGATGGAACTCTAGTCGTTGCTATAGTGCTTGACCTCACGTGTCACTGTAGGGAAAAGAAGACCATGAGGAATTATCGCCCAGTCGACGTGTCAGTTTTCATTTTTAATGCTGATACAACCTCAACCTTACACTGTATGAAGTACAAACGATATACATGTGGCCAGCATCTGTGTCCAGTGAACTATATGCCAATATTCTCCCAAAGTAGCAATAGGATCGGCATCGTGGCCAATATCCCGGACATTCCTGATCGGCATTATGTACAGGTGTACAAACTACCCGCTCAAATAAACCTCCAAAGCTTGTGTAGAATTGTCATTCTGGACACTTTTAATTCGGATGCTGTCCCCAAACTTCCCCTACCCCCAAAGTTGATCAACTATCTCAACTTTGTGCCTGAGTTTCACTAGGTCCAACCCTCACATTTTGTAAATGAGGTCCACTTCAGTAGGTCATGCCAGAAACGGTCTGAAATAGGAGCTGAATATTTGGAACATAGGATCAATATTATATGTAGAACAATATATGGTGCAATTTAACATTTGCAGTATCTGTCAGATGTGCTTATATTATATAGTTATTGTAAGCGTAAACAGCATAGCATCTCTGTAAGTTGTACATGTTTTTGTTGACAAAGAAAGTGTAACATGTACGCTTAAGATAATAGACAAATTAATTCCATTGCTAATGGATAGGGAACGAAGATCAATGCCAAGATAATACATGTGAAATATACATTCTCTGTAATGTCAATATTTGGAATTGCCAACTGACATGGGACTTGTCTGTCAAATTTTGTCATACTTTATGGAGTTCTTTTCTTTAAGTGGTGTATTTAGGGACTTGCTATATTAGGTTAGTTAATTGATTAAACTCACACAATTTTGTACAACAAAATTTGACAGAAAAGTTCTACAAACCAGTGAGATTTTTCAATTTCAATTTCCTTTGGCTCTTTAATGTTGTACGACTGGATTATTCCATTGTGCCACTATTTAAAAAGTGTGCCAAATCAAGGAATAAAAAAATCTCTTGCTATGACTCAATTAAAACACATCGCCATGGCTACAATAAGTGTCGCTATTTATGGTTAGGGACATGACAGGGAGATGGATGTAAATTGTCATGGCCTTCCTCATTGCTGGCTAATGGGGCTATTTTCATAACTGAAAAATGTGTATATTTTTATTCATTTATTTATAAAAAGCTTCAATTGATTGATTTATAAAAAAAGTGTCATAGAATAGATACACAATATCTGGTAACATTTATATTGGATTAAATGACATTTGTTTGTTCCCATGAAGTAAATGTATATATTTTTCTCAAATTTATTTTGCTAATATTGGTATAAAGGTATAAAGGTAATATACTACATTCAATTCAGACAATAGGACAGTTGAATTAAATCTGAGATTACAAAACTGATATTTTATAGCTCAGTTCCACACCATATGTGGGATTCGGCATGTATATGTACAATAGTAGTGTAATATTTAGTCATCATTATATGCCATTTTATTTATTATATTTATTATGTCCCCACTGTTGTGTTGGGACATATTGTCAGCCATTGTGTATCTGCCTGTTCCCCTATCTGTTTGTTTCCTTGATTTCTTGAAAAACACAATTGTCAGAAATGTCCGCTTCATTTTGTGAAGATTTTGTCATTGTGTTTCCAGACGAATAGTTTGAGGATTCACGTCAAATTATTGAATCCTTCTTTTCATAAAAGACTTGTAATGATTATCCAGTGGTTGTGACATCTGGCAACATGTTGCCATGGTTATTTATTTATTGCTTTTGTTTGTGGTGTAAAAAAATTGAAAAATTACAAATTAAGTCATTTATATAACCACTAGTCTTCTGATCCTTTATTTGTATGCAACTTTCATTTTTTAGTTTTGCCTTTTCAATGAATTTTGATTTCTGGTGTCATCCCAGTGAATATATACAATATCCAATATAGGATAACCATTATATAACTAGGATAGTAAGATAGAAAAATCATATTGAAAAAGTTTTTTTGGTATATATGTAGTGCTAATTATCCCAACGAACGAAGTTCGGTAGGGATATAGTGAAGCCCTCCGTCCGTCCGTCCGTCCGTCCGTCCGTCCGTCCGTCCGTCAGTCCGTCCGTCTGTCCGTCCGGAAGATAACTCAAATACTAGTAGACGGATTTTCTTCATATTTAGCGGAAAGATGTGTATTGGTGAATAGTTTTACGCAAAAAAAAAATGACGGGACTTTTTCGCAAAAATCATAAATTTTTCATTCTAAACCAAAGTAATTAATATTATTGTTTGAAATTTTTGTAGTATATTCTCAACATTTATCTATTTCACATATATTCCGTGTTTTACATCCTGACCCCCAGGGGCCCTGTATGGGGGGGTCAGGAAAACAGAGATTTTCGCTAATTTTTAGATCTTTCTGAAGTATAGCTTTATTATACTCAAATGAAAGGCAATTAAGAGTAGATTGCAAATATTGTATCTTTTTTCTGATTCGAGCCTCGTAAAATTCAAAATGGCCGTCTAATGTATGATTACGCAATAATTTTTCGATCCCTTCAAAGTATGGCTATATTATACTCATATTGAAGGAATTTTGGAGTAGATCACAATTATGGTATTATTTTTCAGATTTGTACCTCAGAAAATTCAAAATGGCTGCTTTGCAGGAATTCGCAATTCTAAAATCTAATTTTTTCAATTTTAACCAAAGTAATGATTGGAATTCAGTAATTGATATTTTGTTCGTTGGGATTTGCTACCCCGCGGAGTTGCCTTTATCTAGTTAACATTATGATGTACAACAGTATGCATTTAAAACTGAGATACAAATACATAAGGGTTATAAACTGGGAGGTTTTGGATAAACCTTATATCCCAAACCGACTGTACATAACAGATGTATTACATACCTATTGAGTAGTCCAAAATTCAAAAAAGTACTTAGGGTACGCATTTTTCTAGTCTTAAAAAGTAGTTTGTGAAATTTTCACTTAAATAATATTGCTGAGCAGATCAATGAAATGATGTTAAAATTTAAAATATACAGCATAAGTTTGAAATATATCTTTATTTTGTAAAACGTAAAATGAGATGCTTTTAGGAGCGGGACCAGGAAGGATACAGCCTGTATCCATCCTGGTCTCACACCTTGGTGATAGCTCCCAAGTTACACTAAATATTCCCGCTCGTTATGTACATAGAACCTCACTAGGTATGGAATTCATGTAGGGGAAGTGGTCCTAATTATCGCAAGGTCCTAATTATCGCACGATTGTCCTAAATAGCTAAAATATGCACCCTCCATCTTTTAAACCAGTGTTACGAAAAACAGTTCAACACCATTACTCCCAATCTTCATGATTTATTCATATATTTAGAAATATCTCTTCATTTTTTAAGAATTGTTAACTTCCGCCATTGTCATAAAATGCTTTTGTGCAAGAAGTGAAATTCGTCTGACAAATTTTGACCCCCTCCAAATAAAGACAGAAAAGTAAGTGTATAATGTATATTTTGTTGATATTTTACACTTAAACTGATAGAAAAATGATTACAGCATATGTATGTATCTGTTATAAACAGAGAAATGTATACAGTATCGTGAAATGACATCTGAAACATAACTGTGCGATAATTAGGACGACTGTGCGATAATTAGGACCACCGCACATGCGAGTCTAAGGGGTCTTAAAGTGTTAGCGTTCGGAGATTGAGAAATGTCAAACACTACTTAGATTTTAGAGGAAAGGTTGATCTTTCGTCCCATATTCTCAAAGTAAGTTGAAGTTATCATATTTGAAATCGTCAGTAGTTTCCCTGAGTACCCGTGCGATGATAGGACGACTTCCCCTATATGGGAAGTACAGTATATGGGAATTGTATTTTGGGCATATTGCATTAGTAAGTAATTCTAATGAATTGATGTAATCATCCCATTTAAAATGTGTCATTTACAACAACCCATTGTTTCAATGGGAGCGAATTTATTTACAGTAAAACCTGCGAACAGGGAATGCTCTTGGGACTGGAGGAAAGTTTCCTTGTTCAGAGGTTTTCCCTATAGAGAGGGGCCACAATTTCAGCAAACTCAAACTTGCCGAATAACCATATTTGTATCTATATGGGTGTTGATTGATTGTACCAATGCCGACTCCATACTTGGTTGCTAGACCTTGTAGTGACATCTTGGAAGATGTATGAAGGTCTCCCGCCTCCCTCCATTGGCTGAGGGTAAGGAGCGTTCTCCCTATGTTGATTTTAGCCGCCGTTACTGGCGTCTGATGATGTCTAGTTGATGTAATTTTTGATATGATGTTTAGAAATCTGTTGCTAAGAACTGAATTTCAAGTTTCATCGACCCCATTTTATATCATTGATAATCTAGAAGTTTGGATCAGTAAAAGATTTAAAGAGATTTGGCTCAACATGACACATGTACTTATCTGTTATCCCCTTAAAACAATTGTCAGTCCCTGAGTCCCTAGATTATCACAACTGATTTGATGTAATTAGGTTAATATATCAGGGTAATTAACAGTGGGTGGGATGCTACATACTGTAAACAATTGGCTTATCTTAATCTCAATCATATTAATCCAAGCTTTTTAGGATCAGATATTGGTTTAGGACTTTCACACCTCTGAAAAATAATGGAATGTACAGTGTCACCAATATTCCATATTCCTTGTTCACAGGTGAATATTTATAATTTGCCCCAAAATAGTGTTCCTTGTTCCCTGTTCACAGGTTTTCCCTACAGAGAGGGTCCGTTAACATGTAAGTCAATGGAAAAATATTTGGTTCTTTTGAAAAGCATTCCTTGTTCATAGGTTTTCCCTACAGAGAGGTATTCCATCGGACAGGTTTTACTGTATTGTCATTGTTATTAGTTGTTGCTTAATTTATCATTATAGCTCAAATATACAGCATAAACATTCAGTATTGTATTTATTTTCAACTTATTTGAACAGTTCATTATTCTATAAACCCTGTTTCTTTACAATGAAAATCCCATCCCCTTTATGGTAAATATTCAAAAATATTAACAAAGTTTCAGATTTCTAATTAGAAAAATTTGAATGCCCAGTTGTATTCATTTTATTTAAAATGCATACAACCCCCACATTTCAAGTTTGAAAAAATTCTGCCCCCTCCCTAGTAGTGTGAAACTTGTATTGTGAACACCTATATTGAACACCTGTTCCTAATGAACACTATTTCTTTGAGCATACTCCATTAACTTCTGTTAAACACATCTGTACTTGACATTAGTCATTTGTCTCAGAAAATACAGATGAAACAAAAATGATTATAATCACGTATACTTATAGCACAGGGTTTGGCCTTGTCAGTGTCATTGATCATTGGTGAGTCTTCACCATTGGATAGTTAGGTGAGATTTGACAAATGAATGAAGAGCTTTGAAAATCTGATGGCTCTCACCACAGAGATTTCTACATTCATGTTACATAAATAAAAGTACTTTGATTAAAATCAATATTTCATCTATCTAACTGAGATATAAACAGATGGATGAGTTGCTGCTTTACCGAGATATTAACAGAAGGGTTTTGTTCATTCTACTGAAGTACTTTGTACTATGAAGGAATATCCTTACAATGAATATGATGCATTTCAATAATAGTACATGACCCCTGTAGCTAGTACAAACTGATGCCCTTAGACATCCATATGCATACTATTTTTTTGTCACCATAAGTGGTGGACGGTGTTCAGCGTCTTGCAGTTGGCATCTGTAACAAATGGCAGATGGTGACATTTTGCATGTTAATGCTTTGTTTATTATTATTGGCATGTACATACTACAATGTAGTAACTACATAGTAGTACTATAATATATAGACTCAGTTGTCTGAGAGTGCTACAATTTTGAATTTGGATGCATCGGTGTATTTTTCAATAGCACATAACTATAATCAGATAACCATAAAGTTTTAAAATTAGGGCTCCCTTTTGAAATTTCTCGAAATGGGACCCATTTTTGAAAATGAGGTGCCCAAATGATGTTAAAAACAATGCTGCCTATAATTATACCTTGACACAGACTTTGCCTGATCAACTTAGGTATTTTCACGTAATTAGAGATGAGAGTCACAATCATGCTCATCAATGGAAGATAAATTTCCTCCAGTTCTCATCAAATCAATAATGTAAAATGGTTGTTCGGATTGTGTTATTGTGAGATTGTGCATGCAGCATTGCTACTTTCAGTGGTTTCTATATTAGCTATTATATATAGTATAGTAAGTTCACACTGAACATTCATGAAAGTACCGCATTTGACATTTTATTTTAAATGAATATCTTGATAACACATGTTTATGCACAAATACAAATACCATGTTACATTTTTGTATGTGAGGGATTAAAGCTATCTTAGTCTACATGTATTCATGTGCCAGGTGCATGCTGGTAAAAAAAATTGAATGTGATGTATTTTCATGCCAGTGCTTTTATTATGAAATAAAATGGAGGAAATATAAATACATTGAGTTGTTGTTTTTCCCATTCAGAAATTGTTAAGATTAGAATTGGCATTTTGCTCTTGCCTAACCATTGTTGCCCCCAGATGTAATTTACTCAACATGGCCAAAAATAAAAAGTGATCAGATCTTGCTCTGTGCCATATCACAGCACTGAAGACACAGGGTCACAAGGTTTTTTCCCTCTTGCCCACTTTCCAAGCATCATAAAATGAGTATAATAGGGCACATGTTTCTAAGGTCCAAAACAAATTGATTCACAATGGGTGAAAATTTTAAACTATGCGGCATCGCCAAGGTGTGCTATTTTAATATACACTGGACGAAATATATAGCCATGAAGTCATTCCCATCATACAATATGTATTTGATGTCATATAATATATATTTATAGCGTGAGAAATCGATCGGTGACCTCAGGTATGAAAAGCATGAACCAATTTGATGCATCAGAACAGGAACTTGCCAGCTGTGATAGCATTTTAAATAGATCTCCCTCTCCTCAATTTGAACATTTATAGTTTTTTGGAAAAAAAGTCATTTCTTGGAGTTTGATACACATAAATATATTTTTTCTTGAAAGCCCATGATAAATGTGAAAGATGAGATCTAAGTGTTACAGAAATTAAATGTTCAACAAGTGAAAAGCACATATAGTGAGAGTTTTAAAAATGTCAAAGGAAGTGCCTTTGAAGAACACGTGCTTGCTGAACTAGTTTCACTTTCGTGACCTAGAAAGTTTAGAACGAGGCAATCACAACATGGAGAAAAATTGAAACCAAGTTATTTTGTGAATATTGCAAGAAATACACGTCGTTATGCAGTTTAGTCGTAACCAATGAACATAAGGATAAAGGACAGAACATTTGAAAACAAATACGGCGGCCATATAGCTAAAGAACATTCGCTGAAATGGCTGCAATAGCGAAAATGATTTCACATCAATTTTTGGGAAGAAAAATCAAGTTGATTTTCAAATTGAAACTTGGTTTTAGAGCAGTTCACCAATCAAGTCAGTTTTCTATTACAACACCGATATTCTATGTGAATGCAGGTAAGGTACTTCACTTTATGAATATAATAGTCATCATAGTATGAATGCTAGCAGTAGTAAATTAGTATGAGTGCGAGCATTTTGGTTAATTTTCTCCGTAATCTTGAGGAATCTCGCAGTCTTGTCTCATCTGAGCAATTCAGCGAAAAACTAACTTGACCGTTGCGGCTACTTTATGACCTTACAGCAATTAATAAACCATTACACATTTACTTTAGACAACTTCAAATGCAAATTACAGTAGGGAACATAAAGAATTACTATAGCTATGAAAATGACATGCTGTCGCACATGTAATAAATTCTTACCTCAGTGTATTCAGTTCTCTATTTTCTCCATCCTAGTAAGTCCAAATATAGTGGAATTTGTGTCCATAATGACAAATAAGAACTTAAAAAGTTGGAGTGGATATTCACATGTTAATGCTGACTCTTCAAATGTTGAGGTGATTTTGGAGCCCGATTATGCCGCGCAGGAGGATTGGCTCCCAGAATACAACATGCCATGTGCCGGCTTTCAAAATGCCGTTCCGCAATTTTGAAACTTGTCACGAGTAAATAAGGTTAACTGATGTTGCATTCTGGGAGTCAATCCTCCTTGGATCACAAACATGGCGATTATTTTTGTTCCCCACTTTATACAGTTGTATAATATTTTTTGCTTGCAGCTCCTCATATTGGTCATATGTACACCGCAGTTCTGGCTGATACTATACATAGATGGCAGCACTTACTTGGCAGGAAGAGCTATCTGTATACAGGCACAGATGAACATGGACTAAAGGTATCTCGGAATTTCTCATGAATAGGCCTACTGGGCATTAATTTCACATTGGTCATTTAGATGCCCTCGAAAAGAATGCCCATGCGCTTTTAAAAGGAGCGTAAAATACTTTATTGTACACTCCTCTCTCAAATAAACACCCATGGGCCTATTCTCGAGAAACTCTGGTAAAAGTCATGACAAAAGTTAGGTAAAGATGCTTTTTTTTATCTTGTGCTACTTTAGGATGTTATATTTATCGATCAGTATGATGGACTCAGTGAGAGTCCATCATACCTGTGTCACCTGTGTCTAGTGAACACCCCTTCGTACTACATACCCCACTGACTTCAGTATAAAATCACCTCTGTACTAAATACCTACCTTCAGCTAACAAATTTGTGTGCTTCCATATGTGTCCAGTGTAAACAGGTTTTACTGTATATGTTTATTTTCACCCTCATATTGATTTTATCTTGACCCTATTTTGTGACAATGATGGCTCAAGGTGAAGTACATAATAGAACAGTGCAACATATGTATTTTTAATTAGTTTACTAAAGCATTTAATTTATATTTTTTAATAACAGATCCAACAGTCTGCTTTAAGGCAGGGTGTAGAGCCACTGGAGCATTGCAACACAGTCTCTCAAACTTTCAGAGTAAGTTCTGCCTTCACAAGGGTTATGTAGATGTGATGGAGGTCTCTCGATATAGACTTAATTATACGCATCAAGTTTTGAAAATAAATAAACTTTATGACCCGTCATTTATGAATATTACATGTATATGACCTTGGTGTAATAAAAATTATTTTAATTTAGTCAATCCAATAAATGTTGTTTTGTTCAAGTTTGTACTCAATAAACTATCATTTAGTTTAGACTACTTAGGTACTTAGACTACTGATATACATATATTTCAGGATTTGTTCACTACATGTGGGATAGATCATTCTGATTTTGTTCGTACCACAGAACCAAGACATCGAGATGCTGTGCAAAATTTCTGGGTTAGTTGATTAAGAACCATATAAATCACAATGTGATAAAATGAATGAAGTGACTCCAAGTATTATAAAAGACAAAATGAAGCATTCCTTTATATTCACTCATCTTGTAATAAATCCCTTATAACTTCAAATGTTTTATAGGGGTTTGTGTTGTATGTATTTTCTCATGTTGCCATTCGTGCTTTTTAACTGTACGTAGGGTGTTCTGGAGTCTGGGGGTCACATCTACAAGGGGACGTATGAAGGATGGTACTGTACAAATGAGGAGGCTTTCTTAGCAGAGGAACAAACACATATGGTGGATGAAGGTGGAACGGTTAATAGGGTATGTCAGATGTTCTATTGAACAAGTTCGATCATTCCCAAAAATGCAACAAGATTGAATTTTGAGATGTCTACTCAAAAAACATAATATATGGTAGAAGCATTACAGATCTGTCCAATAATGCAAGAAACATGTCCCTTACTTTTGGTTATTTGCAAAATGTTTCTAGGGAAGATATTTTAAGACTAAAGGCCCAAATAAATCTAAAAGATGGTAATACATGTACTTTAGGTGAAAAGATTAGAAGGGGTCCATAATTGGAATTATTCTACTTATGATTTGGCTGTAATCACAGTCATTCACCAGAATGCAGACACTGGTTTCGAAGAAATTATGAGGTTCAATCATACCAGAAATGGACCCCTGGTGCATCCAAAAAGACTATTATGAGAATACAATCTTAATATTCTTTGTAGGTGTCATTAGAAAGTGGTCACCCTGTACAATGGACTATTGAGGAGAACTATCTATTCCGACTATCCTCGTTTCAACAACCACTCCTTGAACTGGTAAAGAAAGAAGGTAAATTTTTCATAGTCTACATAAATTGAGCTTCGATTTTTAAATATAATAGTACTATGTAAGTCAATTCATAAAATGATAGATTGCTTTCAACAAAGCCTGTGATTGTATGTTGCAGTCAGTTTTACATTATATTTACATTAAAGGAGTGGTATCAATATGGTGAACTTTTTGAAGATTTCTTCAAGCCCATACATGAACATTGTATTTGCAGGTTTCATCCAGCCAAGTGTATTCAAGACTATTGTGTTAGGATGGTTAGAATCTGGTCTCCCTGATCTCTCTGTCTCCAGGCAACGTAGTAGGCTTCCATGGGGCATACAGGTCCCAGGAGATTCAGCCCAAACGGTAAGTACAAAGCTGCATGCCTTTGAGTACATTTAGATGGAGGTCACTAGTCACTTTAAAAGTGGGCCAGCTTATTGAACCCAGCGCCAATGGTAATAACAGTAGCACCCATATATTGGCACACATTTTTGATAGCTTCTGAAAATCAATGCATCATCTAAAGTTATTTTTCAAGAATTTATTAAATGGACTGAAACTAATAAATTGTCAATCTGCATTCAGTATCCAGTGAATCTACTGGGGTCTATATATATTAGTATGAATGTGTCCATTGTTGTATTTTTAGTCATTTTGCAATTAATTATTCAGGTCCTTCAATATATACAGGGTGGTCAAAAAGATGGAAACCCTGCATTTTCCTCATATCTTTGTCATTTTAAAATATTACACCCTGAGTGATATTTCACACATTTGTACATCACTCACTTTCCTACCACCCTACCATATTTCACGAAAGTCAGACTGATAGTCACAATTTTACAGCACTTTAAATAACATGGTTCAGGGTTGGGCATCATCACGCTGTAGGCAAACCTGCAGCAGGTATGGCCTGAATGATACAGATGATCTCACTTTTGAGGTCTGCAATTGTCCTGAGGTCATTCTCATACACTCTGGACATTTTGGACTATGTGTGGAGGTTTGCTGAAAGGGCAATAGTGGCCACTGGGGCATGATGATGGTGATGGAAGATAGTAGACTGGTAGGAAATTGAATGATGTGCAAATTTGGAAAATATCAGGGAGTTTTTTCTTACAATGACAAAGATGTAAGGAAAATGGGGTAAGGGTTTCCGTTCTTTTATCACCCTGTACTTGTTTCTGTGTTTATATTTATACATTTCCTAGTTCTTCAGTCCTTACATTATCTTTTTCTTTTTTAGCTCACATGGTGAGCTTTTGCAATCACTCACTTGTCCGTCTGTCCGTCTGTCTGTCTGTCTGTCTGTCTGTCTGTCTATCTGTCTGTCTGTCTGTCTGTCTGTCTGTCTGTCAACAATAGTGGCACGTTTTAAAACCTCTGTCGATAGGATTCCTGTTTTAAGTTATTTCTGTTCAACATTAATACAGGAAACCCCCTATGACTCCTGGTTCAAAAGCTCACCTATTTTCAAAATGGCCGTCACTTTTGTCTCGCGAAATTCACTTTTGACCCATTTCCTAGCTTTACAAATAATTTCAGGTGTCCAACATTGTAAAAATCCATGTCAATGTAAAGCTTAGATATATGAAATAATTTTGTTACAAAAAATCAGCGAAAAATTGTATCCATTTTTTTATTTTCCGCCATTTTAGTTAACATTGATTTGTCTATCTGACTCGCGAAATCCACTTTCTGTCAATAACAGTGGCACGTTTTAAAACCTCTGTCGATAGGATTCCTGTTTTAAGTTATTTCTGTTCAACATCAATTCAGTAAACTCCCCTATGACTCCTGGTTCAAAAGCTCGCCTATTTTCAAAATGGCCGCCATTTTTGTCTCGCAAAATTCACTTTTGACCCATTTCCTAGCTTTACAAATAATTTCAAGTGTCCTACATTGTAAAAATCCATGTCAAAGTAAAGAGTAGATGTATGAAATAATTTTGTTACAAAAAATCAGCGAAAAATTATATCCATTTATTTATTTTGAGCCATTTTAGTTAACATTGATTTGTCCATTTGTCTCACAAAATTCACTTTTGGACCATTTACCTTAAACCCTCTGTCGATAGGATTCCCATTTTAAAAAATCTTTTTCAACATCAATACAAAATCTCTCCTATGACTCTTGGTCTTGCCTATTTCCTAGCTTTACAAAAAATTTCAGCTGTCCTGCATTGTAAAAAGCCATGTCACTGTAAAAAGTAGTTGTATGAAATAATTTTGTTACAAAAAATCGGCAAAATATTATATCCGTTTTTTTATTTTCAGCCATTTTAGTTAACATTGATTTGTCCATCTGTCTCGCGAAATCCTCTTTTGGACCATTTGCTTAAAACTTCTGTCGATAGGATTCCAGTTTCAAGTTATTTTTGTTCAACATCAATACAAAAAACTCCCCTATGACTCCTGGTTCAAAAGCTTGCCTGATTTCAAAATGGTCGCCATTTTTGTCTCACGAAATTCAATTTTGGCCCATTTCCTAGCTTTACAAATAATTTCAGGTGTCTTGCATTGCAAAAAGCCATGTCACCTTAAAGAGTAGTTGTATGAAATAACTTTGTTACAAATAATTGGCAAAAAATTATATCCGTTTTTTTCAGCCATTTTAATTGACTGAGAAACAGATGGCTTGAAGTAATTTTATAACAAAAAATCAGCAAAAAATTATATCCATTTTTTTCTGTCACCATGTGAGCCCAGTACCCACGGTACTAATTATCCCATCGAACGAAGTTCGGAGGGATATAGGGAACGCCTTTGTCCGTCCGTACGTACGTCCGTATGTACGTACGTACGTCCGTCCGTCCGTCTGTCCGTCCGTCCGTCCGGGCAATAACTCAAATACCGTTGGCCCGATTTTGTTCATATCTTGTACACATATACCTTATGGGGGAAGAAGTTCTGCTCGAAAGCCGATTTTCAAAATGGCCGCTCATTTCAAAATGGCGGCCATTTTAGTGCCGATTTTACAGTAATTTAGGTGCAATATGTAAAACTGTTATATCAATATGTTTAAAATGTAAAAAAATTATAAAGGACATTAATAATGCTACAAATGTAGATATTAAAGAAGCACATGGCAGCCATCTTGAAAAATGGCGGCCTTTACTCGTCATTTTACGATTTTTGCTATAACTCAAAAAATAGTGGAGCAATTTTGTTCATATTTGATATGTGAATACTTTAAGCATGGCACATTGTCTAATAAAACTTTGGGGAGTAGTCGGCCATTTTGAAAAATGGCCACCATTTTTATGTGTGTTATTTTACAAATACGTGTGCGATTTTTCAAAAATTTTAGAGGTGGCTACTGAAAAGCATATTATTTCTTCTGATGACAACTTGGCTAGTGAGCAACCATTTTGAAAATGGTGGCCTTTCTGGTGTGTTATTTTATGATATTTGCTATTCGTTTGTAAAAATGCCAGCCATTTCTGTTCGATGGGATTCGCTACGCTTTGGCGTTGCCGTTGTTCTGGTTTTTTATTTACCTGTAAATATATGTTAAATGACAATATTAAATTATTTTTTTCTAGATATATGTGTGGCTTGATGCTCTAGTGAACTATCTGACAGTCAGTGGTTACCCTGGCAACTCAACCAATTGGCCAATCAGCTGTCATGTCATTGGCAAAGATATCTTGAAGTTTCATGCCATCTATTGGCCGGCGTTTCTTATTGCTGCAAAGATGGAGCCACCAAAGCATATTTTCTGCCATTCTCATTGGACAGTTGAAGATCGTAAGATGTCTAAAAGTTTAGGGAATGTTGTCGATCCGTTTGATCGGATACAGAAGTACACATCTGATGGCTTGAGATATTTCCTACTGAGGAATGGTGTTCCTCACTTTGACTGCGGTGAGCAAATATTCAATATTATGGGGGACTGTTGGGACAGCTTTTGAATCTGTTTGTAAAGATCAATATTTTATTCGGTAAATGTGTTGTAAATATATGTGTTTCAGATTACAGTGATGTGAAGGTGATTGCTTGTTTGAATGATGAGCTGTGCAATAACCTTGGTAACCTTCTTAGTAGATCTACAGCACCATCTTTAAATCCTGAACAAACATGGGCACCATCTGATGCATCATGGGAAGATTTTCTAACAAATCTGTCTGATGAAGATGAGAGTTTGATCAATCAGCTGGTCAATTTACCAGGTAAGTTCTTGGACCCATAACAACCCATTTCTCAAAATCACTCCATGTTGAAGCAGAATCAAAATCATACCTGTTATACCTCAGATATTATTATAATTTTATGACAGTTTCCAGTTTCAGTCCAACATGTTCAAAGCAATGTCTAAAATGTTTTTCTGTAAACTTTTGCATCACCGCTAGCTACACACAAGCTTCTTCTACTCCTTGATGACAATGTCCCTGCACCGGGATGGATAAGATTTACATGAAAGACTGAGATTTTTTGTGTGAATAATATTGTAAATTTGTGTTATATTTAATTTCAGAGGTGGTTAGCAGTCACATGGACCAATACAACATTTACAAAGCAATGGACAGCATTTTAAGAGTCTTACGTGATACTAATGCATTCTTCCAGAGACGGACTCCTTGGAATGATCGCAAATTAGGAACCCATGAAACAATAATAAGACTGAATAATACATTACATTGTACATATGAGATTTTACACGTATGTGGAATATTGCTACAACCCATGGTGCCAAATCTATCGAACTCACTACTGAGTCATCTTGGGATACCTTCACATAGTAGAACTTACCAAAATGCTACAAGAAGTGCTTTTCATCGCATAAGAATTGGTGAAACAGGAAAGGAAAGACAAATGAAAGGAAAGAGGTTTTTAGGTGAAAGAAAAGAATTGTTTCCAAGGATATTAACTGAGAAACCTCAGTCTGTACAGCCAGTAAAGTCTAAGAAGAAAAAATTAAAAGTTCAAAAGTAAATAAATGTAAGAAAATTTGATTTGTCATCATAATACATCTCTGGGATAAAGTGGTAGTAGATATTATTATACCCACGAGAAAATGCCTTCGAAAAATCGTGCCATCTTTTGATCCATCAGAGAAACTATAACTTATTGGCTAGATTGACGATGTCATTGGTGTAGGTAGCAAACTGCCCATTCAAAAATGGTATTAACTTTTTGCTAATTTTATAAAAGTACAACCTATGACATCATCAATCTAGCCAATATATTGTGGTTTCTCTGATGGATCAAAAGATGGCATGATTTATCGGAAACGTCTATTGGCTTTCAAAACACTAAATACTAGTAGACAGCATCTCCCCAGAGTAGCTGAAATCTCATCGAATAAAACATATTTTATTGAATTACTCATCATTTTGAACATTTTGTGGTAATGATAGCCAAAGTTATATTGTCTTCTTTTGGAAAATCTATACAAATGGCTTGACATCATGGCACTGTAAAAGACGTTCCAACCAATGAATAGGTCCAATGCCCAGTAGGCATCAGCATATAGAGACCAAATCTATAACTACAGTACATAATTATATGCCCTTGTGTTCCCAGGGAGGATTGAATCCCATGATGATTCCCCTCATGATGCTTACTATTAAGACGTTTGTCTTCAAGTTCACTCTACCCATACTGTAGCCTGTATTTCTTTAAAAGGTATACAGCATGCCCTCAGCCAGGATTTGCTTAAAGGGGTTCACTTTTTTAAAATTCCAGGGAGGTTCACTTTTGACAACTTCGGCTCAAAAATTGCTGGCTACCTACCCTGGCCTGTATCCCTTTTGAACATGGCCATGTGGTAGGGTAGAGCGAAGTTAACACTGCTTGTGCATGTCCATACTTTGTGATCACCGCAAGCTTGTTTTGGATCACTTTGTTTCAAATGATATTGTCATGACAATGTGATTCCATTCTCAGAAAAAGGGTACATCACATACAGGGTGTCCAATAAATAAGGTAAAAGATATTGTAACGTTCTTAATATTGCTCCAATCTTGATGAAAATGGGACTGTTTATATATTGCATTTGTGGTAGTAATAGACCTGGGAGTATGAATAAAGCTATCAGAAAGAATAAATATGTTTCGGAAAGTTGTGACGTAAACAAACTTGCCCGCCTTTTTGTTGTTTTGGTTGCTATAGCAACCACAACTCTGTCCAATCAAATAGAAGACGCTTTAAATTCACAGAATAAAGGAACAAAGGTTTGGGTTACAAACTCTGAAAATTTCAGCAAGATTGGTGCAATATTAAGAAAGTTACTATATCTTTCACCTTATTTATCAGTTTATTGGACACCCTGTATACTAAATTTTCCATCTAATGCTGCGCATGGGTATGTAGTCTATTATCAGTGGATTACAGACATACTGTATTCTATACAAATGGATCATGAAGAGCCAAGCCATTCAGTAAGTTGTATGAAGCTGAAACTAATGGACCACACGGACAGAATCTAAACAGAGGGCATGAGGAGGAGCTGTTCTGAACATGCATTTTACTCCATGGAGAACACATTGGCAAGTGGAGACATCAAAAGGTCGATGTCTGATTGAAAACTAAATAAATCTAGTTTGTACCCCCAAAAACTAAATACCGGCATGAAAGTTGATCACCGACTTCCGGTTTGAGAATTTGAAATTTTTTTCTAAAAATGATCGAATTATTGTAGGTTCCTAGAGTAATATGCGGCTTTTTACAACTATTGACAGAATAGTATCCATTGGAATGATTTTGACGAAGAAAACATCAGGTAGAATAATTTTTAAACCATTCCAAATCAAAATTGCAAAAAATTGAAATGTTGAGATTTGTTGGATAGCAAATTGAAATGGCTTTGAACCCATCCCCCTAACTAGATTTATTTAGCTTTCGATCCGACATCATTGCAAGAATCTGGCAGTTAGAAACATTTTTTTACATACAGCTGTGCACTACGCTATCAACAAAAAAAAAGATATATTTTTTCTCGTTTTATTCTTTTCCCCAAGGATGTTTGTACATAGTAACTTGAAAATGTCTATGTTGTTTAACTGGCAGGAGTTTCCTTGGTAAGATCCTTCTTGAGTGGTCCCATGACATGGTGCTTCTCCTCTGGGGTCTGGAAGCGACCATGACCAAACTTGCTGGATGTATCGATGAACTTCAGCTTGATGTTCTCGAGTGACTTACGGCTGGTGTGGGTGATCAGAGACTGAAAGAATCAATATAGAAATGTCAATATCAAATTGCACAAGTAGAATATCTCGGGGAGTGTGGAAATATTTTATGATGAAATGATACATTTCATTGCAAAACAACACTAAAACCACTGTATAGTTATTAAAATCAAAAAATTTAGAACTATTTAAAGTAAGTTTAATTTTGATTTGAGCTTGTCCTGGCATTTCAAAATATTTCATATTAATTTATTCTTCAAGTACATTCACACCCCTTGCGGTCAAGTACATGTACAAACAAAATTTTTTTTAACAATTATAATATAATATACTTCAAAATATTTCATATAATATACCTTTCTAAGAGTAATGACCCTCTTCTTGGGTCCCATGCAACATCCCTTGATCATGACAAAGTCCTGGTTGACCTCTCCATAATGGGGGAATCCTCCCATGGGGGTAATAGTCTTCTCTGTGATGTCATACTCGGTACTGGCGTTGTTCTTCACAACCTGGCAACAAGTAATGAAATAATTAGAAATCTTAATAAGACATATTTGCATAACTCTTTGTATCATATCTATAAATTTTTACCTTTGTACAGCTTAAGTCGATTGTTTCTTAGATTTCAGATGTAACAATAAGAATCATATTTAATTTAGCAAATGTTGGTGGCATCAGAAGGAAGGCAGCATGGAAATCCACATAGTGTTTCAGTATGTCCCTGGCAGGGGACACTATCCAAGTGCTAATCATCATATAAACCACAAGATACAAATGGAGACCTCAACAAGGCAAGAATTTGCTTACTTTGCCATCCTTGGTGTGGATTCCTTGGCCAATACGGTAGATCTTCTTGTTGACCTCTGTACGGTGATGGTAACCCTTCTGTCCAGCACGAGCAACAGAGAAGGCAACACGACTTGGATGCCATGCTCCAATACAGGCAACCTTACGCAGACCCTTGTGTGTTTTACGGGGAAGCTTCTTTGTGTGCCAACGGGAAGTGACACCTGAAATAAAGTAAAATTTCTTGTAAATCACAATATATATCTTTATTATATGAAGGAATATGTTTCTTCTGTGGCATCAGCAGGAAGGCAGCATGGAAATCCACATAATGTTTCAGTATGTCCCTGGCAGGGGACACAATCCAAGTGCTAATCATCATATAAACCACACAAAATAATCCATTTAGACAAGAGCTAGCTTAAATGACAAGCACTCCTAATATACTTTTTTGTTACATCAAGTTCAGAAAATATCATGAACATGTACTTACCATTGTATCCTTTACCCTTGGTGATACCAATGCAATCAATCATCTCATCCTGACCGAACACCTCGGCGATAGGGACTTGTTTCTCCATCTTCTCACGTGCCCAGTCAACTTTCTCAGAGACGGTACCACCATTCACCTGGATCTCCATAATGTGAGCCTTCTTCTGGCGTTTCTTCAACAGCTTCATCTATTGACAGAAAAAAAACATGACTATGAAGGTATGATTAATACACATACAATGTTTTGTTCTTTAAGAAAAAATGACCTATATATTAACAATATCTGTATCGTATATCTTAGATGACAATAAAGTTATTTAATACTAAATATTGGGACGATTAAGGTAATGAAAATGAATTATTTGTTTTGGAAAATGCGGTCTGTAGATATTTTGAAAAAAATTAAGCTTTGGCCCACTCAAGACCTAGAGTAATGAATCCAAAGTTCTTTCTTGGTCTAAATTTCTGGAACATGATATGTATTCAGTTTTTCAAAGGTATGTCAAGAACCAACTAACCTGGGTGTGGGCAATAACACGAATGACTTTGCAGTACTTCTTCAGTTGAGCAAAGTCTTTCTCAATTTCCTTCTTGCCACTCTCATCTTGCCACTTCTTGCTGTACTTGGTGAATGCCTTCTTCTTGGAGGAATACCTTTACAGGGGACAAATATGACAGTCTCATCAAGCTGTTTACAAGAGTGGAAACTGAGCGATAGCCTCTTCATGAGAACTCAAGATTGGAGACATTGCATGGTTCTGTACTTCCAACAGAGTTGCAAGTCTCATCATGAGGACTCAGAGCGGAGATTGAGCGCTAGTCTCATCATGTGCATAGCAGGAGTGGAGAACTGACATTAGTTAACATGGAATAGCTCTCCCTACAAGAGGGTTGGAGCACAGATGGGGAAAGTTCATGTCGGCTGAAAATACAGACATCATCCATCAACCCAAACAAAAGATTTTTAATGAAAATACATTTAATAAATGAAACTTATGTTTTTAGTTAAAATAACATTTTCACGATTAAAAAATGTAGGTTTCAATGGCGGTATCACTGCCAATTCATCTTACCAATTCTTGTAGAATCTACGTCTGCATTCCTCACTCAGATGCTCAGCAAAGATGGTCTTGAATGATCGCAGACCCTTAGGTGTGTCAATGTATCCGATCACACCAACCACCACCATAGGAGGAGTCTCCAGGATAGTCACAGCCTCTACGATCTCCTTCTTGTTGACCTCTGCAAAACAAACAAAAATGTTATAAATTTTCAAATATAGAATTAAATTCTACGCTATCTAGTTTTACTAGAAATTACTGTAAGTTATTATGCGCTATACCCACTTTGAGACCTTATTAATTTTAGTGCTACCCATAAACATTTTTTTTTTTACTTTTTCTGAACTACGTTCTCCTATGGACCTCTACAATCCATGTAGTTCAACGTCGTTCTTTTACTATTAGGAATTTTTTCTTGGGGCCATTATTGAGTTTAACCTCCATGCTATTCTTTCATTTGATGCAAGTTGTGAATCTATCGAAACCACTTTTCCTCGCTAATATGACACTGATACTTAACAATAATATAAAACCACATTTCATCAGGCGATTTCACATAATATTATTGTGTTAAATGTTCATTTTTAATCGTAAAATGAGTCTTATTCTTACCAATTTATGAGACAAATATTTCAACCGGCAATGTCTGTCTGTGCGTCGCCAAAGTAAACTTGGTCAGCGAAACGAAATTGTTCTTCAATATTGATATTTATTATAACCATCCAGTATGACACGAATCTTTGCTTTATTCAAACAGCGCGTGTATTCACCCAAGTTTACTCTATTGTTATTTATAAAAACTTTAAAAAGCAATACTCGCAACATTATTGATGCATTTGATTACTGGTAATTTCAGCTCAAAGAAATATAGATGTCATTGATTGTGCTAGATTGTGATTGTGTTGAATAATTGTGCCTAAATATTAAATTATGGTAATTGTTTATGGTTTTCTGCTTGCAAAAACGTACCTAGGAATACACTCAATTGTTTATAACTGGGATCATGTATTTTACTCAGCATACATGCTTTGTAACAATTGTTACATTTTAATAACTTCAATGTTTATCGCAAGCCTCCTACAGTATTACAATATTTTGTACTTATACAGGGGTTTCAATAAATATTTTTTCAACAGGCCTTCTGCAATTTCAACAGGCTGAATTTTTTATCAACCATTCGCCGCTCGCTTCGCTCGCATTCTCGTTCATATTTGCATTTAAATGTTACCACTTAGTAAAACAATAAAATCAGTATTTTCCTGTCACTTTAATACAAACTGTATGAGCAATATATCTATTTGACTTGTTCATTACTTTGTGTGTTTTTTAAATGTTGACTCATGTAAAGTAATAAACTCAATATTCCTTTCTGACACATTATTAATCTCAATGAAATACTGTATAAAGATAAACATTCAATAGTTTGATATGCATTTTTGACTTGTAATATTTTATTTGTTTTCAAATTTTGCCCTTTGTGCTTCCTCACCATGATGTAAGATAATACCAAGAAGATCAATTGTATTGATTATACTGTTTGTTTTCAAGTACATGTGTAATTGTTAATAATATAGTGTCCATGAAAGTTGACAGGACAGTGATAAAGGTTTTTTGCTACTGACCCATTAGTCTCAAAGCAATGTTGGTTTGAGAGTAGGTCAATAAAAATGGTGGCCGGATTACAGTAAGATAATTATCTTAGTGTTTCTCTAAAACACTGCTGATTATCTGCCTATTATACTTAGATTTTGCCTTCACAAGGTAGGCCAATTTATATTCTTTCATTTGATATGTCAAACTAAATTGATTTGTCTCATGTATCAGCAAAATCTCTCATCATTTGGACCGGCAATTTTTTTCTCAATTTTTTTTCTCTCAAAATTTGAACCGGCGTAACTGGGATTTGAAGCGGCGTTTTCGCCGCCCGCCGGCTGTTATTGAAACCCCAGTTATATATAGGATAACCGGGGTTCGTTTCGTTTTATGAACTTGTTTCGTTCAGTGTTGCTAACGGCGGTTTATTCCTGAAAGGATTTGCCATTTCGATGTTACCGGAACCAGAACAGAGTTTTCTAAACTAAGAAAAAGCCTTCTCACAACATTTTCATAATTATACATCGATGAGGTTACAGGGGGGTAAGTGATGATTTGTATTTATTCATAAGGTATGTTAGTTCAACAAGTTAAACCTAGTCTGGGCCTTATTTCTTATCTGACATATCTTGTGGCCCGCCCTAGGTTTAACGTCCGTGCCTATTCGGCCCTTGATGCAAAAAATTTAATAGTGGCCTATGGTAGCGCATGGAATTCTGTGCGTGTTTAATTAATAACTGATTGTGAGAATTTGCAACAAATGAAAGCATAGCACGGAAGTTAAACCCAACCACGGCAACAAGAACATTCAGATTAATAAATGAAAGCCGTGGTATTGGGTTTAACTTGTTGAACTAAAGGTATGTATGCATGCGTTGATCACATTATTTCTGTAACGATACCATCTTATTACGGTTTAATTCGTTCTGCATGTCGAAACCTGCTGAACGATTAAATGATCGCATCAAGGGCAAAATCATCATGGAAGTTAGACCTAGCCGGGGCCATAAGACATGTCAGATAAGAAACGAGGCCCAGGCTAGGTCTAATGTTGTTGGATTACAATCCATGTAACATTTGTTTTATTCATTGTATCATTTCTCAACTTACTTGAGCCAATTCTGTTGACCTCCCTCACAATGTGAGTCATGCCAGCTTTGTAGCCGATGAATGCGGTCAAATGACAGGGCTTCTTGGCATCATCCTTGGGGAAAGACTTTGCCTTACCACGGTGGCGCGTGCTTCTTTTCTTTGGGAGGAACCCAAGGGAACCGTGTCTGGGCGCAGAAAATTTTCTGTGAGACTGAAATATACAAGTACATATAAACCAACAAAATAGGAAAATGCTAGCATTTCTCAAGCGCTGAACAGAGCTATTGGAAACACAATTCAATACTACTGTAAGAGGAATGATATTGGATCATTCACATGGACATTCAACGTCTACATCATCGATTCTGACTTTTTAGGTCTTTAGAAATAAACTTTCACTGACCCCTGTTACACAGGCCAGTTGAAATGCTTCGTTACGAAGCAATTTGACAAAAAGCTTCGTAACGAAGCAATTTTGGGCCAGTGTAACACCTCTGCCTTCGTTAGAAAAGCTTAGTTGATAACGAAGCAATTGAGTAGAAAATTCAACGAAGGTTAGGTCCCAACGAAGCTTTTTTGGCCTGTGTAACAGGTAGCTTCGTTAGAAATTGCTTAGTTGGCGGTTTGCGCATGCGCGTAACAAAGAGCACATTCATCATTTTGTATTAAATGAGAGGAATTGCGAGGAAAGAACATGTTTTTAAGTACGTATTATTATAATGCTACGTTTTGATTAAAATAATTACCTATTTGCGTCACTGATTGACGCTAACTCAAGCCCTAAACGCCACGTACAAATGTGATTTACCGTCTTTCGTAGCATTTCATTCGATTCCCTGCCTTTCCTCGCATTGATATGACAAAAAGTATTAAATCTAAAAAAACTCAGGTTCACCGTATATATATACGGTAGCTTTGAAACGTTTATCTGATCTATTTGAGAATAAACCTAGAATATTTAAATGTCCCTCTTTCGGAAAACTCCGTCTCAAGTGTGGAAGGGTAAACTTTTGAAATTACATAAGATATGCTTACTAAATAGAAAGTTGTGGCATACATGTTTAATATTAATTTTTTCTTGCGCCTCGAATAATTATAGCTTGAATGTAGTTCTAAAGGTGTTAATACCATGATACTGATACAATTGCTTCCCGGTGAATCACATCAGGGAATTTAGCCGATTTGATTGATTCGAAAATGTCTCTCTTCAGAAATCGTATTCATCAACTGGCTATCGCCCCATTGCAATACTTGTACTAGTCGTTCCATTATTCTATTCTTCGACGATTTTAAATTGTAATTGAATTTAAACTTCATGTTTAAATATATTGAATTAATTACGTTTCAAAACTTCCGTATACAAATACGGTAAAACCACCTGCGGACAAGGAACGGTGGCCAAAATTGTTTCGTGTCGACAGATATTTGCCACAGAGAGGCTGCATGTTTTAGGCCAGCCCCAAACACTATTGATGTGTCGTAAGACGATGCTTACAACTGATATTCAAGTTTCTTCCTATTTGCGCCATTTCCGAATTCAACAGACGGCTGATGGATTAACATACTAATTTATGTCAAACTCACTCAAATATGCATGGAATATTGGCGAAACGGGTAATATTCATATTAAGATGAATTGGTCATGAAATAGTAGTTAAACCACTAGCCGAACACCAAGATATTTTAGTAATGGCTACACTGTTTGAAATATAACTGAGAAGTCCATTTGGAAATTGAACGTTTTGATATTACATACTAGTCCTCTGTATAAACCCCAAATCCAATTCCTCCTAGTAATTAACATAGGCCTATTTTTTATTCCATATGTTTCCCAAAGGAAATGATAAAAAATGAAAACAATACTTGTAATCGTATTGACAGCTGAAATATATAAAAATCGAAATGATAGGAAAAATGTATGGACATGTGTACGGAATGATCACATTCATCTGGCTTTATTTTCCCGAGAATTTTGAACTAGTCTTTTTCTGTGCTGAATTGTTAAAATAAAGTTTGAAAATTATATTTTTGAGTTTGATCAATGGTCTATATCAAAATAATAAAGATATTAATCATAATAAGTGGGTGGGGCAGATGAGTAATGCGCACGCGCAACGAAGCATTTTAAGTGCAGTGTAACATCAAATAATTGCTTCGTTAGGGTTGGATAAAGCCAGTGTGGACACAATTTTGTCGCTAACCTTCGTTACAAAAATGCTTCGTTAGACTCAACCAAGCAGTGTAACAGGTACCACTGTTCCTCAATATTTATACGATATATTGGAAGAAATATTGACATAATTGAACATACCGAAGTAGATAGGTTATTAATGTCTTGAAATAATAGAAGTAAAATGACCGATGGTATGTATCAAGTCTGATATTTGAAGATAATCGGAGAGAAATTTTTGAGTCTCACCATGTTCTCGGCAGATATGGGAAGAGGAAGAAAGTTGCGAAAACGAGGCTGACTTCGCGGACTTTTACGACACCTCCTTCAGACTAGCACAAATATTTAATTTCCACACTATTTTGAGGTCTAAATCATTTATTGTAAACGAAACATGAGCGATATTATTTTGCATATCATTGGGAATATTTTTGAGTTAATCCATATTGACTAAAGGTTATCCCAAATGGGTCTTGAAGGTCATCCTCCATTTTTTTTTGAAAAGTTGATCGGCGAAAACCATGCCGAGAAGTGGCGATTTACCACCTCCTCCCGAGAATCCCCCTACATATGAGAAGGTTTATAACAAAATATGGAGTATAATTGATACACCAATTACTACATTTAGAGGTATGTATCATACAATTGAATGCACTTTGCAATTGAAATATTTTTAAAATGATTTTTATTTTTTTTTTAAATTTTCAAATAAATTTCATTTGAATTGAATTTCAGTATATAGAGCTATAGTCGAATTTTTAAAAAACAAAAACATATTGTCAACACTATTTAGCATATGGAAACAATCATGATCATGAAAAAATCATACTTGTTTATGCTGTCTGTCTGACCGCCCATCGGTCTGTTTCCTCCTTAGTTCAACGTGGTTAAACTCAATAACGGCTTTCTTTACTAATAGGAATTTCCTTGGCTATTATTGAGTTTAACCTCCTTACTTTTCTTTCCTGAGTCGCAAGTTCTTGATCCATCGAAACCATTTTCCGCGATAACATGCAACTGATACTTGACAATGATATAAAAACATATAACATCAAGCGAATTAACACAATATTATTGTATTTGTAACAACCCTTGATAGCAAGTTGCTACTACGGCCCAGCTATAACCTTTATAGCTCAGTCGGTAGAGCAAAATGAGGCTAAACTTACCAATTTCTAAAATGACATTTATGCCTGTCCGTCAGAACTTCATAATCATTTGAAAAAAACTGAAATACTGTTCTTATTCCATCAAAAGGAATTCAATTTTACATATAAAGATACTTACCGTGTATTAGCTGTCTGATTGGGATATAAGGTCAAAATAGTCCCTAATTCATGATATAAATCAGAGAATTTTGAACGTGTGAAAGTTCAGTGATGCACCAACGTTCTGAATTCTAGAAAACTCTATTTTTGGTCAGGAGTCACTTTCAAAAATCTTTCATTATTTTATTTGAAGAGCACATTGTGCAAGTAATGGAAAATAGACAATTGAATTACACAACCTATGCTTGAATTAAATTGGGGGAGTCTATGTCTAATAATGTCCTTGTGCTATTTATTTTGGATTTATTTTTCTGACCTATCCAGAAAGTGATAAAAACTTGAAATTTAAAGGGATATTAACAGGCCCCTGTTTAAAAAGTTCTAGATTTTTGCCCTTAAGCTAATTTGGCAAAATTTAAGCAAATTCGGCAGAGAATAAGCAAATTTGAAAAGGTTTTCACCAAATTCACCGTTACCGAAAATATTCGAACCCCCCTCCTGTCAAATTCTGGCTACGCCACTGGTATAGGTAAGCTAAGTCTTTAGGTACGGTTAACAATAATGTTGAGAGGTTTTAACAAAATGTCTTGTAAATTAAAGAATGGATGCCAATTTTTTGTGGAAAAGTCATGTTTTCAGATTTTTTTTGTCATAACTCAAAAGGTATTCTATCAATTTGCTTGAATCTTATGATCTAGCTTGAGAGTATGTCATCTTGAAACAGAGTAGTCATCCACTAATAATGTCCTTGTAATTATGTGACTAAAGTAAAATAATGTGTTTCTCATTTTATTGATTTTCAGAAAAGATTGTAGAGCCACTTCAAGCCAAAAATAACTACCCATATTATCATAGACAGTACCGTAGGGTGCCAACTATAGACCAATGTGGTACGACTGATGCTGTTTGCCAATATGAGGCTGAATTACAGTATAAGAGAGACAAGTAAGAAAATTCAACATGAATGTAATGATATTTTAATTCATACCAAGGGTGTTCACCTTTGGCAGATTTTCTTGTTTAATTTTTTTTGTGTCACCATTAAAAAATGGTGACATATTGTTATGGTCTCCGTTTTTTTTTTGACAGTGGTTGGCGATTGGCGTCTGTAACAAATTCTTACAGCCTCCAATGACTTAACAATACTGTTTAGACTGACTTCAATTTTTTTCAAAATCATCTACAAGTTATCAGAAGTTCAAATCTGTCTATAAATTTGACCTTCAATGACATTCTCAAGGTCAAAAAAAGATATCACCTTCTCAAGGTCAAAAAGGTCTTTTTTCAACTTGCTTCAAATTGACTAATTTTTTTTCAAAATCCTCTACAAGTTATCAGAAGTTCAATCTGACTTAAGATTTGAGATTTGACCTTCAATGACCTTCTCAAGGTCATTGCAGGTCAAAGGTGGTGACATTTTGTCATGTTAATGCCTTGTCATAAATAATGTTATAATGTACCAGGTATTTTCACCAATCTTACTATTGTAGTTATCTTGATTCTGTTCTTTATATTAAATACAAAATTGAGTCATGCTGTAATTGAATTTATGCTGATTGTATTCTTATCATTTATCTGTCATTTATTTATTTATATATATTTAATATTTAGAGAGGTTGATTCCCAGATTCTACAGATCCTCCGTCAACGTAGAGTAGAGTGCATGGTATGGTATGGAGAAGACAGTAAGGAGAAATGTAAGAGTATAGCCGATGATTATGATGAAGCAGCCAAGAACTGGTTCATTAAATGTAAGTTTAATGCACTGTAAGTTAAATTGAAGATATCATTTAAGGCAGATCAACCACATATACCTAGTTCAAAAAATAGATTTTCTTAAGAATATTATCAAATGCTAGTCATTCGATTTGAGTCTCAATTCCAAAATTTTGGGCTCAAAGAATGTGGGTCAATACTTCAAACAGCTAAAATTACTCTATTTTTGAGCTATAACAATTAATTTGTGAGAATTGTTTCAGGGAACGTATTTATTTGAGAATATTTGGACCCAAATATCAGGAAAGTTATATTATATGATCATATAAAATAGGCATGGTGACAATAAATTTAGCAAGTTGCCTGCAATGTCTAATTCTCTCTTATTCCATTCTGTTTTATAGATGGCGACATGGGGGCTTGTCACAAGGTGAAGGATGCCTACATGAAACAGAAACATCGCTTGATTTATGAGAGAAGACACCCTGATTGGGCGGAACGTCAAGGACTTCCGGCTAAAGGGCGGCCCCCAATGGAGGTTGAGGCCATGGAATAGTGTCATGACCATCATTGACTGTATGTATTTAGATAAGGACTTTTGCAGACTAGACTAGGTGGACCATCAGGGATTTTTGGACATTACTTTCACACCAAAATATGTATTTATTCAAAGGACTCAGATTTTGCATGCTTTAGGCTGGATTGACAAGACCTTTACCAAATGTGTATCGTCAAAAGTCAATGTGAAGCAGGAAATGGAAATTGAATGTTCAACAAAAACACCTATTGCCAATTTGAAGCGTGATTATAGTTATACTGCCATTAAATATGTAATGTACACAATATGGGATACAATTAATTGGATTGTATTCACAATAAAGTGTTGTTTGTTTTATGAAATATCTGCCTTTTTTCTTCGTTTTCCAAGTTGCATTTTTATCATTTTGATTTAATTAATTTTCCCTGGAACCACGATGCCCATGTCAAGCAGCGTGCCTACTAGGCACGCAGTTTGAAACTCTGACAAACTGCGCGCATATTTCAAAATGTGAGACGGGGAGGACACGACTCCCAAAAAGAGCCAAAATACAAAAAATACAAGGTTAGTCTCGTTCTAAAGATAGTACCATTCTGTGAAGATGAACTTAATTTACTCATAGTACTCAATGTTTTTCCCAATGTAAACCTAGTTATCTCAATATAAGGATCTTAAGTAACTTCTGTTTTCAAAATTTACAGTGTAAAGTTATATCTATGTCTTTTTATCGTCATTTGCCGTTTATTCAGCCATTGTGTCTGTGTATGCTAGAATATATAGGATCACTCCATCTGATTAAATCAGGAAAGTTTGTGTTCAAAACGATAATACGCCATAAACGTGATTTAAACATTTTTCTTGTCAAACTGCGCGCCTATATTCACATGCATTTCCCAAACTGCGTGCCTCATATTTCCAAACTGCTTGCTTATCCAAGCTTGTTTTGTATTATTAGAAAACATAAGCGCCACACAAGGCACATATGTGTCTAATAGTAGAACCCCATAATTGAAACACTATGAGAGTCCATCCACCAAGATGGTGATCTGAAAATAAAAGTTTTTTCGTTCCCAACTTAATTGTCACTTCTATTATACATTTTGACATTCAATATGAAAATCTCATAAAATCTCACGATAAAGCAAAATTTCCAAAGCTACATGAAAAACACCTACACATGCCTCTGTAGAAAATCCAATGATAATATGTAGTTTTAATAGTGTATGCGCACAGTTTGTAATTTCTGGCTAAAATAGGCGCGCAGTTTGTGATTTATTTCTTTTTAATCTCCTAATTATCTGTTTTATCTCGAAATATTTTGAATTATACATGATAAATGTGTAAGGAATTAAATATAAAACGAGTCTAAAGTATTTGTCATTTATGTTTAAAGTGCTAGATCGATTTACGTATAAATTCCCGTTAAATCAGTGACGAAAATGCCATTAATCTGCTTATGTTTTAAAACTTAGATTCATTTGCACATAGATTTTGCTAGTATTTGCAAGATTCGTATATTCGCCACAGAATGAACGCATTGAACAAGAAAACAATGCAGGATAAATGTCTTTAAATTACGTTTCAAAATACAGACTCCAACTTAAATGATGCAATGTTCTTAGGCACGCAGTTTGTGATCGAAACAAACTGCGCGCCTAAGTAGGCGCGCAGCTTGACATGGGCACCGTGGGAACACTTTAAATTAAAAAGCTACATTCTCTGAATGATAGCTGATATCTACCCTAACACATCATCAAGAAGCTACAGTATACTCTGACTACTACATTTGATTTCACTTTGGATTATAAGATGTTAATTATGTTTTATGGTAGTAATTAAGGATGCGAAACAGATAATATCAGTTGCATAAAACTTAGCGTCATGATTATTTAACTACATATTGTGGCTGGAAACAATCTGGTCTGATTGTGTAGTATATCGTGCATGTATTAATACATGGGGCTACTGGAGCCCGTTTCTCGAAAATATCATTACCCTACTATCACACCAAACTAGTTCTCACTACGTTCTCGAAAACGGGCTTCAACTGTGTACGAACGGACTGGACCTACTAAGAACCGTTTGGGATCTATTTACAAACTTCATCGAACGTACTCGAACGGGTAGGTCCTCTAGAACTCAGACAATGCTCAAAATGTTCTCGTGGTCGTCACGTTCTACAATTAGAACGAGTGAAAACGTACTAACGACGAGCTGGACGTACTACGAACGGAACCGTCGTACTTCAATCCTACTAGGGACGTTATAACAACGAGTTGAACTGTCTGAGGACGTGTTTAGAACGAGGTAGAACTAATTGCAAACGGGTTTAAACTGATTAAGAACGTATTTAACACTGCTTATGAACGAGTTAGCAAAAATATAGCTATCACACCAAACAAGTTGCCACTGCGTTCTCCAAAACTGGTTTTAAACTGTGTGCGAACGGAATGAACGTAGCTGCAACTTTCTAAGGTCTATTTACGAACTTTATGAACGTTTTCAGACGGGAATGTGATTTTAGAATTTTGAATCGATTCAAAATTCGATGGCGACCATACCGTTCTATAATCAGGTCATGATGACCTTCTAGACTAAGGGACGCGTTCTACGACGTTGCACACCGACCTGGTGCGACCTGAACGAACTGCGAACGAGATGAACGTATTGAAGACTGTTTAAGAACGAAGAAGCTAATTATTTCAGACATATTTCCCGACCACAGCCAGATTGAGCCCGTTTTACGACGTTTTCGTAGGACTGGCAAGAACGGGTAAGAACTAGTTTGGTGTGATAGGGGGGTAAATTACGATTTGCAGATTGAAGATTTTTGTTTTCTACGATGTTGTCCATGATTTTCCTAATTGCGTTTCTCGAAGCACCTCGTCAATGAAATCGTAATCGACGACTTTAAATGCCATGTACTTGATAGCAGTTGCCTAGCAATATAACAAATACAGTTTTATTGGCGCAATCTTTGAAAATAAGTTTTACTGAAGAAATCTAGAAGATGAAATTAGCCTTGATATTGTAAAATTGTATTTATGTTGTATTTTTTTTAAATTTTACACAACAGTCTCTGGCATCGCAAATCGGTTGAATAAAGTTGAAATTATCATTTTTACTAATTGTGTTCTACAAGTGAAGGTAAAGTTGCACTTTCGACCAAGAAGGCCCCTGTCTTGGTCGCAGACGTATTTAGCTGAAAGGGGTTTATAAAATAAATATGAAGACAATATTTTCCAAATACGGCACACATTCTTCCATTTTGATCTGAACCGGTGGATCTGTTCTTTTAATTCAGAACATAGAATCTGTTAGGGAGGAAAAAGTTAACAATTGAATTGTTAAATGAATAGGCGCACGGTATGGTAAATTATGTTAGGTATTCTAGGATTTTTATGTCACCACCAAAAAGTGGTGACATATTGTTATGGTGTCCATTTTTGACGGTCTTGAAATGTTTTTTTTCAACTTGCTTCAAATTGACCATTTTTTCAAAATCAAATTTCACAATAATATTGTGAGCAACAAGGTGATGACATTTTGTCATGTTAATGCCTTGTTTTTGTTTGAAGATATGAGATCTATTGAAAAAGGCCTATCGTCACCAACGTGTAAAAGTCAATTTAATTCAGGCAACACTGGTCTACACGACATGTAATGAATATTATATATCACAAAACTAATGTCATTTGTTGGATTTTTAAAATAAGTCGCAATACGTTATGTAAAAAAATAATTGAAAAAATATTAAAATTGAACGGAAGGTGGATTAATTAATCATTTTTTTCAAATACGTAACTTTGTTGATTTGTTGAATTTTCTTGCAGAAATTACCGTTCATTCTGTCCGATCACCGGGCGTATGAAGACCAGAACTTTTGCTTAACCTTCTAACAAATAACTGTACATAATTGTACTTAACAAACATCATTCAATAATACCCGGAATACTATTTTCTTCCAAAATATAATACACGATAGAAACATAAGTTTGAATATTGAAATAACAAGAAAATTTAACTCGAATACTTTCGCCTCAGTTGCTTCAATATAGATACAAGGCCTGACTATTTATTTATAGGCTATGCTTTCCCATCTGGTTTCCCCGGCAAATATTCCATTACTATCCCCAGATACGTTTCGTGCAGTGTTTTATAGACCAATCAGATCACAGGAAAACAATCGTGGATGGTTGACGAGTACCCTAAGAGGTGTCGTCAATATCGTCTCCATCCACGATAAAATCGTAGATTGACGATAATCATCAAGTTTCGAGAAACGGAAAAATCGTAGAAGACAATTGAATTCACGAATCGCAATTGACGATGTTTTCGAGAAACGGGGTCCTGGCTAATAATTTGATTAGATGAAAACTAGATGATAAAAGCATATTTTTTGTGTTGACACAATCTGTTTTTTTTTGAAAGTTTTATCATCGAAATTTGAAAACAATTTTCAGTATGTATCTTGTTTATTATATATTATTTTAATCTGAAATTTTAATCATTTTAATTTTAATTTAATCACCAGCATTTTATATACTTAAATCTTAATTAGTCGTAGTAATGCATTGATAATACCTTATTTGGAAAAAGTGTTGCTGTAATTTGCGATTATGCTAAGTCGCGATTATTGACACTGGAGTTATTAGAATGCAACTCTACGACTATTTACTGCACACTCAAGAATGAATCAATATATTTTACATTGTATTATGGAGTGTTTTATAACCAGAAAATTGTGAATTTCATTTGTGTACATTTGCATTTGAGCTCAAGCATCTACTGAAGCAACTTATGATTCACTTTAACATGAGATCCATGACCAAATCCAGGTATATGTATAAACTTGCAAACAATCCCGGCTTATGAGAGCAAGAGTTCTGAACTATTTGATTTTCTTCTAATTATATATACATGTAATCATGATTAATTTCATCTAAGGACTGAGTAAACACATCTGTTAAGATAACTTTAAGTACAATATCTCATAATATACATTCACACCAGGCCTTCACTTTTATCACATCCATTTGTGAAATAATGGGGGAGTCCAGAACACTAAAAAAATCACTAAATGTCATACTCGTGATATATTTTAATGTAGTCTTGCACCAAGTTCAGGTTTCATTCTTTTACTCTCTATGATTCTTTTAAAGACTGTTTAGTGAAAAATTCAACAGAAATTTTATAAAGAACTGATTCCAACATATTTTTGTTTGCTTTGCAACCTCTTTGCAAAATGTGGACAAAAATATACATCAAAAGATGACATTATTGGTTCAGTACATATCTTTGTTAGCAATAAGTAAACACATTGAACTAATTAAATGATGTAATAGTCTCAAATATGACCTAAGTATGTATAGATTATGTAATGTAAGTCTTTGCACCAGCTATTCACCTCATACTATATTTGGGATTATATAGTTTTGCAGAGATTCGCATCATCATTGTTTATTATTCCATCTCTGCTATATGTAACAGAACATGAACTTGAGTCACTCAAATTATTTATTGATATGGAATACAAAACCTGAATTTGGACTGTTTTGAAACAATACACTTTTAAAAATTGTATAGAGGATACTTGAAACGCATTAATAGATTGTTACATATTAAATTGTTATAATGTTTGAAAGAAATGGATATGAATTGCCAACGGAAGGAACACACAAAAGTGAGTGAAAGTTTAATTGTTGATTTTATTGAAAATAAGTTTTTAAAATGAGATGTTTTTTTGAAATGGTTCAATCCCCTACTAAATATCCTAAACATGGCCAAAGTCACAAATGAAACAGGTAAGGCAAATGAATTGCAGAAAGAGGATTTATTCAGACAAATTAAAAAGATATTATATTGAATAACATTTCTGAACTTTAAAACATGATAAAGTTATTCATTTTGAACAAGCGTTATTATAAACTATGTGGTACATCATTTAGAAGGAAAGGCACTTGTATTTTGTTTTGTACTCTACATGTATATGTAGCAGTCTTAGCCTTGCATGGTATTTATGCCCATGGCTCTCCCCCCACTTTATATTTTACAAACTAAAAAATGGACTTGACGCAAGACTGTCAAAATATACAGTTTCTATTTAATGAAATGAGGCTGGTGTGTTTAAAGAATCAAGTTCCTGTTACATTATCCTCCTCAAGGAAGCTAATATTACATTGAAGTAGGCTCAGTGACATGAAGTCAATATTTAGAAATTAATTAACAAACAATGAATTTCTCTTGATGTCTTCATTTGTCTGCCATGCATCACTTTATGTCTACATTGCTTTCCAATACTTTTTGATTCTATCTGGTTCAAGTGATTCACTAATTGTATCATGTGTACCTCAGTATTTTAAAAAGGTGGATATGTTTTCTACACAAAGAGCCTCTATTGCATTATTAAGCTAGTTCGGAGATGAATGGAGCAAATAAATGTTTTGTTTTCCTGATAAATGTATATTTCCCTCTTGATTTTTCCTGTATGCCAAACCTCCAATAATGTAATGTCTATGTATCCAAAATAGGACCCTTTTCGTCCCTTCAAAAACTTAAAATATGTGACCATATTAAATCGTGGAACATAAAAAGAATATAATTAAGTTCACTTGAGCTTCTTGGCCACAAACATACAAGAAATTGATTGCCACTTTAAAATGTCCCTAATTAAGTCAAAATTTAAATAAAATTGATCCACATATAACCTAACAAAGTAGGTCCTCAAATTTTGATAACTTTGGATAAATAAATAATCTATATTGATCAATATGAATATTACACCTGGATCTTACAAAGTCTATTGAAATTGTATTTACCAACAAGCAGGTATTATTTCTAATTGATTAATGAGAGAATGTAGTGTTTATCTAGCACACTTCATATACCATCGCTAATGGAAGCAGTCACTTGACTATACTGCTCAGTGGCTAATTGTCTGCATGAACATTTCGATTTTCTTTAAGTTTCGAAATTCACACCTTTGTGCGATGTCTTTAGTTTAAAATGGATAAATGGTAGAGTGAAATTACCTTTCTTCATCTCTCGGAAAAGGTTGGTATTTCTTTTAATTTTTCAAATTTTTAAGTTTTAATAGTATTGTAATGTGGTGATGAATTAATTTTGAACTTTTTGAACTGAGCACCCTCAGGAGCTTATAGCTTTTGCTCTGATATTTCCAAATAATGGAGGCAAATTATGAAATTTACCAGGTTGATCGCTGTGTATATGTTAAACACTGTGTCCAAGCTTCAATGGGAATATTGAAGGAACTCAAAGATATTCTTTTAAAAACTGGGTAAAGCAAAATCACGAATGTTGCTTTTAACATAGAATGAGTCAAAGATACTTTGACTTTTGATTTATAAATATGAAAATTGAATTAACTTAAGTCAAAATCACCCATGGATATATTAACCTGTAAATTCCTTGTGTATGTTATTTATTTAAATGTTATCTCATGTTTTCAGAAGGTGGTAGTTTGGCTGCAGACATTCTGTGTTGTAATCCAGATATACACGAGATTGTCAACACACAGTAAGTTGAGAAGAATTTGGTTAAGATTTGGAATACAAGCAAACAATCTAGTTGAAAATTTGCATATAAGGATTCAATCTTATTTTGATTTTCAATATAGCTTTTAGCCTGATCTACCTCTTGTAACATGGTTGTATCTTTGGTTTGTCTGTTTCAGAGCTATCGGGGACAAGAATGTTGACCACTACACAGATTTAAGCAACAACCCTGCCTCATACCTCTGGAAACCCCCACCCCCTTATAATAAGCCTAAACCCCCCTCTGCAAAATCTGAATCTCCTTATAGCAAATCTGAACCCCCTTATATCAAAAGGAATACCTTTACCAAATCTGAACCTACTAATACAGTCCCCCCTTCATACCTCTTCAAACCCAAACCATCTCATACGAAACCATTGACTGTGCAGCATAAACTTGAGCTAGTCAACCATGCATATACATCTGGCAACTTCAACCGTCAACATAAAGGCCTGTCATATTGGGGTGCTATAAAGTCCACAACTGTCAATAATAACATGGAGGAAAATCCCAGAACTTTATTATCAATGCATGAAAAAATGGAGAGTTCTCATAAATTGAAATTGGCTGAAAAAGAAGATGCCTCAAAATTATCGAAAGTTATGCCAGACACTCCTGATGAATCTGGTATCCTCAATGATACGAGTGGCAATGGTCGAGGTGCAAAGAGATTGAAAGCAGTACAACTTACAGCTACTATTGCTTCAGCATTCAACTCTAAAAGACCCAACAGAGGCTACAAGATCTCACGTCAACGGATGGGCTATAGGCACAGGCGTAAGAGTAACCTAGTTGGTGTATATAATGAGTCTTTCCTCTCTGATATCTTAGATGGAGAGGTAGATATATCACATATTACACTAACACAGGTAAGGGAACAAAATCATGTTATCGATTCATCTGATATATGATTTTATTTACAGTTGGTAGAATTACTGTATAATTTGCTGTATATAGGTAATGGTGCTTGGTCTAGTTGATATATTGTTGCAATCTAAAAACAATTGATGGCTTATGATTAGAATTTTTTCTTTTAGCCCTTGTATCAGCACTGTTCTCCCAAGATCTTTTCTCAACTTAATGCAAAAAATCTTCAATTTTGAATTAAACTGTCCAAAGATAACTTTTTTGAATTATCCAAATATTCTGAACCTCATGGTAGGATTATCTCATTATATTAATCTTAAACACTATAAACACTATTATTGTTTAGGCTGCACGAGAGGGCCTTGTGTACATCATAGAGCAGCATCTCAAGACTACCACTAATAAACAGTTGAATGAGTTAGACAATGATCTATTCACCCCTCTACACCATGCTGCCAGGTACAACAGAGTGGAAGTCATGCAACTCTTGCTGGATAAAGGAGCAGGTAAGTATATGAACAGCTTTGTTTAAAAATCAAATTCCTAACCGAGAGCATTTCTAAAGTTAGACTATATTGTGTAACTTTGTGTCAAATGGTATCCGCAACATGACTTCTATACGTAAGTTTAAATTGAGAAAATGAAAAATTCATATCCAGGAAGTTCATTCATTTTGTTACATTGACCTCCATCAAAGTAACTAGGTGTGGAACAGTGTGTCATCATGGGGCACTTATACATCCCAGTAGGCCTCCAGGACCTTTTGTATATGATTGTGTATTCTGATTTAAATGAATCGTGTATTAATTTTATCTCATCTACATGTATACAGATCCTAACATCAAAGGCTTGGATGATATGATCTCTCTCCATCTGGCTGTGAAATACAACTGCATAGATGCTACAGAGATCCTACTCAAATACAAGGCTAATCTCAATGCTGTGGACAACAAGGGAAAGACTGCATTGCATTATTCTACTAAAAGAAGTCAAGATAAGATCACACAGGTATGATACCATATTAATGGTTTATTAAGGTTTATTGTGGCATTTATTTTCCAATCATGTGTTACTTCATTGTACTGGAATAATTTTAAAGTGGCAACAAGGCCTGTAGAGAGAAAATTCAAAAGATTTTACTTTTTCTGAGCTATCAGGGCAAGATTTGGCTAAACATCTTCTTTGGCATACCTATTTTCTTAAAATGTATGGATAAACTATCAATTCCAGCATTAAGAAGTGTAAATTCAATTCAAAGCTTTTATAAAGGGAGTCCCACTTATAGATTTTTAAGATCCACCATGTTTCAAGAGGAATATCAGCTGAAATAATGTTCATCCAGGGGGTTTCTTTGGAGATAATAAAAAAAGATATTAGTCTTGATGAAATATCAAGACTTAGATATATTTTGACACTGGTCCATGATCATTGAATTGGCCTCTGCACTAATTATTGCACCTTTAAAGCATTGCTTTTTGGAGTTCTTAAAGAATGATATAAAAATGAAATTCTTCACTAAGCTAGAACCTCCCACAGCCCCACCCCCAGTGAATAATGTGCCGACATTCATACACAACTTCACCTTTGGACTTCCCTCCTTTCCATTAACTGTTGATGTTGTTTCTGCTCAGATGCTGCTGATGCAAGACACCTGCAATGTGAATGCTGAGGATGAAGACCTCCAAACTCCACTGCATTTTGCTGCTGAGTGTGGCAGTGATGGCATCTGTAGCCTACTGGTATGTTTTCCTATTAAGCTGTTATATTCAGAAAGAACAAGTTATCGCACTTTGATGTTCTATACAATTATAAAACCACACAAAACTTGATAAAACATATAGTTTGAATGTTTACTGACCACTAAATGACATATCACCTGATGAAATCAACAAATCTATATAAATGATTTGATTTATTTATCAATATATTTAACCAATAGAGCAGGTCAAAAGAGTTCAAGCATATATTTTATGATAAGTAATTTTATCAAATATTTTGTTGTTTTAGCTGTCATGTGGGGCAGACTTACAGGCCAAGGACATCAATGACATGACTCCCTTGATGTATGCTGCCCTAGATGGTCATGTCACTGTTATTGACCTTTTCTTAAAACAAGGTAGCTTAGATGTTTGTTTCAGGATTTGCATACTATATATAAGTGGTAATTAATTCGAGTGGTTAATTTGTATCTGTTGTATTAGTGTACACTTTGTTACATGTAAGACTATGTTATTATGATGTCACATATTTGTATACAATATACATGTCTCAGTAAATGTAAATATAAACTTCTATTGATAATTCAAACAAGAATATCCTTTATTAGAGTCTCTCACCCAATTCAGAATGCAGCATAGCCATTCTCAAATTCTGAATAGATGAAAAATTGTTCATGCACCCGAAGATCTACATTATGTTTTGATGTCACATTTAGGCCTCACCTGTTGTTCATGTTTTTATGACATTCTGAACAACTAGTGCTGAACTTCTACAGATTGAATGGCCTATCATTATCTATTCCTTTATCTAATCATTCCAGCTTTAAAGTCTGGTATGAAACCAGAGAAGTTAATTCTGGATGTTGACAATGAGGGCGCCACTAGTCTCCACCTTGCTGTACAGAATGGAAAATTGAAGGTTGGTGTACCATGAATAAGTAACTTCCTCTAAAACGAAAAGTGACACTCGAAATACAAATATTGACCAAGAAAGTCTTATTTTGTGCATGTGAAGTGTAAATTCATTAATAATGACTTAATGCATGTAATTACAGAACAAAAAATGAAAGTATACAAACTAAAATTTGAATGTCATTTGCAGGTTGCTGAGATTTTACTGATGAATGGTGCTCCAGTTGATTTCCAAAAGGTTTGTAGAGAACTGTAATTCATTGTTTTTGAAATAAAAGAAAATCATTGAAAAACTAGGAAAAACTGTAGTAAAAAGTTGAAGTCTTTTGCATCAAATGCATGCATAAAACTCCATAATGTCCTATGTATCATTATAGGCCAGAGGTATGACAGCTCTCATGCTTGCCACTATACAGGGATACAAGAGCATTGTGCAGCTTCTACTAGACCACAAAGCATCTGTATTGATAGTTGATGAAGATCAGATGACAGTTGTGCACAAGTAAGGGAATATTTGCTGATTGCATGCTGTTTCAAACAGAATGGTCAGAAAAGTGTCAAATTTTAGAAAATACAGGCACGCAAAAAGTCTCAAAAGATGTTTTACTCTTTTGGTTTCATTGGGCTCATGTGACATATTCAGGACAGGGTGAGATATATACACCTTGCCCCGAGGTCAGAGCTGTTTCAAACATGGTCAGAAAATCGTCAACTTTTAAAAAATACAGGCGCACAAAATATTGTTATTCCTATTGTGTGCCTGACATAAACATTTAAAGGCATATTCTCTTATTCCTTCAGAGCGGCCCTATACAACCAAACCACCATACTACCCCTGCTGTTGAGATGCGGGGCAGACTTGAATGCCAAAGATATAGACAACTTTACCCCTCTGTTGTGTGCCTCTTGGAAGGGCCACTCCAAGACTGTAAGGCTCATACATACATTGTATACCAAATTTGTTTATAAATTCATCATATGAGAACTTAACTTTCTTGAAAAGATGGTACCTAGTATCAATACTGTTTGTGTACACTGCTGCAGGTTTCTTACCCCACAGAACAAAGTTTGATAGTTTAGGAATATAGAGAACCCATCTGTTCATTGGTTCGACTGTGTGTCCAGGTGATAACTCTAATTCTGGTTGACAGATTTGGTTCAAAATGGCTAATCAAATCAAAATGACAATTCTCAGTGGAACATTTTTCGAAGAGATTTACTCCACTATATATGGAGTTGTGGTTTTTCTCACGACATGTAATTATACTTCAATTAAAAGCACTTTGAAAATAAGATTCTATTCAGAACTTCAACAAATTAACAAACAAACAAAAACAAATATATAACTATTTCAGGTGAGATTCTTGTTAGACCATGGGGCTCAGATTGCTGAAGTGGATTGTTCATTGAAGACATGTTTACACTGGGCAACTGAGTGTAACAACTATGAAACACTTACAACTCTATTACAGGTATGAATGAACATGAGGGTGATGTACTCTATTACTCTATTTTAATTACATTTAATGTTTTTATCATGTTCAGTATTTAATGTGCAGTATTGAATTTTGATAAATTGATTTATTTTAGTTTGAGGGGATGTGCAATCTTATAGAGAGAAGGGATCAAAGCGACCAGACTGTTCTACATTACGCTGCTACATTGGGAAATATAGAAGTAAGTATATATCACATTAGTGTTTTCTCAATTTTTTACATCTTTCTATGTATTTCATATGCTTTAATCAAAACATAAAATACAGCAAGTAGCAAGTAAAAGATTGTACAGATAACATTAAATCAGCATATAACGCTTTAAATAGATAGATTTCAATAAAGAGAACAAATCACTGTTGTAGGCAGTGCATTTGTTACTAGACAAAGGAGCTAGGCCAGGGACCAAGTTAATCTCTTATACATTGCACTCTTATAGGCAGTACAACTTTTACTAGACAAAGGAGCTAGGCCAGGGAGCAAGGACCAGGAAGACAAGACCCCCTTGCATCTGGCTGCTGAGAGCAACAATGTGGAGGTAGTGAGGTGCCTTATAAACCTGAGTGGGGCAGAGACCAATGATGATGACATAGATGGGAGAACTCCACTATTGCTAGCCTGTCTGCATGGACACAGTGTTGTAGTTAGACTTCTGTTGGTATTGGGTGCTGATATATCCAGCAGGTGATACAATTTAAGGATTTATTTACTTTTTATCAAATGGGTTATATCTTATTTACAATACATGTAATGCACTCAGAGATAAAATATGTTTTTTCTAGTGAGATTTGTTACACTGGGGAGATGACGTTTTTCTTATTACTTGTATAATTGCAGGGATGATGATCAGAGAAGTGCTCTGATGTTGGCTGCTATGAATGGTCATGTTAGCGTTCTCAGCATTCTATTGGATAACCATTGTGACATCACTGCTACTGACAGGTTAAAGGTGAATATTTATGAAGGCATTGTTTGAACATCTTATCGTTCTATTGAAGTAAAGTACCTCGAATTAAAGTGCATGTATACTGGATCTAAAAATAGGAAATTCAGGAGTTTACAATTTAGAAGTAGATTTAGCATTGAAGTATTCAGGGTGTTTGAAGTGGTCCAAAATATAAAATATAAGACATGAACCCATTGTGCAAGAGGTATCACTCAGCATTGGTATTAAGTAGAATATAATAAAAACAAAAGTATGTACAAAAAGGATATTTGGATATATGATTATTTATTTTCCACAGAACACTGCATTACATTATGCCTGTATGGAGGGTCAGGCAGATGCTGCTAAACTGCTGCTAGACAACCAGGCCAATGTTAAAGCCAAGAATGTAAAGTCCCTGACTCCTCTTGATATGGCTATAGAGTACCAATGCTCAGATGTTGCTGTGGCATTACTCAAGCATAATAGGTGAGTTCAAAGGATGAGTATGGGGATGTGTGAAATGATAAAAAAAGGTCAATGTCAAATTTGAAAAGGCAACACAGGGATGAGAAAATAGATGTTATGTATGTTCAAAGGAAGTATACGTACGAGGATATGTAAATGATTAAAAGTCCATCATTATGGTCAATGGCCAATTTGGAAAGGCTACGCAGGAATAAGAAAATAGATGTAATCTATGTTAAACTTAACCAGAATGCTGATAAGAACCTACCAGGCATTATAGATTTCTATTTTTGTTCACTATGCCCCGACATCCATCTAAACATTACATTAAAGACAATTTGCAAGCAAATAACCATTAAACTGGATTGGGGAAAGTAATTTGAAACTTCCAAGTATCGATATCACTAAATCTTGTATATGTAAATATTAAAATTGTAATAATTGTTCAAAATGCCATTTTACTTTAATGTTCCCTTTACTCAGTATGTTGCCATTTTATTGGCTCTGCTTCCCAAGCGAGTACAAGTGTATTCATTTGAGATTTATTTCATTTTTGAAGTAAATTCCAGTTGTTCTTATAGATAAAGAGGCTTATTCTTTCAGTTGGGTCTACTTTTATTTAAAGGTTATAATTTCAATATCAATTGTAAATCCTGCAACGAGTTATAGATTATTTATGATGACATAGAATATTTCATCATCATAAATTCTTTATATAATGTTTATTCAAGATAATCTTTATACAGTGATAGGAGTACCACTCCACTTAAAAAGATAATAAATGCTCCATTTGTAATATTCAACCACTCTCTTCACTAAAGTACTGGTTAGTGTGGTAAATATTTTTGTTTCAAATGTGTTTTTTTATTCACAATTCTTAAGATTATATTGCCCAATGCCAGGTCCAACTCACTACTTCTAAGTCAGTAATTATTGACAGCCCTAGACAGTTCAAAGGTTAAGGTATAAATCTTGTTATCCCACTGAACGAAGTCCGATAGGGATATAGAGAAACTGTCTGTCTGTTCATTAGTGTGTCAGGGCAATAACTCAAATACCAATTGATAGATTTGGTTCAACTTTTGTAAGTTTATGCCTTATGGGCATATGAGTCCAAGTCAATAAAACTTGATTCATGCACATGCAAAAGTCAGTTCTGAATTTGTTCCTATGCCATGTATTTAAGAACATACATCTGGGCAGGTTTGGAGCAACCTATGACCAGTTCCCCCTTGTTGTTTAAAACCACAGCAGTTGGGTTCCTTAGGCCATCTTTGCCACTCAGCAGAGTTTTCTTATACTCCCCTTGAGGTGAGAGAAGCTGAATGTTGTGTTTCCAATAGTCAGCTATGATCACTTGTCCTACACTGTCCACACATATGCTTAGTGGACATAACAGAGTGTGGTCCCCTTTTCCAGTGTAGGTAGACAACAAGTCCCCCTTAGTGTTAATAAATTTAACAGACTCACCTACACAGTCCGCAATTAGTATATTATTTTCACTGGTTACTGTTATGCTGTATGATGATTTAAACATATCAGTGGGGGTTGTATCTATCACTTTTCCTGAAGTAATATTGATACGGGATATGAATTTTTTCTCATCATCCGCTATAAGCAGCTCTTGTGGTTTGTTGAATGCTATCGCTATAGGTTTTTTGATTGTGAATAATTTTATGTCTCTGATTTTACTCCCTCTTGTGTCAAATAACCTCACGCCAAATTCATTTGCGGTACTTGACACCGCAATTGTGTCTTTTGTAGAAGCCACACAGCTAACATTTTCTGGCACCAGTGTCTTCTTCATATTCCATTGATTATCAAACAGTAGGGCCTTTTCAATTTTCTCAATTTCATCTTTCACATTCATGACATAATGACCATTTGGCAGGCCTGCTATGGAATTGATGGAGCCAGCTGCATAACCAGCTATGGGTTTATTCTGGATGATCTTTGGGTCATCTAGAACATTTATCTTGAGTGATGTCGGCCTGTGTCTCCCAAGTCCAACTAACAAAGGTGGACTGTCTGATTCCTCTTCAGGAACAGCTACTGAATCTAGATAAAATACATAAAATCTTAAATAGACAGAAAAGAGCTATTCACATCATCGTTAAGGCACAAAACTATGAAAAAATTCAACTTAAAAACAATTATTTACTACAGAAATGACTTAAAATCAACATGTGTAGGATTGTGCATGATTGTAATGGAGATCTTCACGTATTTCAGATATTACAATCTTATATTTTGTAACATTGAATAGATATTAGTTCTATAACATGTTAATACTAACCTATGGCAGTTATATTCTTCTCTACTCTGTACTTGATCATAAGTTGTTGCATATCTTCTTCAATCTGCTTTAACTTTGCTTGCATATTCTCAAGTTCATCACGATGAAGGGTTTCTAAATCCTCAGGAACAATGTCATTTGCTAATCTGAGCATCAAACTTGCTTGGCAAAGTGTCTCTTTACGAAGACGCTTTTCAATAGTTGTAGCTAAAGAGCAATAATCAACCCTCAGGACATCAACAAATGAGTTGAATGCTTTAATAGAACGAGTTTCTAACCTGCTTAGGAAAACTCTGCATTTTTCGCTTGGAGTTTTCTCAGCACGTATTTCATCCATCATTTGCCTTGTTATGACCTCATGTTGAACGCATGCATCTATAATGTAGCTGACATCCACATTGCGAACTATATCGTGATGGCATTTTTGTAAAGTGTCTCTATGAACATGTGTTAGAAGATTTTCATCCTTTATGAATTTAACAGCCATCTTCTATAAATAAGATTAAGAATAAATATGAACATATGATTTTTCACTATACTGGCACAAACCATGGGTTTCAAGAGAGCCCATGCACAAACAAACAGTGTGCAATAGCTTTTCAACAATTCAACTTTTGGCAAAAAGTACAACATACCATACCATACTGTCTGGCTGCTAATTTCAGCATTTGCATGGAAATTTGAGTGACAACTGTATTGTCTGATTTATGTTAATTTAAAAAGCACAAAGGGTAACACTAGATAGATTTAAATCTGCAAGAAAAAATTGAAGTAGACCTACTTTAATTTTCCGTTGACCTTCCAGTGAAAATGTTAGACGAAGAATTGTGCATGAGTGCCTGTTTTATGCATGCAAAATACATGTACACATGATTCTGTTTAACATATGAGATTATTTGGAATTATGAAGGGGTTGTATTAGAATGCAAAGTTTAATAACTTGAATATAATACTTTTCAAACTTTGTTGAAAATGCATGTGAATCATTGGGAAAATACTTTTAGACCTAATCTAATCCAATTTCAAAAAATCTAATGGCCATAATAGTTAATTTTGTAGTTCATACTTGCTTGACAGAATTCATTCTTGAGAGAATCCTTTTGTTTGTTTTATAACCTTATCTCTAAATGAAATAAATTTATAACATCTAACATATTTATTAAATAAATGAAATATGATGTGTCAGACCAGTACCTGAATTATTAAATTTTAAACAGAGGATTAAGCAAATAAAGTTGAACAGGTGTCATCAGAAAATTAGATTCTCAATTTCAGTTGAGAAAATATTTAAACATTTTTATACAAAGAGGGAGCATAATACTGAAAGCTGCTATTTTATTTTGAGTTCCATAAAAAAATATTATAATATTAATTAGTGACATCTATTTTTATTTATCTAGTGTTTTAACAGTCACATTTGTCTGAAGTTTGATGAATACCCTGGAAAGTTTGAAAGTTTTGTGTTCTAGCTGAAGGAGTGCATTCCAGGAAATTATGATTTATGTTCTAGCTTTTTTTATTTATAAAATTTCAATGACTGTGCAAATTACTGGCATAGCATTAATGTCTTTCATATACATATATTAAAATGAATGACATACTGTATGTGTATATATAGATCAAATTAAACACAATATTAAACAGAAATTTTGTTTTGTGTTCTAGCTGGAGAAGTATCATGGAGGTGCGAGATAAAAATGGTTACACTCCCATCAAGAAACTTATTCAGAGATTACCTGATGCAGCTCAGGTGAGAAACTATGATCAGACCTTTTTTGGCTCTCTTTAGGTCTTAACTCCAAAAGTGCTTCTTTAATTTGCTTGAAATTGTCTGGGTACGTTTACTTATATAATCAATAATGTCTACAATTTTCGGCAAAATATGTTTCAAAGATTCAAAATGGCCGCCACTTTTATTGTGGAGAAATCAGGGTTTATGCTCTTTTTTGGTCATATCTCCACAAGTATTCCATCATTTTGCTTGAAATTTTACAGGCACTGGACCTTAATTTATAGGTTATCAATAATTTATTGCCAAAATGATCAATGGTTTATCACACAAATAACATTTTGCAAACATGTTCAATACAATCAAATTGATGCAATACTTATCACATGTACCATATTTCTATTTACTGTAAACTCCATAATGTTTCAGGTGTTGCTGGACAACTGTTTGGAAAAGAAATGCAGGAACAATAGCATCGACCAAGTAACTGTAAGTTCTAATCACTGACCTATATATTGTATTCTATATACCTGAAGGACAATATAATGAACAATACAGTTTGAATAAAAATGTTCTCAAAATAGCATTATGTTACTTTACTACATGTATTAAAGATTGATTTCAAATTCTTAATTTCCAAAAGCTTGTTTACATGTACATTTACCCAGAATCCACATCTTCGTTCACTCTGCTCTCATCAGTCTGAATTCAGTGTTGACCAAGCGTGTGAAGATGAAGAAAGAAATCATTGATTGATGAAGAGATCGGAGCAGAGAGAAGGGGGAGGTTATGTTCAGATGTTTAATGATTTTATTCTAACTTCGTGTTTTACCAGATGACGTTAGACTTCCAGTACATAGACCCAGGTCCAGATGACATTTGCTGTAAGAATAAAAGATACTGTGCTCTCTATGTAAGTAATGATATATACCCCACTCTGTCTGTTACAAGAGGTTTTTCTTTTATTGCATAATACAGAACTTGATATTATCGATCACTTGACTGGTGTCAATAAGATTATTGGTAATGCATTGCATTATTGGCAATGCATTGCATTATTGGTTATGAATTGCATTATTGGTTATGATTTGCACAACATTATACCATGGTTTACTTACATTTTGTTAGAGTCTCTTCTTACACATACATTTACTGCATAACATTATACCATGGTTTACTTGCATTTTGTTAGAGTCTCTTCTTACACATGCATTTACTGCATAACATTATACCATGGTTTACTTGCATTTTGTTAGAGTCTCTTCTTACACATGCATTTACTGCATAACATTATACCATGGTTTACTTGCATTTTGTTAGAGTCTCTTCTTACACATGCATTTACTGCATAACATTATACCATGGTTAACTTGCATTTTGTTAGAGTCTCTTCTTACACATGCATTAACTGCATAACATTATACCATGGTTTACTTGCATTTTGTTAGAGTCTCTTCTTACACATGCATTTCCTGAGTACGAGGGTTGTCCCATAAGTCTTGAAATTTTTATTCTTATTCATAGAATATTTGAGATACAATGATAAAAATTTCACATTTTCTAACGTAGATATATTTCTTTCATCTCTGTAAGTTTCATAGCATAATAAGATCATTTGGTAATGTTACAGATGATTAAAAATGGAATGTTGGGGGTACCCGGGGCAGAAAACAGGATAAAAATACAAATATGACGTAAAAATTAAGGATTTGGGAACCCCTGGCTCAGCTCAACATGTTGCCTTTTCTGCTCCTCTGTCAGAATATGTGGAATGAATCTAGGGGCTACCTTTGACATCCAAAGGTCTTTCTTCATCACTCTGTGAGCAGTACTCTTACTAATATCAAAGTCTAAGCGATCTTCCTACACTGAGTAGTTCTCATTTCAGCCCTTATAGGCCTACTCTCTGCAATATGTGATATGAGATTGTCACTGGATTTTGGCCTTCCACTTCTAGGAGCATCTTCCAGGCTGGTATCTCCAGTTTTTAACTCCTTCTATCACCTCCATATTGTAGGTGCACTTGGAGTTTACTGTCTATGTACTTTTTCCATGGCTGTTCTTGTTTGTGTAGGTGTATGCCTTAAGGAGGCGTGGTATTGCACAACTGCACGCAAAGATTTAACATCTGGTGACAAAATCCCTGCCATTTTGATTTTCAAAATGCTGTGGCTCTGTACCAAAATTGAGCAATTGTGCTAGTTTATTATGACATCACTGAGGTATTTCATAAGATTTTACCAAGAATACAGTGTTTTTGTCAATCTTGACAGGTGATTCACAATTTAAGATACATACCATCCTTTAAAATCCTTAATACTCCCACGGCTCCATTTTACATTTTTACTATATTTCATTACTGCCCCACCCCCCGACTCCCCCGGTTACCATAGCAACCATAATAATTACTCAAGTTCATAATTTTGTTATGAAACTATCACATGTTGAAGATAATTGATTGATCTTGATATATACTAATTTTCAGCCAAATTCATCAAAATCTTTTTGAATTAGAATAAAAATTTCAAGACTTATGGGACAACCCTCGTATTTAATTGTTTTATTGCAGACAATGGTGGAGTACCAGAGAGGGGAAATGCTGTCTCATCCTCTATGTCAGAACCTCATGTCTAAGAAATGGTATATTGTCATTCCTGAAAAGTTGCTTTTTCTTACCTTATGGCCTAGTCACATAGCCCGGCCGATGAGGTTACGATGAGCCAGCGATGCAATTTTCACCGAACTCGGCCGAACACCGGCCGGACATCCGTGGCGTTTGTTGCTTAAAACCGCATCGGTGGTAGCTCGGTGAAATTTTAACTTCGGAGTTAAATTTCACCGGGCTCTCACCGAGCTCCCTCATCATGTCATTGCAGCCCCATCGTAACCACATCGGAAAACACGTCGGCCGGTGCACGGCCGAGTATCGGCCGGTGTCCCGTGCATCTGAGACAACCAGAGGACGAGGTTTTTTAACGGACAGCGGCCGAGCTCCGACCGAGCTCCGGCCGATGTGGGACAGAGCATGGGCCAGTCACTGTTCAAAGCCCGTTAACAACCCGGCCGGCGATCGCACGGTGTCCTGTTACCTGCTCGGGTACCGGCCGTATTCCTTCCGATGTCCGGCCGACCTCCGGCCGGTAGTTGCTGCCACATCGGCAGAAAAAAACTACCATTTTGAGACAGACTCCGTACGGTCACCGGCCGGTGTTCGGTCGGTCGCCTGAAGATGTCCGGAAGGAGTCCGTTCACGTCACCGAGCTCTGCTTCCGATGAGGAGAGCTCGGTGGCACCAAAAAAATCCACCGAGCTCTACCGATGCCGGACATCGGCCGGGCTATGTGACTAGGCCATTATTCACCTCTTTTACCCCCCTTGCTTCTTTATATTTCCATATCCTGGCCTTCTTTATTTTTTCTCTCTCACCCTTGCTCTTTTCCCTTGTGTCTTAAAAGTGGAACAGTACAGGGTGACCCAAAATGAATACACCCATAACAGCATTTTGGGTCACCCTGTGTAAGGAATAAGGAAGGAACATATTGGATGATGTCTGCCTTTGGGATGTAAAGAAATAGAACACCTGAAGACAAATCATATTTACTTAGTGGTAAAGTACCAATGATGTGAAGTATGCATGAGTATTGCTAATATTGGACAATCATAAGAGGTTCACCTCACATGACATCACAAGGTTATTATGTTCATTTATGAAAGCAAGCTATTTGGGCCTCATAGCTTGTGTACTTCTTCATTTAAAGCATCACTAGCCTATTTCATAAAGTATGTAACACTGCTAGATAAAGAAATCTTTCACCCTCAGATGTTCAGATGTATGTCCACACCATAATCTAAAATGATTTTTGCTCTTGCATTGATTACAAATTGTTGTATTCGGAAAAATATATTAATAATTGACCCATTTGTTTTAGGGTGAAATTTGGCATGTTGTGTTTTATCTTAAATCTTCTGCTGTATGTCGTGTTCCTTGTATTATTGACTATCTACACATCATTTGCTGGGGAGCCAATCACAACGGACCTCATTGACAATGTGCGCTACTGTCCCATATATCTCAATGCAACAGAGAGGCAAAATGAAACACTAGTTGAGTATTATATAAAGGTTAGTATCATTTAATGTAACACAGTACAGCAACAAGGATTGGCAACCATTATTCAAACTCGATACTCCGTTGCCTGCAGTGGAACAATTTAGTAAAGATATTTCTATAAGGTTCTCTCAACTATTTCGTTGAAAGATGGTCATTACGAGTATTTTGGTAGTATTTAAGCTTCCTCAGCAGTTCTAGTCTTCAAAATATGAGTAATATTGTTACCAAATTGATCTACGCCAGGCAACAGAGTACTAGATAGTATTGAGTTTGAATAATGGCTTCCAATCCTCCTTGACAGTACAGTAAAACATGACATAAGTGTGAAACATGTTGCCATGGCAACATTGTTTTACATTGTATGAAGAAAGCAAAATGTCCAATCCCCAATATCCCCTGCTAAATATATGTATATATTCCAATCCAAACTAGTGAAGCCAATTGTTGATAATGTGAAAATCTAGCTGTCAATTATACAAATTGTATAACATATAAAAAAACATCCCATGTTTTAGTTTTACCCGAATGGACTAAAAATTCATTTTAATGTCACCGCCATAAGTATTGTAACTGTTATAGTCTCCAACTTTATTGTGGCAGTAATTGGTGGTTGGTGTTCAGCGATGGTATAAAATGGCAAGTGGTGACATTTTACATGTTAATGCCTTATTTTATTGCAATCAAACATAGCATGGAAAGATGACAGAACAAGATCTTCTTCAAGAGGATCCGTATCTGAGTGTCCTTGGGCCTTCTCTTACGGTCATCATGATCATATTCCTCATTAGAGAGCTCTTCAAAGTGTATTCCCAGGTGAGTGGGCTAGCCAATAGCATTAAAACATGCATTTAAACTACATTGTTGTGTTGTATTGTATGTGTATTGTATGTCAAAATTAACAACAACAGATCAACTTTGTTAGAATATTGACATCTGAGTATGTTTTTGCTTTTTAAATCTAGCTCAATATCTCATCTTCATTGCAGAAGTTACGTTACTTCACAGAACTGAGCAACTGGGTCAATTTAGAGTTGATCATCACCACATTCATATTCACCCAGCCCCTGAACCAGGCTCCTTGTCTTACCCAGTGGAGGGCTGGATACTTTGCTAACTTTGCAGCATGGGCAGGTCTCATACTCTACCTTCGGAGGTAAATATTCATAACCAGGGGTTTCATTAGCAGCAGGCAACAGCCGATTTTCACCAGTTGTTTTCACAAATTCGCCGGTTGTATTTAGGATCTTTTAAACTTTTCCATGTTAGATTCATGATTTCCATTAATTTTGCCAGTTGTTTTCATTTATTTAGCCTGTTGTGAGAAATTCTTGTGAAACCCCTGCATGTACAGTAAAATCTTTTAGAATGGAATGCTTATGATATCTCTCAATTGTTCCTATTGAGGTGTTCCAGTGGTAACAGTAGTGTTATACCTCTCATTATCCAAAGTACATTGTACTGGTATACAAACATGTGCCTTTGCCCAATGGAATCTTTTATTTGAATATCCCATCTCCTAATAATCCTCTCTGTGCAATTTTCTATATTATAATGTAACCAAAATGCTCCATATATAGCGACATACATTAAGTTGAACATGTTTAAATGAAACCAGATTACAGTGATTAAGAATTTACTATACACGCTATTATATACAGAGATAAATAGATGGCAGTAGTCTTGGTCAGGTTTTGGGAGAGGAATGACAGATAATAAATGAGGATTTGAATTAGGGTGTTTGAATCGAATAATTGAATTAGAGTTTGAATGTTAATTTTAAGTGCTTGCAGATGAGATAAACTTTGGGGAAGTGTTAGCCAAAACTGACCCCCATAGGCTGTACCAATGTTATTGTATTTTCAGGATAGATATGGTTGGCATCTATGTGATTATGTTCATAGCTGTGTTCAAAAGCTTACTGAAGGTGGTGGTAATATTCCTGATGTTCCTCATGGCATTCACCTCTGCCTTCTACATTCTACTAGCCAGACAGGTAATTCACCTCTGCCTTCTACATTCTACTAGCTAGACAGGTAATTCACCTCTGCCTTCTACATTCTACAAGCCAGACAGGTAATTCACATCTGCCTCTTACATTCTACTAGCCAGACAGGTAATTCACCTCTGCCTTCTACATTCTACTAGCCAGACAGGTAATTCACCTCTGCCTTCTACATTCTACTAGAGAGACAGGTAATTCACATCTGCCTTCTACAATCTACTAGCTAGACAGGTAATTCACCTCTGCCTTCTACATTCTACTAGCCAGACAGGTAATTCACCTCTGCCTTCTACAATCTACTAGCTAGACAGGTAATTCACCTCTGCCTTCTACAATCTACTAGCTAGACAGGTAATTCACCTCTGCCTTCTACATTCTACTAGCCAGACAGGTAATTCACCTCTGCCTTCTACATTCTTCTAGCCAGACAGGTAATTCACCTCTGCCTTCTACATTCTACTAACCAGACAGGTAATTCACCTCTGCCTTCTACATTCTACTAGCCAGACAGGTAATTGATCTCTGCCTTCTACATTCTTCTAGCCAGACAGGTAATTCACCTCTGCCTTCTACATTCTACTAACCAGACAGGTAATTCACCTCTGCCTTCTACATTCTACCAGCCAGACAGGTAATTCACCTCTGCCTTCTACATTCTACTAGTGACAGGTAATTCACCTCTGCCATCTACATTCTACCAGCCAGACAGGTAATTCACCTCTGCCTTCTACATTCTACTAGCCAGACAGGTAATTCACATCTGCCTTCTATATTCTACCAGCCAGACAGGTAATTCACCTCTGCCTTCTACATTCTACTAGCCAGACAGGTAATTCACCTCTGCCTTCTACATTCTACTAGCCATAGAGGTAATTCACCTCTGCCTTCTACATTCTACTAGCCAGACAGGTAATTCACCTCTGCCTTCTACATTCTACTAGCCAAACAGGTAATTCACCTCTGCCTTCTACATTCTACTAGCCAGACAGGTAATTCACCTCTGCCTTCTACATTCTACTATTCAGACAGGTAATTCACCTCAGCCTTCTACATTCTGCTAGCCAGACAGGTAATTCACCTCTGCCTTCTACATTCTACTATTCAGACAGGTAATTCACCTCAGCCTTCTACATTCTACTAGCCAGACAGGTAATTCACCTCTGCCTTCTACATTCTACTAGCCAGACAGGTAATTCACCTCTGCCTTCTACATTCTACTATTCAGACAGGTAATTCACCTCAGCCTTCTACATTCTACTAGCCAGACAGGTAATTCACCTCTGCCTTCTACATTCTACTATTCAGACAGGTAATTCACCTCAGCCTTCTACATTCTACTAGCCAGACAGGTAATTCACATCTGCCTTCTATATTCTACCAGCCAGACAGGTAATTCACCTCTGCCTTCTACATTCTACTATTCAGACAGGTAATTCACCTCAGCCTTCTACATTCTACTAGCCAGACAGGTAATTCACTTCTGCCTTCTTCATTCTACTAGCCAGACAGGTAATTCACCTCTGCCTTCTACATTCTACTAGCCAGACAGGTAATTCACCTCTGCCTTCTACATTCTACTAGGGACAGGTGATTCACCTCTGCCTTCTCCATTCTACTAGCCAGACATTAACTGAAATAAGTAAACCTGTTTTTCATTGCTATCTTATTGTATTTAGCGCGATTGTGATTTTTTGTAAAACATATTTTATAAGAAAATAGAGCATTGACCTTTGTTATCTCAGAAATCACACTTGATGATATCATATACACAATAATCATAGGACAAAGATATGTGCATGACTATATTTCTCCATCCGTCATCCGAATATTCATCTGTCCATACGTCTGCTTGTCCGTACGTCTCTGCAGGTTCATATTTTGTACACATGTGTCCTATTGGGGTATAAGTTCAGATTTTCAAAATGGCCACTTGTTTAAAAATGGTGGGCATTTTAGTGCCTTTTTTACAGTAATTTAGGAACAATACATAAAACTGTAATAGCAATGTTTTTTATATGTAAAAAAAGTTATATAGGACATTAATAAAGCTAGAAATGTAGATATTTAAGAAACACATGGCACCTATCTTGAAAAATGGAGGTCTTTAGTTTACACGCTACTTTACGATTTTTGCTGTAAAGTAGTGGAGCGATTTTGTTCATATATTATATTTGAATACTCATAAGCATGGCACATTGTTTCATGACACTTTGGCTAGAAGGCGGCCATTTTGAAAATGGTTGCCATTTTTACGTGTGTTATGTTATAATTTTACTATAACTCAAAGGTAAACCAGAGCGATTTTGTTCATATTTGATATGCGAATACTCATAAGCATAGTACTTATGACACTTTGGCCACTAGGTGGCCATTTTGAAAAATGGCCACCATTTACAGGTACAAGTATATGATTTTTTTGGAAATTTTATGTGTGCCTTCTTTTAAGCATATTACACTTTCTTATGACAATTTGGCTACTGAACGATCATTTTGAATGTTATTTAAGATTTTTGCTATATCTAAGAAAGTAGTAGAAGGATTTTGTAAAAATGGCAGCCATGGCTGTTTGATGGGATTTGCTACGCTTTGGCATTTTTGTTATCTAGTTAACCTTTATAATGGTGGCATACTTAAGAGGGAGCAATACAGATATAAAACATATTTCAAGAGTGTATAGTGATAAAGGAATATTTTACTACAAGTACATGTACATACTGTCAACTTCATTTGAAGAAGATATCATATTATCAGAAGGTGTGTTAAAGGTAAATGTATTGATTGGATATTTCAATCCAAGTGTTGCTGTTGTTATCTTTAACATGGCAAAATACAATGTGTCTCTTCAGAATGTCCTATTGGTAATAAACGAAACTTTTAATGGGAGGTTAAACAAATGACCATATGTCGCACATTCATGGCTCACATGTCATACAAAAACATGAGTGGTTCCACCATTTTTAACAAACCGATCCCAAATAAAATGATGTTAAAGCTTTACAGGTCAATAGGTCAATGATTGACCTATTGACTCCCTATTGGGAGTCAATGATAATTATCAACTAAATACATCAAGCTTCCATTCTTTTATCCAGGTCATATAACTTCGGAAATTATTACAATACCATACAAAAAAATGCAAATGTTGAGAGAGCTTTCACACTCATTTAAAAAATGAATTTGTCCAATCCGTTACTGTAAACTCTGTGCTATATGTAAAAGACACTTTAAATCAGTTTGAAATTTAAATATTACAAAAATAGACATGACATTTATACATCACGTATAGGATCTATTATGTTTTTAAAAATAAGCAATAACATATGATCTACATCATGTTCCATAAAATACCAAATTGCAAGTGTAGGCCTTACACAAGATATTTGCACTTAATGTCTATTTAATGTATTTGTAAATGTTCAACTTTTTAGAGTTGTATATCAACACAGCTAGAGAGCCATTTTTCTGTACAGTGAAAGCATCTATAAAGTTGTCACATTGAAGCACTTCCTTGTCGACACTCAGGTCTCTACTGTATAAAAGCAGCTTCTTGTTTCCGTCTGTTGCCTTTGCCAAGATGTGTCTGTACATATCAGTCAGAAGGTATTTTTCATAACGATATGAAAATAATTTTTCACCACAGTCACAGTTATGTTGTTTCTTATGTTTCAATACCCCAGTATCACTGTACACCTTTAGTTCATGATCACCATCATCATACACCACAATGTCTCCATTTATGTTGAACAAAACATCAATAGGATCCTTCAACTTATCCAGTCTCATCTTCTCTCTGCCATTCTGGTCTATGATAATGACAGCCTTAGCAGCATTTTCCACTATAGCGATGTCATTGTCCTCATTTACAGCAATATTGTGTATATCTCCAAATGTTTTAATGTCTCTCATGTGCTTGTAGTTTTTGTCATACAGACCAATTGTTGTAGTTGTTGCAATGAGGACTTCTTTTTTGTTGATTCTGGCAACAGATCTTGGTGGGCCAGTACATGTGATGTTAAGTTTATGATAACGTCGAGCATCAAATGCAGTGGCTACATCTTTGTTCCATTCAATTATGATAGTATCTTCGTTTGAAGCGATTGCTATGTCATTTGCCCAACCTATTCCAGTATCGAAGCTACTCAACTCCTCTGCTTCTTGGACATCATGATGTATCTCATCAGGGAATAATGGCATAGGCGTGCCCCTTACTATGTCTTCTACATCCACAGAGATGCTATCCATATATTGTTGAAGCATCTGTGTGTCATTGGCAAATACGGTAATTTGCTGTGTAATTAGCTTATAAGGGCGCTGCCAATCGTTGGACTCCCATGCGGTAAATGTATCTATGAGTTTATTGCTCATTTTACTCAGTTGGACATCAGATGTATTTGTTTTTAAAGTTTCCAACAGTCTCCTTTCATTATTGAACCGAGATAATCGTCCCGACATATCGCTTGTTGTTGTTTCCAAAAGTTTCATTTGAAATGCATGATTCTTATGCAACTTTTGCAAGCAATTGTCTCTCTTTGCATCAATTTTGGCCTGGATTTTTTGAAAGTATGCGTGAACTGATTTTGCAGTTTCGTCATAGTTTTCCTTACATTCCTTCATCATGTTCTCAATGAATCTTACATAATCTGTAAGAGGACGCTTAAAGTTCGAATTACCTTGTTTTAAAACGTTGCCAATCTGATTACGTATTTCTGTTGCTTTGTCTTTGACAGCAATGATTTTGTGATCCCTATGCTTTAAGAGAATACAGTTCCTACACACAGTTTCACCATCATTTTTACAGAAGAAAATAAGTTCTTCTTTTTTGTGATTTGGACAGTAATGCCTCACTATAGCTTTCCTGTGAAAACTGTCTGTCATTTCAGGGTCAGCTGCACACACATCATTGGCATTAATATGTTCTATTTTGTGTTTCTCTGCATCTTGTATATTTTTATGCAACTTGAGGCACCTGTTACAATACGCTTGACGACATGTTTTACAGTTCCATCTGGCATTCTCCTTAGTGTCGCAGCTACTGCAAGGTACTCCCTTTAAAAGAGCATCAATCTTGATCAGCATATTTGCGATCCGTACATCCACTGGAAAACCTTGTACACCATTCACAGGAATCTCAGTCAGTTTATCACAGAGTGGGCACTGGAATTTATTGTTTGTTAATCTTCCTTCTACAAAGTCTTTGAGACATTTTCTGCAGAAACTGTGATGACAAGGCAGTATGATTGGATCCTTGAAATCATCAGTACATATGGTAACTGGTCAACTCGTACCCAAGACAACTCGTACCCAAGTCAAGTCGTACCCAAGACAACTCGTACCCAAGACAACTCGTACCCAAGTATATGTTTTGTTTTGAATCAAGTGTTGGGCTGGGAATGGGTATAGATATACATATTATAATGGTTACATACAGTTCAGAATAGTTTGAGGTATGTAGAAGAGTTTTTGGAAGAAATCGATTGAAATTTGTGACCAATTCAAACATGACCGTGCTCTATTCGAATTTCTCAACCAATCAGAATGCAGCATAGCCAATATAGAACGTTCTCTAATTCTCCATAGATGCACGACCATGCTCTATTCAATCTGCAATTTGCATTGTTTTGAGTGACGTCACATCTCAGCTGCACATCTGGGGCTCTGTCCAGGGACAGCATGCGTATTCTTCCTTCATGCCCGTTCCACAGACACGGCTTTTACTAATTTTTATGTTTGAATCGGAATAAATAATGATAGGCCATTCAATATGGTGAAATTCAGCACTCGTTGGACAGAATGTTAGTACAAATGCACTCACCTTCGGTTCGTGCTTTGTACAACATTCTGTCCAACTCGTGCTGAATTTCACCATATTGAATGGCCTATCATTATTTATTCCTTAAATATATTGGTCACAGATTCAGATGTTCAAGGGAAGAGATTTATGTTTATTCCACATATTCATAATCATTGTTCACAATATTAGTGGTATTTTTGTATGTTAATGAGTGTTTGGAACAAGTATCAGATCTAATTCATCTTGAAATATGGTATTATCAAAAATATAAAGATTTTCAAAACTTGCGCCTATTTCTTATCTTTTTAGGATTTCATATTATCAGATTAAAGAATGATAATTCTAAGAAGTCACCTTCATAAAATTAAGCAATAAAAAATATTCTAAATAATATGAATATCAAATATTATTTTGATACTTATTCATACATGATATAATACACTTTGCATGCATGTGTTCAAATATAATCCAATTAAGTTCAAAATGGAAAAGAAATAACAGATTAAAGTTTCCTTATTAATTTTATCTGAATGCACTAAGCTAAATTAATTGTTTGATTCATTTGTTGAAAAGTTACTGTTGTAATTATATTCATTTTTTATATATATGTATTACAAAAAAAGTTGAGAACAAGCCCTTCAAAGCACTTCAAAGGTAATCCAAGTTAAAACAAAATACTTTAATTATGCTTAATCCATTGAGAAAAAATGTCTCCTAAATTCAGAAAAAATATTGAGTCACATTATAACATTAAACATTTTGACACAGACTCAATTTGTTTTCTTATATGCACCCATAATACAGAAAATAAACGTGGGTACGAGTTGTCTTGGGTACCAGTTGACTTGGGTACGAGTTGTCTTGGGTACAAGTTGTCTTGGGTACGAGTTGTCTTGGGTACGAGTTGACTAGGAAGCGTACATATTATACAGTTGAGACAATCTTCTTTCAAACTCTGACTCAATGCTGCAAACATTTCTCTATTCGCCATGGTTGCTAAATATACTTTAGATCACATGACACTTATAAAGGGTTAATATACTCCAGACACTATCATTCAGGTACTTGACACATTTAAAGGTTGTCAGCTTATGTGTACATAAACTCCCCTAAAAAGTATTGAAACCATGAATAACTCATGCCTTCATATGTTTGATATTATGGGCAAAATCTGTAACTTTCTAATCTACATGCATTCAGTTTTGAAGACTTTAAATTTCTCTTCAACCTGGTCCTTGTCAATTTGGCAGGGGCTGACCGAGAACAATCTCTGGGAAATTTTTATGCTCATTGGAAATGGTGAGTTTAATGCTATATGTATGATCAAATATGTGTTTATTCAAGTGAATTTCAAATAAATGATTAAGAATCTAACTGCTGTGATTGCGCTTATTCTTCAGATCATTCTTATAAAATGTAATACATTGCCAATTTTGGACAACATTGTTCATGAAAAACGTATTATAGTGGTTGGTTAAAGTTTTATTTGCATAATAAATCATATAAAACTACATTACCTGAAGTGGGCCTAAGCTGAAAGGATGGCCTCTAAAGAGAAAAACAACAGCATAAAGCATTTTTATTGGTTACCGCTAACCTTTGATTAAGTCACTTGAGATAATTCAACAGAGACACTTGTTCTAAATCGTGAAGATAATTCAACTTTGTTATTGGAACACCTCTGGAAATGGAACACCTCAACGTAGAATGCATTTTCAAAGTCCCTTTTTTAAAAGCCATTGACTTAATGTTTAATGAACCTGTGAAAGTGGAATGCCTCCCTACTTGACCATTGACAACACCATTATGAAAAATTAACCCGTAAAAGTGAAACATTGAACTTTCAAAAATTATTAGAATTTCCTAAATGACTACCATTTTTTGTTAAAAACATAATCATTGATAATTCAAATATCATTGGATGGATTTGGTTCAAATTTTATACGCAGATGCCTAAGGGCTCTGTTCAAGGAAAATTTTTCAAGATGACTGCTGAAATTTGAAAAAGCCGCTATTTTTCGTAGAAAATGTAATCTGTGATTACTCAAGTACCAGTGAGCGGATTTTGGTTCAAATTATGCGTGCTGATGCCTAGGGACACAGTAGCTTTGTTCAAGAAAGAATTTTCAAGATAGCAGCTGAATTTCAAAATTGACGCCATTTTTCTTGAAAACAGAATCTTTGATAACTCAAATACAAGCCAAACAGGTAATTCACTTCTGCCTTCTACATTCCACTAGCCAGACAGGTGATTCACCTCTGCCTTCTACATTCTACTAGCCAGACAGGTGATTCACCTCTGCCTTCCACATTCTACTAGCCAGACAGGTAATTCACTCTGCCTTTTACATTCTACTAGCCAGACAGGTGATTCACTCTGCCTTCTACATTCTACTAGCCAGACAGGTAATTCACCTCAGCCTTCTACATTCTACTAGCCAGACAGGTAATTCACCTCTGCCTTCTACATTCTATTAGCCAGACAGGTAATTCACCTCTGCCTTCTACATTCTACTAGCCAGACAGGTAATTCACCTCTGCCTTCTACATTCTACTAGCCAGACAGGTAATTCACCTCTGCCTTCTACATTCTACTAGCCAGACAGGTAATTCACCTCTGCCTTCTACATTCTACTAGCCAGACAGGTAATTCACCTCTGCCTTCTACATTCTACTAGCCAGACAGGTAATTCACCTCTGCCTTCTACATTCTACTAGCCAGACAGGTGATTCACCTCTGCCTTCTACATTCTACTAGCCAGACATAAACTGAAACAAGTAAACATGTTTTTCATTGCTGTTTAATTGTATAGCGTATGATTATGATTTTTTTGTAAACATATCTTACAAGAAAATATAGCATTGACCTCTGTTATATCAGAAAAAAGACTTGATGATATCATATACACAATAATCATGGGAAAAACATATGTGCATGACTTTATTTTGGTGTATAACATATTGATAAGTTAGTTATGAAATAGATAATATTATCAATTCTGTAACCAGTCTCTATGACATATTCTACCTTTAATGTTATTATTAACACCTTAAGACATGCGTTAATGCAGTATATTATGTTTTGCTACATATACTAAGTTATGCTATTATCTGTTATTGCCCTTTGATATTTATCCATTTATTGACTTACAGAAAGTTTAAGTAACTTTATGAGACCATCACAAATGTTATTTATTTCCTTATTGGTCTCATTGATTAAAAATTATTGTAAATATATTGTGTCCTGATATTGCAAAATTGACTATTAAACATTATGTCAAGAATAAATCACGTTCAAGTCGTAAACATTATTACAACAACCAGTTTAGAGAACACAAGTTTTAATGAACTTTTTCAGTTTTGTATGTATGTATTTTATGTGTGTATATATTTATTGCCTTTTACATAAATGAGATACACAGAAACTTAAATAAAACTGGAAAAATCAATACTAGTAAGTATAAACAAAAATCCCAATATCTTTATACCGCTATGGAGAGATAAAAATATTTCAACTTTATGACATCCATGTACCATTGGTGCAAATTTAAGACAATGTATCTCAGAATGTACATTGCTAATGGTCCTTAAATCTAGTACATGGATGTGAAGCCTCAGTCACGTTTACTATACGGCAGCTTTACTGCGGCTGAAGCTTCACAAAATCGATATAAAAAAGCTGCAATGTATTGGTTGTCCTTATAATGCTGCCTATTTCTCTCTATTTTGTTAAGCTACAGCCACAAAACTGTAACATTCCTTACATGATCTTCTCGTTGTAGAGTACCTTCACTGATGTTGGAAACACAATAATGCGGGTGTTTGTCATGTCACTGGGGGAGATTGATTACTTGGATAACTTCGCCGATGCAAACCTTGCACCATTTGAAGCTGATGCAAACTTCTTGCTCATGGTGTTCCTCTTCCTAGTACCTATTGTATTGATGAATCTCATGGTATGTACTTAATACCTATTGTATTGATAATTTGTATGATGTGTGGCTAATTTGTATGATGAGTGGCTATTGTATTGATGAATTATATGATATGTACTTAATACCTATTGTATTGATAATTTGTATGATGTGTGGCTATTGTATTGATGAATTAGATGGTATGTACTTAATACCTATTGTATTGATAATTTGTATGATGTGTGTCTATTGTGTTGATGAATCTCATGGTATGTACTTAATACCTATTGTATTGATAATTTGTTTGATGTGTGGCTATTGTGTTGATGAATCTCATGGTATGTACTTAATACCTATTGTATTGATAATTTGAATGATGTTTGGCTATTGTGTTGATGAATCTCATGGTATGTACTTAATACCTATTGTATTGATAATTTTTATGATGTGTGTCTATTGTGTTGATGAATCTCATGGTATGTACTTAATACCTATTGTATTGATAATTTGAATGATGTTTGGCTATTGTGTTGATGTAAACTATATGATATGTACCTAATACCTATTGTATTGATGAATTATATGATTATATGAATCTCATGGTATGTACTTAATACCTATTGTATTGATAATTTGTATGACGTGTGGCTATTGTATTGATGAATTATATGATATGTACTGATAATTCATTTGAATGTGCCTTTTGTATTGATAAAGGACGATTCTCGGTTTGGAGAACAGTCTCCTGGGCTAATAATTTTTTTAATGAAAAATATAGAAGTATTACCCAAATTAAACTATGGATATTCAAAAGAGGACATTTAAATCTACAAGATGTAAAAATAACAAATTGGTCTGAAGCAGGGATAACGCTCAATTAGACCGATTCAATAAAATACAAGTCTCGATTTGGGGAAAGGAGTTCATCAGTGTACTGCGCTAGTATTTTTTTGCGAAAAATCTAGAAATATTACCCAAATTAAATTATAACTATTCAAAAGAGGACATTCAAATCTATATTATGTAAAAAAAATCAAATTTGTCCGAAGCAGGGATAATGCTCATTTAGATTGATGAACTTCGTTCTCCAAACCGAGAATCGTCCTTTATGAATCTTATGTACGATTTGTACTTATATGAATCAACAGCAGTAAAATGTGTTGATGAAAGTGGTATGAGATAATGAGGATTTTGTATTCTATCCCCATGATAGCGTAGTATAAGAATTTAGCATACATAATGATATGCAGCTTTTGAGTCAATTGTTTCCCCATGTTATTAGATAATACACCCTTGCTGAAATCCTCATTTTCTCAGAAGAACTCAAGTTGATTGAGTCTCAACAAGTAGATTCATGTGGGATAGTATTGCTAGAATCCATTTTCAATAGTAATAATAGGGGTATTTAAACAGGACATTGGGTTTGCTTTTTATTAGAACTTTTTGATGGCACTTTGTTTATAAACATCAAGTGCTTTGCTACTGTTATAGGACTGTTCATGGGTCGATGAGGTGGGACGGAGCTTTGGGTGATGTTGGCTTGACTGTCTCTGTCGTCAGGCTTGTGACTGACCTTCGGCTGGTTTAAGATCTTTTGCGGTTAACCAACACTCCCATTCCAGAGACTGTAGCCATGGGACATTTCGTGTGATGATCATATCTTGAAGAATGATGGAAAGCTTCTTCTTTGGTCATTAGTGACAGTTTTACTGGTGGGACCACTTGTCACGCCTTCGTATCCAGAGCCACCGAGAGCACGATTCTGAAACGGCACCTATTTCTCTCATTGCTCGCCTGAGTTGGATAGGATGCACTCCAACGTCTTTTAGTAATGAGCGTAGGGACAAAGCTGGGAAGCCCCTGCATCCTACTTCCACGGGGTAGAGTCTTGCTTGCCATCCTTTGCTCTGGGCTTCAAGGATTAGATCTTGGTATTTGCTATACTTGAGTTGATGGGATATGTCTATTCTTTCCTCCCATGGTACTGTAAGCTCTATCACTAGTATGGTCTTAGAACTTTTTGATACTAGTAGCATGTCAGGACGTAGTGTTGTTGCTACTATGTTCTGAGGAAAGACTAATTTCTTGTCCAGGTCAACATGCAATTCCCAATCAGAGGCCTTAGACAGTGCTGAAAGTGGAATTGATGGGTCTGTTTTCTTTGTCCTTGGAGTTGGTTGTTTTCCCTCCTGTTGAAATGCTATAAACATCGGCGTTTGGGGGACTGACTGCTTGTTGTTGGTTGTCCTCGATCTGTCAACCCATTCAGCAATTTTCTTTAGGACTTTGTCATGCCGCCATCTGTACCGGCCTTCACTTAGTGCTGTCGTACAGCTGCTCAGGATGTGGGTTAGGGTACATCTTGGTCTTTTGCATAGAGGGCATGAGTTGTCATTTTCTAGACCCCAAGTGTTGAGGTTCATTGGAGTTGGTAAGAGGTCAGTGAAGGCACGTAAAATGAAGCTGAGGCTTCCTTGGTCAATTGCCCAAAGGTCCTTCCATGTCGGTGACATATCCATGATTGTCTCCCACTGGGTCCAGTTTCCCTGCTTGGAAAGCCCCACAGCTTTTACAAGGCGTTCTTCTTCCTCTGCTCTGCGTATTTGCTTTACCAGCCGGTCTTTCTTTGCTTTTGGAGTCTTGTCCAACAGCTTGGAGCCGTAATTGCCTAAGCCTAATCGACCTTGGCAAACAACTCCAACTATCTGCTCATGTCGCTCTCGTTCTTCAGCGTCTGATATGGCTTGTTGCGGTTTCCATTTCCTCCCAGTTGCTATGGATTCTCCTGTTGAGAGGACCTTGGAATCCTTTGATGTTCTGAGGGTTGTAATGGCTCTGACTTTTGATACCTTGAATTCCTCTACCAGTGAAGAGATTGGGAGAGATAACTTTGAAGATGTGCTGTAGAGGTTACAAGAACTGAAGCTTGGAGGTACTCCTAGCCATTTTCTTAGAAATCTGTTACACAACCTTTCCATGGAATTGACAAGGGATACAGGGAATTCATACAGTGAGAAAGGCCATTGTAATCGGGGGATGACTCCAAACTGGAAGCACCAGACCTTGAATTTGCCTAGGAGGTAACTCTTGTTGATAGTTTCCATCCATCTTTCAAGTTCCTTGTACACTTCCTTGGTGGTGTTGCTATCTTTTAAGGTTTCATCATAAAACTTCCCTAAACACTTGATGCGTTCATCTTGGATGGATGGGATAGCTGCTCCTTGGATATTGAAAGTGTGTCTCTTGGATGGTTGTCCTTTGACGATGATCAAGCTGCGCGACTTCTTTGGTTTAAACTGCATGCGAGACCATGTAGCCATATCCTCAAGACTCGTGAGAATCCACCGCATGCCAGGGATAGACTGAGTCATGACTGTTATGTCATCCATGAATGCTCTGCAGCATGGGTGCCTAGTACCATCCTTTGCTTTCGGTCCTTTGCATCGTGATTCTCCAACCTTCAGGAGCATGTTCATTGCAGCTATGAAGAGTATGACTGATATCGTACAACCGGCCATGATGCCTTTCTCCAGTGGCTGCCAAGAAGTGGTGAAACTTCTTGTGGTGAATCGCATCTTCATGTTACTAAGGTGGTTCGTTGTGAGGTTAATTACTTCCTCTGGGATGTGATAATGAGAAAGTGCTGTCTGTATGAGTTGATGGGGGACATTGGGATAAGCTTTGGCCAAATCTAGCCACACAACTGCTAAAGTAGACCTCTGTTGTTGCGCTTCTTTGATTAGCTGACTGATGGCTGAAGTATGTTCAACACATCCGGAATAACCGGATATGCCACCTTTCTGCACACTTGGGTCAATGTAGTTGTTGCTAATTAAAAAACTTGTCGTCCTCTTTGCTATAACTGACCAAAAGATTTTCCCCTCAACGTCCAATAGAGATATCTCCCTAAACTGATCAAGAGAACTAGACTTATCTTCTTTGGGAACAAAGCAGCCCTCAGCATAAGTCCAAGAGGTGGGTACCTCCTTCTTCTTCCAGATGGCATGGATAAGTTTCCAAAGTCTTTTGAGAAGCTTTGGACAGTTCTTGTAAATCCTATATGTTACACCTGAGGGACCAGGGGCAGATGCTGCTCTTGCATGTTTGACTATGTCTTGTATCTCTTGAAATGTGATGTCGGATAGTTTGTAGGGGATGTCTGGTTCTGGGCAAGGTAAGGGGTATGGACACTCTCCCAAAGGGGTATTCTGTTGAGGATCACTGTGAGCTGTTTTTATGCTTTCCTCTGCCTCCTCCTTGGAACACTGGAGTTGACCATTTTTAGGTTTTCCAAGTAGGTTTGAAACAAACCTAAAAGGGTTACCAAAAAATGCTTTCCTTGCCCTGGCTTTCTCGCGTGCTTTCTTGCGGAGGTTCTCTGCTTGACGTAATCTGAGAATGTCTTTGTGTAGTTCTGTCAACAGCTGCTTGAGACCTTCTTTTGCTTCTGCTCCTGCTTTCCTAAACTGTTTCCTCAGCTGCCGCATCTCTCTCCGTAACGAGGTGATCTTTCGTTGTCTTCTACTTGGGCCAGCATGACGTTTGCCTTTGAGAGACATCTCTGTCACCCCAAAGAGCTCCTCTGCCTCTTCAAACACTATTCTCGTCATTGTGGTGATCTTACTGGGAGCACTTCCTTTAAGAGTACTCTCTAGAATGGTGTCCAGGTTGTTGTCTAGCTCCTTCCACTTGGCATCATTTGCTGGTGGATATTTCAGCCGTGGCTTTCTTTCAAGAACTTTCATTTCCTTTCCTCTACCTCGACTAGCTACTTGGCTTGGATCAGCTTCAACGTGGAGGTCAGTGGCACTATGGTTTGCCTCCTGGCCTCTGTCCTCCTCCGGTTCACTAGCAGCTCTCTTTGGAATACTTGCTGCTATACGCTGTTTCAACTTCTCCTTGCAATTCAGCTTCGTTTTTCCTAGATGAATCTTCACGCCCATCTCGTTCTTGAAGATACCCCCACAGCTGTCGCATCGACGTCTGGTCTCAAAATCATCATTATCCAAATTTGCGGTCCTATTCTTGTCCGTGTCACATGTGCTTGGGTCCATATCCGTTTTGTTCTGTCTGTCTCGAGGCCTATTAAGGACTTCTATAATACTCGTAGCAAGTTGGGTTAGCTATGGCACAGGGGAGCTGGCCCTGTGCCAAGCGTGCTGATATTCAGCGTTTCTGGAATTATCCAGTATCAACCAGTCTTTCCTGGTAGCCAATGGGCCTTTCCCCATCGTCACTGCTATTGCAGAGTTCATTGTTTATAAACATCAAGTGCTTTGCTACTGTTATAGGACTGTTCATGGGTCGATGAGGTGGGACGGAGCTTTGGGTGATGTTGGCTTGACTGTCTCTGTCGTCAGGCTTGTGACTGACCTTCGGCTGGTTTAAGATCTTTTGCGGTTAACCAACACTCCCATTCCAGAGACTGTAGCCATGGGACATTTCGTGTGATGATCATATCTTGAAGAATGATGGAAAGCTTCTTCTTTGGTCATTAGTGACAGTTTTACTGGTGGGACCACTTGTCACGCCTTCGTATCCAGAGCCACCGAGAGCACGATTCTGAAACGGCACCTATTTCTCTCATTGCTCGCCTGAGTTGGATAGGATGCACTCCAACGTCTTTTAGTAATGAGCGTAGGGACAAAGCTGGGAAGCCCCTGCATCCTACTTCCACGGGGTAGAGTCTTGCTTGCCATCCTTTGCTCTGGGCTTCAAGGATTAGATCTTGGTATTTGCTATACTTGAGTTGATGGGATATGTCTATTCTTTCCTCCCATGGTACTGTAAGCTCTATCACTAGTATGGTCTTAGAACTTTTTGATACTAGTAGCATGTCAGGACGTAGTGTTGTTGCTACTATGTTCTGAGGAAAGACTAATTTCTTGTCCAGGTCAACATGCAATTCCCAATCAGAGGCCTTAGACAGTGCTGAAAGTGGAATTGATGGGTCTGTTTTCTTTGTCCTTGGAGTTGGTTGTTTTCCCTCCTGTTGAAATGCTATAAACATCGGCGTTTGGGGGACTGACTGCTTGTTGTTGGTTGTCCTCGATCTGTCAACCCATTCAGCAATTTTCTTTAGGACTTTGTCATGCCGCCATCTGTACCGGCCTTCACTTAGTGCTGTCGTACAGCTGCTCAGGATGTGGGTTAGGGTACATCTTGGTCTTTTGCATAGAGGGCATGAGTTGTCATTTTCTAGACCCCAAGTGTTGAGGTTCATTGGAGTTGGTAAGAGGTCAGTGAAGGCACGTAAAATGAAGCTGAGGCTTCCTTGGTCAATTGCCCAAAGGTCCTTCCATGTCGGTGACATATCCATGATTGTCTCCCACTGGGTCCAGTTTCCCTGCTTGGAAAGCCCCACAGCTTTTACAAGGCGTTCTTCTTCCTCTGCTCTGCGTATTTGCTTTACCAGCCGGTCTTTCTTTGCTTTTGGAGTCTTGTCCAACAGCTTGGAGCCGTAATTGCCTAAGCCTAATCGACCTTGGCAAACAACTCCAACTATCTGCTCATGTCGCTCTCGTTCTTCAGCGTCTGATATGGCTTGTTGCGGTTTCCATTTCCTCCCAGTTGCTATGGATTCTCCTGTTGAGAGGACCTTGGAATCCTTTGATGTTCTGAGGGTTGTAATGGCTCTGACTTTTGATACCTTGAATTCCTCTACCAGTGAAGAGATTGGGAGAGATAACTTTGAAGATGTGCTGTAGAGGTTACAAGAACTGAAGCTTGGAGGTACTCCTAGCCATTTTCTTAGAAATCTGTTACACAACCTTTCCATGGAATTGACAAGGGATACAGGGAATTCATACAGTGAGAAAGGCCATTGTAATCGGGGGATGACTCCAAACTGGAAGCACCAGACCTTGAATTTGCCTAGGAGGTAACTCTTGTTGATAGTTTCCATCCATCTTTCAAGTTCCTTGTACACTTCCTTGGTGGTGTTGCTATCTTTTAAGGTTTCATCATAAAACTTCCCTAAACACTTGATGCGTTCATCTTGGATGGATGGGATAGCTGCTCCTTGGATATTGAAAGTGTGTCTCTTGGATGGTTGTCCTTTGACGATGATCAAGCTGCGCGACTTCTTTGGTTTAAACTGCATGCGAGACCATGTAGCCATATCCTCAAGACTCGTGAGAATCCACCGCATGCCAGGGATAGACTGAGTCATGACTGTTATGTCATCCATGAATGCTCTGCAGCATGGGTGCCTAGTACCATCCTTTGCTTTCGGTCCTTTGCATCGTGATTCTCCAACCTTCAGGAGCATGTTCATTGCAGCTATGAAGAGTATGACTGATATCGTACAACCGGCCATGATGCCTTTCTCCAGTGGCTGCCAAGAAGTGGTGAAACTTCTTGTGGTGAATCGCATCTTCATGTTACTAAGGTGGTTCGTTGTGAGGTTATATGATATAAATACCTGATTTGATGTTTTATAACAGGTTGGAATAGCTGTAGGAGACATAGACAAGATACAACAGAATGCTTACATTAAGAGGCTGGCCATGCAGGTACACTGTTTTAATGCTAAAATTAGATATTTTCATTTTTTATGTCATCACCACAAATGGTGACATATTGTTAAAGTCTCCAACTTTTTTCTCGGTTTGGCAGTCATTGTTTGGAGTTAGGTTTCTGTATTGGCTCTCTCTTGAAAGCCCATGGTGTCTGTAACAAATGGCAGGTGGTGACATTTCACATGTTAAAGTCTGTAACCCAATAACATGTATTGCATATTAAGCACAACTTACAATGACATGTTTAATGTTAAAGCAGTGAAATATTTACAATTGCTACCCTGTTTCACATAAAAAGTACATAATTTGATTATTCATAAATGAACAATATTTCAAATTTTAAATTGTATTTTCCTCCAAAAACAGTTATTTAGATTAAGAAATAAAAACAAGCATCGTATAAAGATAGTATTTTTATTATTAGATATACTCAGACATAGTAAGGTTACAATGTATTCAAAATGTCACATAATTCTAGATATATCAATACTTTCAGTTGGATTGACTCTATTCACACTCACTGTATTGCAATACAGCAGATTGACTAAGTTTATTGTTGTTAAATAAACTAAAAGGTCATAAATAATAAGCTCTCACTAAAACAGACGTAAACACGCCTAACCATCGCGTAAGCAGGCGTCACCGTACAGCGTCAAAAAATACAGTAGTACAGTTTTCTGTACGGTGACGAAAATTAACTGAGTTGAAGCAAAAACTATAATGAGGGTTTTAAAAAGATTAATTAGATGGAAATAAATACGATTTCGGGTGTAATAAAAACAGCATTCTCTTAGGAATGGTTTTAACTGTCTAATTATGATAAAAGTTTTTCGAGCACTGCTCGGATTTTTTCTGACTGGATCGGCCCACATAATCGACTCGAGAGAATAATGTTGTTTTTTTCACTTTTCGTTTGGTTATTATTTTCCCTGTCGTCTGAGAGTATGGATTATTTTTATGAGAATATGTACTTGTAATCTACACATTTTAGAACAGATGAATATTCGGCAAAAAATCATTCAGTGTATTTATTCAAAAAAGATCAGAACTATACGGTGACGCATCAGCTGTACGGTGACGCTTCCTTAGATTTTATGAAGTGCTCTAAGCTTACTGTTCGAACAAGAGGTAAAGAAGCGTCAGATCTACATTTACATTATCACTGGTAAGTATCTAGCGATGGCGGACAGGAAGTATTAATTTCGATATTTTTAGTTTTCATGGAATTAACTATTTGAAAGTTGACGTGATGCTTTGGTATCATTTGAACTAAACCAGACTTTTCTCATATGACTAACAAAGATAGCCTACACAGCCATCTTTACCCCATGCAAGATATTGCATCTTTCATCCTAAAAAGTCACACGTGCAAGATGAGATTTACTTGTGACATCCCTTGTTTTAAAACATCAATGAAATAGCAACAAGAGAGTTTTTGGTTTCATGATCTTTACCGTATCATACATTTCCAGTAACCTTCCATTAAGCGGTGGAAGATATCGTTGAACTGTAGCGCCCATGCGCTATATATGAACAAATGATCATACTCCAGAGTTTCCATTTCATACAATCTCAGTCTCATTTAGTTCATCAAAGCATAGCGTCACCGTACAGCTGGTGCGTCACCGTACAAATTTGATCTTTTTTAAATATACATAATGCATGGTTGTTTGCTGAATCTTCTGTTCTAAAATGTGTAGTCAACAAATACATATTCTCATAAAAATAATCCATACTCTCAGACGGCAGGGAAAATAATAACCAAACGAAATGTGAAAAAACAACCTTTTTTTACTTGGGTCGATTATGTGGGCCGATTCACTCAGAAAAAATCCGAACAGTGCTCGTAAAACGTTTATCATAATCAGTAGGTGAAAACCATTTCTAAGAGAATGCTGTTTTTATTTCACATGAAATCGTATTAGTTTTCATCAAATTAATTTTTTTAAACCCTTGTCATAGTTTTTGCTTCTAAGTAGTTAATTTGCGTTACCGTACAGAAAACTGTACTCCGCTATTTTTTGACGCTGTACGGTGACGCCTGCTTACGCGATGGTAAGGCGTGGTACAACAAAATTTTGAAAAAATGTCAATTGGTAAATTGATCAAGATCTCAATTTCTCCGATTTCTACTTCATGTATGTCTTGACATGTGAGAGTAAAGAGAAACAAAAGAGGTGTTAATAAAACTATTAAAGTAACATAAAGATATCACTTAAGCTTACATTGTTATGATTAAATAAGAGAAGCACTAGCTCAATGGCTCTGTAACGACCCTGGGCACACTTTTCCGGGGAGCTGTTGTGTAATAACCCAGGTACTAGACCTGAAAGGGAGTGTGCTAAGTTCATCACGTTGTGCGGGAATTGAACCCAGAACCCTCAGCTCGCAAGACTGATACTCTACCACTTTAGCCAAAGGGACTAGTCCCTACAGCCAAGACCGTAGTAGCGACTTGCTATCAAGAGTCATTACAGCTCCTTTCAATAGAACCTTTATTTAGAGTCATGAAATTATCATACTAAGGTGTATATATTTGTGAGAATGCTAGTGAAACAAATATTTGGACACTTCTGATTGGTTTCTGGTAATCTTCTCCATGGACTTTCAAGCATGTAAAATACAAAAACAGAAGATGGCACCCCCTGGTAAAAATCTAAGGTATCTTGGAGGTTGGAGAGAAATGAATCAAAGGATGTTGTATTTACTGAGTTTCCCAAGAGTAAACTTACTATTGCACATATTTTGCTTTAAAGGTATTTATTCAAGCCAAATTCTATTTTTACCAAATCATATTTTCGGTAAATCCAACAACAGATGAGCATGGCTGCTGTGTTAATCAGGTTAAATACTTTGTTAAACTAAAGTAAACATACATTACATTGTTTAGAAATGAGACATGGTTATTGATTCATTTTGGTGCATGTAACATACCATTTGTGTACAACTTAGTTGCATTATCATATCTGACAAAAGCACTGTTTTCAAAGAACAGAAAAACTCCTTGTTGTACTGTCTCTGTTGCCGCGGTGATTCCATGAGTCACCGGAACATTCTGAAAATCTTTGGTGGGATTAGCAGCCATAATGTCATAACTATCGTAGACAACAGAGTTTGAAATATACACATTGTTGTTCTTTAAGAAATATGCATCATCTGTCATGAACACGGCATCTGGATCTTCTGGTGTACCAGTCCCATATGTCAAGCTTGCAGCACTAGGGAAATGGGTGCCATGGGGGATATCATCTTCGTAAAGCCATAAGTTTCCTCCTGGAAAACATTTTTATCAATGGTGCAATCTGTCATGCAAAATGTATTCTTAGGTGCAAGAAGGTTTCAACACGGAGTGGTAACCTGGGCCAGATAATGTGTATAGTTATTAGACAAAAGTCTTAAATCTGCATCTAGTCTACTCCAAACATTTGTTATGTTGCTTTGGTTTTTAAGGTTATATGCGTGTAATCTTGAAAGAGAGGACATTTTGACATTTCTGCTTCTTAAATCTTCAAAATATTTTCCAGTTTATTCTTTGGTGCCACTTTAAGTTTAATCTCATCATATTACCATAGAACTTCAAATACATCAGTATGTCATGCTCCAGGAAATTACATCTTATTGATAATTCTCAACAGGATCTAAAAAACAACACTCTCTTCCGCACATAAGTATTTTGATAAGCAGATTGAACATTTTCAAAATGAAATGTTAACTGGAAATTCAATATATCGGACTTGTGAAATAAATAAAAAAACACCTTCATGTATTGATTCTCTATTTGGTTTGGGATATGGATAATAATAATTTCCTAAGGTTGTGTAGTATTTATCAGGAGTTCTATCAATCATATTTAACAATAATACATGTCAATGATATAATGTGAATGATAGATGTCAATGATATGATCCCTATAAAAAAACGAAAATGACACAAGCACAATACAACTGAAATAAAAGCAAGGAATTCCATTTTGAAATTTAGGAATATACCTCTGTTTTCACTGGAGTATACCATAATTCATTTCTAGTTTTGCAGATTTTAAAGAATGAAAAAGCCCCTTTGCCAAAATATTGATAAATTCTAAACCCAACAAACAATTTAAACAGAAAAAACAACTTGCGAAACAGTTCTATGATGTTTGAAATCTTATTCATGAATTATATTACAAGTTTGATTCATTTTTTCATTTTCTTTCAAGATGCAATGAAAAGGCACAATGGGCAACATTTGGATAACAAAAAAAATACAAGGCCATATCAATTTAATGTGAATCATGTTAAACCAAATTGAAATCATTACTTGTATTTTTCTTGTATGATTTCTCATGGTACTCTCAAAAGATTCCCACGTTAATATTTTTCAATAAACTTTACCTTCAAATACTCTGGTATAGTTGGTAGTAGGGGAATAATAGAACTGAATATCATCTATTTCACCCGTCGGCATACTGGGGAGCATTGAGTCCAGATTTGTCACCTGCATCGGAGGCTTATGTAGGGAATTTTCATCAACATATATGTAAACCATTCTGTTGTCAGTTAGAACATAGATGTTTCCTGTGTTGCCATGGTACCATGAGGCATGCACATTGAACAAATTGGGAACCAACTAGAAAAGAATAAGGGACAGTGATAAACAACTCAAATCAAACACTAGCTGCAAGTTTCTTATCTCTTTATATCTATCATTACATATTTAGATTATTAGACTTTTTGATTGCCATTCTGCCAAATAAGGACAAAGAGAGTAATATAAAATGAACAATTTAATGATAAAATTGTGTTATCTAAACTAGTGCATGGTTAACATTTTTCATTTCTAAAGATGCCCTTTTCACTAGATACTCGGTCTATTTAGCCATATTCCTATTGACTTTGACATTGCAATGACTTTCCCAGACGAATTTGTATACATATAATGCATATTTATGACTTAGAGTAATTAATTTTCTGTTTTAATAAACAAATAGTGATATAGCTATAGAAAATACTGAGATTTGTGCCATTATTTAATAACATTCAATAACATTTAGAGAAACAAACAAACAAATAAACAAACAAACAAACACACATACATACCTGATGGTAATTTGTCCCAGTTTGACCCGTCAAAGATGTCCCTTGAAGCTGCAAACTCTCAGAGTTCACTTCACATAGTTTCTTCTCAACATTTTCATTGTCTATGTTATATGAGTAACAATTCCTCATGAGACATAGCTGGCCACATTCAGCCTTTGACTCTACGATCTCTTGCTCAATTACATATCCTGGTAGTTTCTTATCATACCCTACTAGTTCAAAGAATCCAGATTGTTGAACGCTGTATATGAATTGAATGTTTATTAAAAGAAATAAAACTCTGATTATCATTCTGATATTTCGTCTAATTATTGTTAAGTCAGTATTTTTCAATTATTTTCTGAACAAACACGATTTATGCTGTTTGTTCAAAAAAGCTGGTTTGTTTTGTTGTGAGGCTTCATATACTATTTATATTCTAATATACGTCATCTCATCAAGAACTGTAGAACTGCAAGCTTTATGCACCAATCAGATCAATGGCTTTTTGTGCTTGTCATTAACATAATGATTTATCCAAATGAATGTTTCTATCCTTCTGTTTTCGGTTTCTTAAAATCATTATCATTTTTAAACAGTTTCAAACTGTGGAATTTCCAAATGTGAATTCTTATTTTGATTCTTTCATGTTCAATATGAATAACATAATTTTAAACAGTTTCTCTCGAGTAGATCTTGCACTTATGGCTCAATCTCTCCACAAATGTGATTTTACAGTAAAATATGATGAAACTAGAGTAACTAGAGTGATTTAGAAATTATAAAATACAGATATAAATTTAAAATTATGATAATTGACTCCCATCACTTAGATATAAATAAACAAAAAAGTAACCTCAAAAATCAATAGAAAAGCAAGTCAAAAGTCAGAGATGAGATTATTAAATGTGGGAAAGTTTGTGAAAAGACTCCAATGATAATGACAAATATAGTTTCAAATATCTCCTTGAGGGACTCCCATATGGCCATAGATCATTTACATATTTTTCTAAGAGAGACTGTATGTGATGGAATTTTATATCTTCTTTGGGCTATCCATGAATCTCGTTTATAAAAATATTATTAATGTAAAACATGTAACTTAGACTTATGAAATAGAATATGATATATTAAAGGAGAGCTTTAACAAAATAATTTTTTGCTAAAAAACTTTACGCACACTACTTGCAAAGGCTTAGGAGAAACTGCATGGTATATCATATTTGAGGCCATGTGCATGAAGAGATAAATGAAAGTTAATTACATATTATGATTTTTTAAGAGATTTCAGAAAGATTGAATCAAGTAAATTTAAATTACTGCTATTTGGCAATGTTGAATATAGTTTTCAGTGATTGCCATTTTGGAATTACAATTCAAAATGGCAGCCCCCCTGTAGGTTTCTTTATTACAATTTTAAAACCATTTTAAAATCCAAATTATCAGTGGCTCTAAATCTTTACAGTAGTCTATTGGCTCTTTAAGTTATACAAATAGAGAAAATGTTAAAAGGTATATACTCCTTCAAGCAGACATGATCAGATGATGTTCCGTGACAAAATTATATAAAGATTTTTTTTCCCAGGGATATCAATATGCTTTTAAGGTAGAACTTAAAATAGGTAATCAATCATGATGTGTTAGTGTTTGGTTAGGAATTATGGAAGTTATTTTAGAAAATATCAAAAATCATGATGTTCAATAAATTTAATTACAAAGAATGGTATTATAATGACATATTACATTATGTACCATATGACAGCCTGGTCATTGCCAGATAACCTTGTGATATATCCATGCAATATATTTACAGGCCATTCAATTTAATCCGAGAAATTGTTTGCGAGTGTGGCACAGTGCCAGTATCAAATTTGACAATACTCATGGTGAATTCAAGACGTTGGTCAAGTCCATGTGCCTTGCACTCAGGACATCGGGAAATCGGTTGATCGATCCTACTTATCAGCTGACCCAAATGTGACATAGGCCTAATGGGTCAGCTAGATCAAAATATGAAAGAGCAGGGGTTTCACTAGAATTTCTCACAACAGGCTAAATAAATGAAAACAACAGGCAAAATTAATGGAAATCATAGATTTAACATTAGTGGGGGGAATTTACCCCTATATTTGGCAGAATATTTCAGATGGTGATACAAGTATAAACTTTTGCTTTTCTACTACTTCAAACCTTTTTAAAAAAATCTGTCCCTGTGATCGATGGATTTTTTTACTTTTTCCCCCCAAAATCCAAGATGGCCGACACACTATAGCTCGGATAATATATTTAGCTCTTAATTGGCAAATACAGCTGTAATATAAAGTTTAAATTGTGTTTTCAGGACTAAATGCACTAATAGGGACATCACATAATACATGTCATGAGCTTAAGTCAAAATAAATAATAATATGGGAGTTAAGCAAGGTTCATTTCCGGTCCCCCTCTTATTTTGTTCATTTATAAGTTTGTATAACCCTACTCCTATGAATTAAGTATAATGAGTAGGACTGCTCTTAAATTTTAGATTTTTATGCTCTGCTGCATATCAAATTAGTTTGTTTAAATGACTGTAGCCTAAAGAATTGAAGGATTTCCACAAATAAATTGTTCATCGAGTACATACATTTACCATGCATTCACAATTACAGACTATTATAGCAACATCATGACCACTAAAAGGAAATTCAAGTATTCATTAAATTTTGGTTGAGGTTAAAAACATTAATACAGTCCATCAATGTATTCTATGCATTATTGAGTATGAATATAAAATATGTGGTTTTCCATGACTCTTCAGTAAAGAGGAATGAAATACCAAGCCGGAAGGTGATTTGAAATTTGAGTAAGAATTTGCAAAATTTAATCTAACAAAAAATCTACCATTGTTTGTAGAATTTTGATTAAAGATTAAAATATTAGTTCATCCCATAAATAAATCTTATGCATTCTTTCACGGTGTCCAACCCAAACGCTCTTACATGCACAACGAAATGTTTCATTCAAGCGGAAACAGGTCTAATGAAGTATTTATATAAAATTGTCGTATGGCGTGATCAAGGTTTAGAAAAATATACTCTGGCAAAATATACTCTGATGTTCACCTCAACTAGTTGCATGTCTCGACAAATGGGGGTTTTGACCGGAAGAATGACAAATACCTTTCTGAATTTTGATAACTATACTGCTTCGCACAGCTCTTCCTAATTGCTTCAAACGGCAACAGCAACAGCCATCCAAGTACAATATATCACAGTCATCAAATGGTATACTTGAAATAAGTAACACATACCTCTTATTCCCATTATTGGGGAAATTGTCAGATGACTCATCATTCCTGTTCGCCATACTCCAGAGTGTTTCTTTGTTTAGTTTCAGTGATGAAGCGCTCAGTCGTGCATGTAAGAGCGTTTGGGTTGGACACTGTGTCCTTTAATTGTGAACATCAAATAAGTGTATGCCATGACTCCTCAGTAAAGTGGAAGGAAACGATTGGAGGGAAGATAATTTGAAATTTGGGTAGGAATTTGCTAATTAGAAATTAGTGTTTTCCATATATTAAACACAAAACAAAATAACATTGAACTTACAACATGAAAAGCTAAAAACTGGTTTCAAACAAAAGCTGGTGAAAAGGTAAGGCATGGCTGTCCCAGCTTTCCACTCATTCACAGAAAGTGACACAACCTCAGCTTTCCACGGACATTTCCAGGCCTGGAAACTGTGGGAAAGGTTTTCTAGTTTGATAGAGGCATTCATCAACATTATGGAAGATCTGTCAAATATCACAGAAAATAGTTATATTACAGAACAAGTGAAACAATTGATTATAAATACATCCAGAAAGTGCTTGTTTTGCAAAAAAGAAAGACAAATCGAAAGAATTTCACCTACTCACATGCCTTGGAACAGCACATTAAAAGAACAGCTTACCAGGCTGGTGTAGTTTGGGAGAAGATGCTAAATTCTTCACCACCTAGCCTTTACGACTGCATCAACTGGGGATGGATCAATAAAGAAACTGTTTCACCACTTTGGACAACCCAGGCACAGTCCTCCAAAGCCTGCCAAGCTCTTGTACAATGTTCATATAAAAAGCCATGTTCTGTATGCAATTGTACAATGTCAGGACTTACATAGTGTGACAGTATTTATGAGATTGAAATTATAACAGAGTAAAAAAGATCCATGTGGAACTCTTTCAAAGGCTATTTTGTATTTGGAAGACAATAATTTAATTTGAACCTGAAATATTAGATTGAATGATGTGTCAAATATTATCTTATTCAAGAAAACAGGTTCATTCACTTAAGTTGTTGCAGAATAAGACCCCACCCAAAATACTAGATGTAAACAACATGCTTTACTACTGAAACAGTATTATTTTTAAACCACATTTATCTCTATATATGAAGCTACAGTGTTATTTTTACCAAATTATGCGTATATGGCGGCCATTTTGAATTTTTCTTGAAATAGTGTTCGGTTTTATTGATCACAGGAATGGAATTTTTCCTAAAGCATAATAACAGATGTAAAAAGTTAGGACTTACATGTACAGACTTGTGCAATTGCACATGCAATTCTGTATAAGTGTTTAACATTTTATGACAGTATATATGAGATTGTGATGATAACAGAGTAAAAAGGAACCATGTGGAACTCCTTCAAAGGCTATTTTATACTTGTAAGACAATAATTTAACTTGAACTTGAAATATTAGATTGGATGATGTGTGAAATATTATTCAAGAAAACAGGTTCATTCACTTCAGCTGTTGCAAAATAAGAGCCCTCCCAAAATAGAACCTTGTAGAATCCCTATATAAAGTCATTTTGTCCAAATTCAAATCATTATGAATGTGACTGTATTTCTAGATGTAAACAAAATGCTTTACTACTGAAACAGTATTATTTTTAAACCACATTATCTCTATATATGAATCTACAGTGTTCTTTGTTCCAAATTATGCTTATATGGCGGCCATTTTGGATTTTTCTTGAAATAGTGTTCGGTTTTATCGATCACAGGGATGGAAATTTTCCTAATAGCATAATAAGAGATGTAAAAAGTCAGGACTTACAAGTACAGACTTCAGTTGTTGCAAAATAAGAGCCCTCCCAAAATAGAACCTTGTAGAATCCCTATATAAAGTCATTTAGTCCAAACTCAAATCATTAATGAATGTGACTGTATTTCTAGATGTAAACAAAATGCTTTACTACTGTATCAATATTATTTTTAGACCATATTTTTCTTTATATATGAATCTAGAGTGTTATTTGTACCAAATTATGCCTATATGGCGGCCATCTTGAATTTTTCTTGAAATAGTGTTCGGTTTTATCGATCACAGGGATGGAATTTTTCCTAATAATATAAATAACAGATTAAGCCATTAAATTTGCTTGTATCACCAATTGAAATATTTTCCAGCAAATTCCCCCAACTACATGGAAAAGTTGAAAAGTCCCTAAAAACAACAGGTGATTTTTTTGTGAAAACAACCAGTGAAAATCACCTGTTGCCTGCTGCTTACGAAACCCCTGAAGAGTGTAGAATGTTTTTACAAAATCATAATTTTTTTTATGATATAATGTTTTATGATAAGTCTATACTGCTGTATGCTTAAATGCTTTGAAAGTACGCCTATCTAATGATGTAAGCTGGTGTGTTTACCTTGTTAAGAGACAGGATAACAAAGACGTAGGTGTTGATAGAGTCATTTGTTGTTGGCTATGGTGTGTCACCATATGGCCTTCCCATCAGACAAAATATACAAAATACTGGATAAAACTGTCCTAAGCATTGTTTAAAGAACAAAGAACTAAACATGTCATAAAACATACTCAAATAAAGTCCAATAGAACATAACTCAGGGGTGTTAATCTAATAATCCAACATAAATAGATATTGGATGAAAATACAGATCTCTTGTTTTTCTTCTCTCGGGGGATTCTGTCAAATAATTGTTTAATATTTTGGTAATAAAAGAATAACTATGAAAACAGTGACAGTGTCAGCTCTGTTGATGAAATTGTGGATGTCTTTGGGCAAAATACCATCCAAAGTAAACAAACTGTACTGTATAATTATGTACTATGCTCAAATGAAGTGAAATACACAGATAAAAAAATTAAAGTAAACAAGACACAGAGGGAATAATATTGCTCTACATATATAAGTGAAACATGACAAATAAAATGATAATGCAATGCCCAAAATTGAAACCACTTTACCTCTGAACATTACTATTACCAAACATTTTAAAAGTTATTGGTATGATTTCTTAATTAATTGTTTATAGCATATAAGTAGTTGATATTACATAAGTAGAAATACAGATAGGATATCATATGATTCATATTAGCTTATGTTATAATTATTGGCAAGGGGATGTCTGTTTCAGCATTATATATAAAAAGCTTCCATAAAATAATACATCATAGCTAATAAATACTCTCACTATGTAACGAGTGCATGTATCATAATACATCATAGCTAATAAATACTCTCACTATGTCATAAGTGTATGTAACATAATACATCATAGCTAATAAATACTCTCACTATGTCATAAGTGTATGTAACATAATACATCAAAGCTAATAAATACTCTCACTATGTCATAAGTGTATGTAACATAATACATCATAGCTAATAAATACTCTCACTATGTCATAAGTGTATGTAACATAATACATCATAGCTAATAAATACTCTCACTATGTCATAAGTGTATGTAACATAATATATTATGGCTGATAAATACTCTCACTATGTCATAAGTGTATGTTACATAATACATCATAGCTAATAAATACTCTCACTACGTCATAAGTGTATGTAACATAATACATCATAGCTAATAAATACTCTCACTATGTCATAAGTGTATGTAACATAATACATCATTGCTAATAAATACTCTCACTATGTCATAAGTGTATGTAACATAATACATCATAGCTAATTAATACTCTCACTATGTCATAAGTGTATGTAACATAATATATCATAGCTGATAATACTCTCACTACGTCATAAGTGTATGTTACATAATACATCATAGCTAATAAATACTCTCACTACGTCATAAGTGTATGTAACATAATACATCATAGCTAATAAATACTCTCACTATGTCATAAGTGTATGTATCATAATACATCATAGCTAATAAATACTCTCACTATGTCATAAGTGAATGTAACATTTTATTTATTTTTTTATTTATTTATTTGCCAAACACTTTTTAATCAGTGGCACAATGGAAAATTCCAGTGCGGCAGTACATAGAACAAATACATATTCATAAAATACAATACAATACAGATAGATAAAATAAATATGTTAAATTGTACATATGTTATGAGTTTAAAATATCGTTATTAATAGTCACTAAAAATTGTTTGACACACTTGTCAAACAAGAATCCTTGGTCTTTGCCCCAAATACTAAAAACAACATCTCCTAGGCACCACTTTAATTTTTCATTTAAAGGAAGCGTTAAGAACATATTAAATACATCAGGGGAGCATGAGGTTTTAATTCTGTTGTAAAAATCAATCCTTTCACGTTGGTTGTGACTACATGTAAAAAATCTGTGTGTTAAATCATCAATTGGATGAAGGGAACAAAGTTTGCAAAAACCATCATCGCATTTTCTTCTTTTGAGGTCAGTTCCAATACCTAAACACCCAGTTCTGGCTTTGAACTTCAATCTCTGTCCAACAAAATGTACTTGAAGTAAGGTAATTCTCCAGAAATGGGGTTTGTTTGATTGATTCATAAAATTCTAGTGAAGATTTCGAGGAACATTCAGATAGAAAATTACTTTTGTGTTGTTGGGAGGATATGGTCAAAAAAGAATCATACCATTCACTGTCATCTCTAAACACAACATCATCAAGGCCATGTTCAATTAAAATGTCTTGTATGTTTTCAAAAAATGGCCATAATACATCATAGTTAATAAATACTCTCACTATGTCATAAGTGTATGTAACATAATACATCATAGCTAATAAATACTCTCACTATGTTACAAGTGCATGTTGACACGATTATAACTGAACATGTATCTGGTGTTGTTATTTTAGGTCGACCTCCTGTGTGATTATGAGACAAAACTGCCCAAGTTTCTACAGAGAAAGGTTTATTATCGCAGTGCAATCATCAAGCCAAATACAGGGAGCAACTCAAACCTTACCATGGTACGTCATGTGTGCTTGTCATTGAAGGTCAAATCTTTTTTGACCTTGAGAATGTCATTGAATTTCAAAACTATATTACTATTGAGGATTTGTAGATGTAATGATTTTGAAAAACAATTGGTCAAGTTGAAAAACGAGCTTTTTGACCTTTTTTTGACATTGAGAAGGTCATTTGAGGCCAAATCTCAAATCTAAAGTCAGATTTGAACTCCTGAAAACTTGGAGAAGATTTTGAAAAAAATTGAAGTCAGTCTAAACAGTATTTGTTAAGTTATTGGAAGTTGTAAGAATTTGTTACAGACGCCAACCACCAACTCCCAACCACCAATGGCGGTCGAGAAAAAACTGAAACCATAACAATATGTCACCACTTTGGTGTGGCGACATAAAAATGGACTTTCCCTTCATCCTGCACATTTTACCTGATTTTGCAAGATTAATTCTGATATCACAGACACCTCTTAACACAGTGGGAAGCATTATCACATTCTGTCTTACATGTTCCAGAAAAAAGTTTGCAGGATCCAGGTCGATTGATTGTGTTAGTTACTTATCATTATGAATTCAGAATACGTTAGAGTTCCTCAGGATAAATATTATTGCTAAATTATAATAAATACCTATGGAAATTACAAATTCCTTAGGAAATATTCATATAATATGTATCAATCAAATATCATTCAGCAACGATTTGTTTACACAATTGTACCACGGATGTAACATTTACACTTTGGCAATAATATGTATTACTAGTTATTTGATTCTCTTTTAGCCTAATTGTATCAGTCAAATGTGCTCCCTCATTTACCCAAACTCGTTACACCCCCATTCTTCCAAACAATTTACGCCCCCATTCCTTCAAACACCTTACACCTGAAACAGTTTATCCCAGGCTATAAACTAACATAAAACTTAAGTAAAAGTCCTAAAAGTTTATTCTTTCAGTATTAAAATCTGATCTTATACAGAAAATCATAAAATTTAGTAAGTACCTTGTGCCGTGGTAAAATGTCAAAACTGTTCTGAACATGATTTTCTGAGATGATACTGAAGAATAGTCTGAAAGTATGGAAGGTTTCACAGGGAAGATTCCAAAAAGGAGACAAATGATAATTCCCCATAATTACCAAATAGATGAACCAATAAAGACCAAAATATTAAAGAAATATCAAATTAAATCTACTGGACTTCCTAATTTCTCATTCCTCTTGACTACAATATAAGTAGACTGAGCCTTCCTCAATTAATCAACATTTGCATGATATAAAATTTATTGTCTTTTACAAATTATAGGTCATTTTTCTTAAGATATGGTTGTTAAGGCCCCCAGGGAAACAACAAAAGCTAACATCAGTGAATGACATATCAATCATCTGTTCCAGCTGAAGCACTCTTTACTTGGCAGTAGTAGAAGTGTGAACTTTATCCAGGCAGAAGAGAGAGATAAGACCCAGGTTGCTATGGACCAGCTACACACTGAACTAAAAGAGCAGAGATTCAAGTAGGAACACTGCAGTGCAGTTTCGTATTTTTCATTTTCAACAATGTTTGATTTGATGTTTCATGAATGCAGCGTCTTGGTATTGGTTTGGGGACTTTCGAAACAACAATCTTTGGGCACTTTTATTGCAAATTTCAGGTATTTATAAAGTGTTTGTGGTATAAGATATAATCTACAGACATAAATTAACATCCAAACTATATGTTTTATTAAGTTTTGGGGCCATTTTTGCTCTTAAATTTGCATCTTTAATGTCTCAATATACATGTACATGTAGTGAACTACATATTAAGAACAGTCTAGAGACATGAGCAACTTTCTTGCAATGTTTTTGCTTTCTTCATTCAATGTCCTGTGTTTTTTCTTTAAAGTTCAACATTTTAAACTTCATTTCATGATAATCCTTGAGTTATCTGGCTATACTTTTAAATTGGAAGTCAACTTTCAGTTCCTATACTCACATATAATAATATGAATTTGGATATTTCATCAATATATGTACTTGATCAGATATTTTTAGATGATAATATTTGGATTGTAAAGACAACATAGGCATACTTTTTGGAAAGATTCTTTCCAATATTCCATACACTATAGTTCTAGCTGCCACTTAAAATAATTAAGAAATATAGACCGAAAAGCGTTTTCTGTACCCCGAACGACCGAAGGGAGTGAGGGGTTCGAAAGCTTTTGTGCCTAGCCCTAAGGGGTGTATTCAACGATATTACCCCTGCTCTGAGGTCTATATTACGATTCGAACATGAAAACTCACCAAAATGTTTCGAATATTCATCATGGTCCGCCATTACTACGACCCACCGTTATGACGTCACACATTACACGTATTACCAGGGGTATTGATCGCGAATATACCCCGGGTTAAATGTTGACTTTGTTTACAGTTTATAGAAGGCGTGAATACAGTGATGTTCGAATCAGTGATCATGATGAAACTTATCTTATTTTATTTTCCAGGGTGTCTCAAATACAGTTAATGTTAGAGAAACAGAATGAATTCCTGCATAATTTTCAAAAACAGTTGCAATCACAACAGAGGTCAAAGTCACGTTCTCTGTCAACTATGTTCCCAAATCCACCAGGAAAACAAAGACCTCTCAAACCACCTACAGATAAACCTTTGTGAAGCAACGCATTTATTGAGAGCAGCTGGTTGAGAGTGCAATTTTCAGAAATTAGACTTTGATTTTTATGTCATCTTCAAAAAGTGGTGACATATTGTTATGGTCTCCGTTTTTTGTGACGGCGGTTGTTGATCGGCGGTTGGCGTCTGTAACAAATGGTGGTGACATTTTGCATTAATGCCTTGTTATATTATATTATAAAAAGTGATATTAGGCTATTATTAAGTTTTGTAGATCTGTATTGCTGGTTGGCATAGCAAGATCATGTATTATACCATGCAAAAATAAAGTTATCATTTATTTTCAATAATTATACGCTTTACATATTTGTTACTTTACCAAATGTTCAACAATGAATTTTGATCTTTGCGACTTCGTCATTATGAGTCGTTTGCATGTCATGATCAAAACAACTGCTTGATTGTTGACCCAAGTATCTTTTGTCAATAGCTATTAATTCGATTTTTTCAAGTTATGACATTATTGTGACATCATTTTATTGTGATTGACATCTGCGTTTGACACCACCGTTCAGCATCTGTACTGAACCATTACGCTTCGATGGAGATGTTCACCACTCCATGGCTATGTTGAGGTTATGTACAAATAAAGATGTAAACAACTTAATAGTATAGTTTCCATATAGCTTTTGAAATCTCGCTAAATCTCGTTTTTCGTGAGATTTTAAGAGACTTGCATATTAGACCTCTAATGACTTACATTACCTTCTTTTAAATGGTATATTTGAATTCAGTGGAATGTTTTCTCCTAAAATAGCTTTGATTTACACAGTTATGTAATTTGAATAATTTTCTATGACAATTTAAAAAAAGTTGGGCCAAATGTCCATAGATGCAATGCTAAAATTCTTTAAAACCGTGGATTATTTGTATGTCAATCAACATTAGCATGTTTAATCACAACATGTTCATAAACAGGGTCATCATGTGGTATATCATTCAAGTTTTATACAGATTCAACAAACACACTTTGATAAATCATGAAATTAAGCCACTTTTCCAAGATTTTAGCATGTAAGTGAATGGAGCTCTAGCCAGAGTTAAAAGCTGAATAAAAGATGGCAGCACGAGATTTAATTGATTTTTCTGCTATTTAGAAACTATCCTATTAACCATCATCATCGCAGCCAGGTTAAGTACATGTAGCTGTCACATTAGCCGTGTGGGGCTTTCCGTTCACCATCACTAGTACTGTGTTGCTAATTCGGGGCATTCATATTTTAATGAATTGATTTTTGTATTTGGTGTCATGCGATATATTTTGTTGTAAAACTATTTCTTTTGCCAACCATAACGCCACGCCTTACCGAGCCATCTGCCCAAAAGTATTGACACGGCGGCGAACGGCGAGCCTACAGGGCCTACAAGTGTGGCAGCTTCACTATAACATATACAGATTCATGTAATTTGTACAAAAACATGCACATACCAAATTTGTACCTAGCTGACCATTTATAGACTGAGCTAATATTCGCGAACGCAAATAGCGGCTACCGGCTGTCGGGTTGATTGCAGTTTGATGGACAATTTATTTCAATATGAATAGTACCTGAAGTGCTTTCTGTTAGCTGCAACCTCTCGCTTCTAACCCGTTCGCTGGCATAATAACTGGTTAATCTGCCTTTTAAGCAGCATGTAACAATGGCATAAAAAGTCATGTGATCACTGATCACTGCTCTTCGACCGACGGGTTCTTCGTAATTACAACTTCAAAATGACGGGTTAATTCATGAAAATTATTAGATTAATCCGGTAGCCGCTATTTGCATTCGCTACCGGATTAACCTACTATATCAGGACCAACTCATTTAAATATGAATGGTACCTGCCACTATTCCATTCATATTTAAATTAAGTTGGTCCTGATATAGCAGGTTAATCCGGTAGCCGACAGGCGTTAGTTGCATTCGCGAATACAAGCTTAGTTTAACATATTTTTTGCTAAACAGTGATTTTTAGGATTTCTGAAATTTGCCATTTTTTAAAATGGTAATGCTCCTCTGATATATGTTGCAATTAAGATTCAACAGAAAGGATTTTTTAGTTCTCATAAGTGTACAACTTTTTTGTACTTCTGGTTAATTTGCCGTTTTCACCACTCTTGATATTGATGAGGTTTTAGTTGGGTCGATTTAAAAAAAAAGTCAAATCAAAAATATGTAGAAGAGATCGGAGAATAAATAGAAACGTTCCGTTACTTTATATTTAGAAAGGACAGTCCTAGATAAATGTTTAATATACGATCAAAACATCCGATATTTTATATTTTTAAAGAACAATGAAAATCCATTTCTGTACGTGTTGTTGGTCAGTCCGTAGATGAAGAAGTTCACGGCGCTGTTAGAATGGAACATGTGCCCCAATATTGCGTACCAATACAACGAAAGCTCGTCATTCCGGTCAAACAAGCACATGATCGCATATGGCCCACAGAGCATACAGTAAACTGTGAACATGATGAAAAGCATTCTAGCTAGTTTGATATCATTGCTTGTTGCCGTGTCTTTTTTAATGGCTTGTTTCGTAGCAGCATGGGGTGATCCCCCGTTTGTGGATTGTTCACTTAGGCCTACTGCGGGTGGACTAGACGGTCCCGTTTTTGGAATTTCTTTATTGACAGCCGTAGTAGACGGGATTTCTTTGTTGGTAGTTGGTTTACGAAAGGCATCGATTCTCTTTCTTGATTCACGTACTTTGAAAAATATTTGAAGATACGCCAGACAATTTACGCTTACGGGAATGAAGCAAGCGACTATTGCGACAACTATAACATAGCTGAAATCCTTATGGCGGTTGTAGAAACATGTGAATTGCTTTCGTTCAAATGTTACCTCGCTCCATCCGACCCATAGGAAGATGTACCATAGCAATCCGTGGCACCAAGCCGCAAGAATCATCAATGTAACCGTTCTTTTGGAGTAGATTGATTTGTACCATTTTTCCTTGCAGATACGGATGTACCTATTTACGCTAATTAACATTATGTTACCCGATGATGTGATGCAGCTTACAACACAGACGAACGCAATGGTAGCGCAAAGACCCTGCGTCTCCACAATGAAGCGTTCTCCCTTTAATGCCCCAACCATCATTAACGGCTGCAGGATCATCGTTACCAAAAGGTCTGCCGAAGCTAGACTAATCATAAATTTATTCGGTAGTGTTTGCATTGTCTTCACCGTTGCAATCGTCCCTATTATGATGCTGTTTCCAACTATCCCCACCACTGAAAGCAGAGCCTCGTACAATACGAACAAGGACATAAAAGTCATATTTTTCCTCACCTGTTCGGCATCTTGGAAAGATATTCCCCTACCTTGTCCCGAAATGTTGAAAGTCGGTGTTTGAGCGTTCATCGCGTCTGAAAATATTGCCTCTAAGCCTACTATTTTGGTATCACTTTTACAAATTGAATACCCTTGTCATACGTGATTACTGAGAGTATATTAGTCCCAGGCGATTGTTATATGGACTAAAACTATGATATTCAAGCCCTCCTTTTATAAATGCTAGCTGAGTATTACTTACTTTCAGATTTATAATATTTCGATTATGAAGTGATAATTAATCGTTCTCGTGTATGTCGAATGTATCTTATTAACGCTTTTATTTGACGTTGTTTGTTGGTCACATTCTTGGCAAAATGTAGACGATAGAGAAATTTCGTAATTGGCTCTATAAGATTCCTTGTACTTAAAGCTTTTGTGAAATACATTTTGTATATCATCACAGTATGCGCTCTCTATAAGTAATGCACGTTTTACGGATAGAATAGCGTTTATCACCCCATGCAGACAGATCGCCTAAAATTACATTCGTTTGATGTTCGACTCGACATTCAACGGGAAATAGAAACATTTTGTCACCCATTATGCAAATTAATTTTTACTGCTTAAGATTTCTTAGAAGTTGCTTGATTTTCTTATTAATTGATATTTATATAAATTGAATACCACACCTCCATCTTACAATCATTTGTGAATGATACGCCTTTTTAAGATATGTACCTCCCCTGATATTTTTGTCTTCGTAGGACCACATAGGCAGAAAAGCGTCACACGAACTGATATGCAGATACTTTAGATTACAAAATTACTTCATATCTTTAACTATAACATAAATATCACACTATCATAGACCGTGTTTTAAAACTGTAACTAAATGTAGTTTCTTGATGGAAAAATCATTATTTATTACACTGTTAAGGCGACGCTATATTAAATAAAAAGTACAAAAAATGACTGCCATATTTTTTTGATAAAGACACATGTTTTTAAAATCTGTTTACCTTGTATATGAATTGTGTATCTTGACTAATGAAACATGTCAAAGTTAACATCACACATAAACGCATTTTTCCAAACTATGAATTGGAGGTGCATGGATCCCCAAAGCTTGCATGAAGAGTGCGAAGTGAGGCTAATTTTTGAAAGTTTTAAGGAGTATCCTTGCAACAGTCACACATTTGCAAGAGTCTAAAATTTCCACATGCAAGAAGTGCACATTTTCATGCTCCTTCGTTCTTCCTGGGAAAGGTAAGATGATTTGTGGAAATTTTAGACTCTTGCAAATGTGTGACTGTTGCAAGGCTACTCCTTGAAACTTTCAAAAATTAGCCTCACTTCGCACTCTTCATGCTAGCTTTGGGGATCCATGCACCTCCAATTCATAGTTTGGAAAAATGCGTTTATGTGTGATGTTAACTTTGACATGTTTCATTAGTCAAGATACACAATTCATATACAAGGTAAACAGATTTTAAAAACATGTGTCTTTATCAAAAAAATATGGCAGTCATTTTTTTACTTATTATTTAATATAGCGTCGCCTTAAGCAAAAGCAATATTATGTTTTGTTTAAATAAACACATTACTGCATGTAAAGAATTCTTTGTCAATATGCTTTTATATGAACGCGTTCATGTATATAAACATTTTATATTAATATATGTTGCAACAAACATATTAGAAAGCATTATATTGGTTTCATCTTAAGCTTGATCTGAATGTTCTTGAAACTCAAGATAATACAACTTCTCACACAATTAAATGTTACGTTTTATTATTTATATTATGAGAATGCGAAACATATTCAATTTTAGTGTGATTTGTGATTGTATTATTTGTTTTACACAATGAGTAGTATTATCTGTCCGAATAAGGCCCGGTAATATAAGCGGGTGGTTAACAGTCGTATTCATCAATGGCTCTACATATCTCAGTTTGGCGGATGTCTTAGCTCATCAGCTTCCCATCCAATTTTATATCCCTTAATGCAGGCCTAGAATAGCGCCTTAAGTTTTGAAATATATTTTCAACTTACCTGTTTTTCTGCCGCAGATGACGTGGTTAGGCAGACCTGTCTAACACTCAGCCATTATATAGTATATCGCCTTATCTTTAAAATGTTGAAAAAATCATAAATGGTGAAATTTGTTATCTTCAGATGGTGGAATTTGTTATCAAGTTCAGATGAGGTAAATTCGTTATCTTTAAATGATAGTCTATGAAGTAAACGTTATCGATTCGAGCCTGCCTATTGGCCGCCGGCTCCCGTATCGCTCCCTGATTGTGCCTGATTGTCCCAGATTGCGTCAGATTGACCCATTGTCCCGATTTTTCCCATTTTCACGAATTTACCGGGCCTTATTCGGACAGATAATACTACTAATGAGTGTCTCACGTATACCTGGTCATTACTTTCTGATCGCCCCTCGTATCTCACATATTATACAATTATACAAAAAGTCAACATTGGCTTATGATAATACACTGTTTATCAAAGACTTTTTAAATCGTCTAGCTATCACTATAAATCAGTTGACAATGCAATCAAATGTATTTTCTGCGCTTTTGGACAATTGCCAAGCATATGTGGAGGATGGCCATATTTGTTAAATTGTATAATCTTGGCTTCAATGGCAAGTCCTCAGCGTCTGATAGTAAACCTGAGAGCAACACGTATGCCAAAGTGCTACAAAGGCGAAAATTTCTCAAGGTTAATTGTAGTCAGGGAAAAATCTGCTCCACATTATGGACCCCATGTTATAAAATCACAAAAAGTGAAATATCTTGGACATATTTTAATTTGCATAACTATTAGATGCATATGGGTGATGAAAATTGAACCACTAAAACAGATGTAATTTAAGTTAAGGGGAACTTTCTACTATACCAGCCATGGTATCTGACCCGAACGAGCCACCTGGTGGTGAAACTGGTAACTACCTACCAGCATCTGAGTTATCGAACTGTTTGCAACCCGAAGCGGGCTTATATGCTTACATACCTTCAGATTTCAACTGCGTATGCTTACCCCTATGCTTACATACCTTTAGATTTCAACTGCGTATGCTTACCCCTATGCTTACATACCTTTAGATTTCAACTGCGTATGCTTACCCCTGTGCTTACATACCTTCAGATTTCAACTGCGTATGCTTACCCCTATGCTTACATACCTTCAGATTTCAACTGCGTATGCTTACCCCTATGCTTACATACCTTTAGATTTCAACTGCGTATGCTTACCCCTATGCTTACATACCTTCAGATTTCAACTGCGTATGCTTACCCCTATGCTTACATACCTTTAGATTTCAACTGCGTATGCTTACCCCTATGCTTACATACCTTTAGATTTCAACTGCGTATGCTTACCCCTATGCTTACATACCTTCAGATTTCAACTGCGTATGCTTACCCCTATGCTTACATACCTTTAGATTTCAACTGCGTATGCTTACCCCTATGCTTACATACCTTTAGATTTCAACTGCGTATGCTTACCCCTATGCTTACATACCTTCAGATTTCAACTGCGTATGCTTACCCCTATGCTTACATACCTTTAGATTTCAACTGCGTATGCTTACCCCTATGCTTACATACCTTTAGATTTCAACTGCGTATGCTTACCCCTGTGCTTACATACCTTCAGATTTCAACTGCGTATGCTTACCCCTATGCTTACATACCTTCAGATTTCAACTGCGTATGCTTACCCCTATGCTTACATACCTTTAGATTTCAACTGCGTATGCTTACCCCTATGCTTACATACCTTTAGATTTCAACTGCGTATGCTTACCCCTATGCTTACATACCTTCAGATTTCAACTGCGTATGCTTACCCCTATGCTTACATACCTTCAGATTTCAACTGCGTATGCTTACCCCTATGCTTACATACCTTCAGATTTCAACTGCGTATGCTTACCCCTATGCTTACATACCTTTAGATTTCAACTGCGTATGCTTACCCCTATGCTTACATACCTTTAGATTTCAACTGCGTATGCTTACCCCTGTGCTTACATACCTTCAGATTTCAACTGCGTATGCTTACCCCTATGCTTACATACCTTCAGATTTCAACTGCGTATGCTTACCCCTATGCTTACATACCTTCAGATTTCAACTGCGTATGCTTACCCCTATGCTTACATACCTTTAGATTTCAACTGCGTATGCTTACCCCTATGCTTACATACCTTTAGATTTCAACTGCGTATGCTTACCCCTATGCTTACATACCTTTAGATTTCAACTGCGTATGCTTACCCCTATGCTTACATACCTTTAGATTTCAACTGCGTATGCTTACCCCTATGCTTACATACCTACATATTTCAACTGCGTATGCTTACCCCTATGCTTACATACCTACATATTTCAACTGCGTATGCTTACCCCTATGCTTACATAGCTTCAGATTTCAACTGCGTATGCTTACCCCTATGCTTACATACCTACATATTTCTACTGCGTATGCTTACCCCTATGCTTACATAGCTTCAGATTTCAACTGCGTATGCTTACCCCTATGCTTACATACCTACAGATTTCAACTATGTTAGTGGCGGACGATTCGACGTTGCTCTCAATACGACAAAGTCCACAATACGTGAAGCAAGCAAGAAATGCAAAAGATCATTCGACTCTATTTATGGAATAGGAATGCGGAGGCAGGGTATTAATCCGATAACAAGTACCACTATATGGAAGCGGTTCATTCTACCAACTGTATTTTTGTCTCAAAGACAGCAAATACGAGGGATAAGAAGTGGCCCAACGATATTTTGCGAAACGCATTCAGGGACTACCATGGAGGACATCAAGTGACACTGTCAAAATCTCACTAGGTCTATGGTCAATGAAGAGCTTTAGAGACAAGAGCAAATTAATATTCCTCGAAAGGCTATGTGCGGCTGATCAATAAATATAAATAAATGTCCATGCTTCTGTTTTAAAGTAACAAAAACAATGATTCTGAAACAGCAGTTGAAACCTAAGCGGAGAGCCTTTATAAATTTCTGTTATCACTAATACCGCTCATCCAGCCCCGGGCAAATATGAGATCATTGAGTTTTCTTTATTTTCTGTTCATAATCTGAAAATCCCTTAAAACATAATGTACTCATTCATGTTATTGAGTATTAGATTATGGCCTTATTGTAAATGAAAATTATATGCATTGTAAAAAATGTAATTGAACATGCTCTTGGTTTTGAAAAGTAAATATTGTAATTTATAAAATCAGTATAAGCTGACATTGACATTGGTTATAAATTGAAACATCGATTACATTGACGATTTGACATTG